TAGCATATTCCTTAAAGACCGCATTTCTACAGCATTTATTCTACTTTCGTGCTTCTTCTGCCACACCCAGCTTTCACTACCATACATTGAAGTAGGGACTAACACAGCATTATGAATTACCATACGTGCCTGTTTTGACAAATTCTGGTTCTTCACAATAGAGTGTAGTGCCCCATTCACTCTATTCCCTGCATTTACTCGTCGTTCTATATCCCTATCATATCTACCATCCCTGCTAAATACACATCCCAAATACACAAACTCATCCACTTGCTCAATCAACTCTCCTTCTATTCTTATTTCACATACCGTTTTGCTTTCTTCTCTTTCAAAAACCATCACTTTCGTCTTACTTGCGTTCACTTTCATTCCCCTTTCTTTTAATTCCCAGTTCATTAATGTAACCATCATTTGCAACTCTGCCGCCGATGACGCAAGTATGACTTGATCATCGGCATACAAAAGGCATTTGACGGTTAACTCGCCCTTTCTTAACCCACATTCTTCATCTTTCAAAGTTTGCAAACACCGGTCCATAAATAGGTTGAACAGCCAAGGGGAAGCCACACAGCCCTGTCTGACACCTTTTTGGATGCCAAACCAGTCCGAGTAGACCCCATTGATCCTGACACAAGCACTAGAGTCCCTATAAAGAGACCTTAATGCCTGTATCAAACCAGCGCTCAACCCATATGAGTTCAGTGTTTGCCATAACACATTCCTGTCTACTCTGTCATAAGCCTTTTCCAAGTCCATGAACGCACAAAAAACTTTCTGGTTTTTGGCCAAAAACTTCTCCGCAATCATGCGCATGGAAAAGACTTGATCTGTACACCCCATTCCCTTTCTAAAACCCGCTTGCACATCCCAAATTTTTCCATCAGTTTCTTTCATAACTCTTTCAATTAACACCTTAGCATACAGTTTACCCACAATACTAAGCAAGCTGATACCGCGGTAGTTTTTGCAGTCCTGCTGTGACCCTTTTCCTTTATATATTGGTACTATAACTGCTTTACACCAGTCATCCGGTACCCGTTTTAATTCCCAACATAAATTAAACAAGGTGTACAGCAGGCCTGCCACCACTCCCTCTCCAGCCCTTAGCATCTCGAGTGATACTCTATCATATCCAGCTGCCTTACCTGCTTTCATGCTTTTCATTGCTTTCATTATTTCATCTACACTTATCTCCATACCCCTTTCCACTTCTTTCGGAATTTCTGGTTCATTTCATTCATACGACTCTTCACTCATAAACACGCTTTCAAAGTATTCCTTCCATCTGTTTAAATTCGAAACTTCATCATTCAGAATACATCCATTCTCGTCTCTTATAGCATTTATTATAGGCTGTTTTGTATTTCCCCCTGGCAGTTCTTACGAGTTTCCAGAACATTTTTATGTTAGCCTGGAAATTATCAGATATCCTTCTATCATTCTTATCCGTTCTTTCTTTCTTTTTCTTTTCAACAACTTCTTTTACTCTCTTATTTAGACGTCTAAATTCTGCCTTTTTTCTTTCAATCTCATCATTCATACCAGAAGAATTATCAGCTTTGGTTGCTAGTAAATCTAACCATGCTTTCTTCTTTGATTCAACTTCCACCCGTACCTCATCATCCCACCATAACATATTACTTTTCCTTTCATTTGTTCTCTTACTTACACCGCATACTTCGGTGGCGGTATCCACCAAACCTTTCTTAATATTATCCCACACAGTATTCAAGTCTAAATCATTCATACACAACTCATTCAAACATCTAATATTTTCTCTCAGTCTACATTTATACTTCTCTATCACATCTTCATCTTGTAACTTCTCTATTCTTATACGCTGTAACGCAGTGGTAGATACAGATGTCCGATGCCGCCAACGCTTGAAAAGACCATTAATTCGACATAAGACCAAGTAATGATCCGTCCCTACGTTGGACCCCCGGTAAACCCTTGTATCTACGACTGCGCTCCTCATTCTTTCATCCACAATTACGAAATCTATCATGCTTCTATCATCACCTCTTTCCCATGTATACATGTGAATCTTCTTATGACGAAAAAAGTATTCGTCACAAAAAGATTCTTTTCCGCACATACGGTGAGGAGGTCTTCACCATTCTCATTTATACTTTCATCACCAAACGTTCCCAATATCCTTTCATAACCAGACCTCTTCACCCCAACCCTTCCATTAAGGTCTCCTAACATAATAATATTTTGATTTTCCTTACATTTTGTCAACACCATCCTTACCATGTCCCAAAACTGCTCTCGGATGTAAGTGGGCTTAGACATGTCGGGGGCGTACACCCCTAGCAGGAACAGCTTCTTTAAGCCCACTTTCATTCGTATCCATAGCAGTCTCGGGCTTACACATTCATATTCTTTCACACATTAACCCATTCTTTCCGAAAGGATGAAACCGACTCCCTGGCATGCCCGTTCGGTCTCGCCTACACCAGACCAATACGCGGTATACGTGCCATGTGCAGTGGCATCCTTTCCCTTTCGTTTCGTCTCATTCACACATAACACATCTATTCCTCTGTCATTTATCATTTCGCATACTTCATCCATCTTATCATTCATTCCTCCACATACATTCAGCGTAGCCAGACGGGTTTCCGCAATCCACTTTTCGCCCCTCCGGGAGACAGAACGTGACGGGTGGCGAACCTCGTCGCCGGTTTTTCTCCCGGAGATTCTTCGCACCCCTGCCCCATTTAAAGGGCGCCGGGAACTCGGGGCCATTTCTTTTATTTCTTGAGTCATGGTGCGAACAAGGGTTGGTGGTAGATTTTACGCCGCTACCATACGGCGAGGAGCCGAGTCTATTTTATCGGCTTTGTCGCTCGTTTAGCACCACCCGGGGGACACGTGTAGGGTGGGCCTAAGGTTAGGTGGTCGAAGCCTACGGACGCGAGCGACTCATCCCCCAAGACTCATCCCTCAAGGAGTTGCTCATAAGTCATTTCCTCACCGAGAGCTTCCAGAACTGTTAGGTAAGGCCTGGTCGCGCAGGCCTAGTGTGAGAGCAGTCATGGCCTGACTTTTATTCCAGCCGTTCGCCTTCATAACAGCCTCGAACTGGATTTTGTAGGCTGACCAGGAAGAAGTCCCGTCGAACGGTGGCACCTTGAACCCACGTAGCGAAGGTGCTGAAGCTACTACGGGAGCTGTAGTTCCATCCCCAAGTTTGAGTTCATCCAGCGTTTTCTTAACTTGGTTGATTTGGGTCTCAGCTTCCGACAGGCGGTTATCATGTTGAGCAACCTTATCCTTCACCTCCCTTATTTCTTTCCCGAAGGTAGCGTGAAGGTCCTTCATGAGAAGCATCTGTTCTTCCTGGCCGCCTCGCAGCTGCTCTTCCAACCGACGGACCTGTTCCTCCTGTCGGCGAGCCTGTTCCTCCTGTCGGCGAACCTGTTCCTCCTGCTGCTCTCTCAACAGATGGGCCTGTTCCTCTCGTCCGTGCTGCAGCTGCTCCTGTAGCATCGCCATCAGAGCACCTAAGTCAGGTGCTGCAGGTGTAGGAGCTACTGACGGGCCCGCAGCCTCCGTGGCTGGCAGTTGGCCTTCCGACGTCTGCGGCGTTGCACCACCAAATCTCCTCTGGTCCGTCTCATGATGGCGTTGACTGCGGGTACGGACACCCTCCGTTTCCTCCTTAGGTAAAATCGGCATGATTTTATCCCACTTCTGACACCTATTGTTACATTCTTGAGGTTCGTGTTTCGCTAAAAATTGCCGATAAAATTACCTAAATTAACACTTTAATTTTATTTACACAAATTAAAACTTAAAACACTAATAATTAATCACACTAATTCACTTTATTTCGCTCCGAAGCTTCGCTTGTGTCGCCAACTCCAATACTTCCTCGATCGCATCTTGCAGCGCCTATTTATATAAATTAGCACGAAAATATCCAGAATATTCAAGTAAACACGCGCAAGGTACCGAGAGTTCGGGTTTCAACTTCAAGAAGTTTAGTTCTTCGGTTCGAGATTAGATGGCGCTAGTGACGTCGACGTCGGCGCGTAACATTACTCTACTCTATGATCAATTGTCAGGTCTCATCTCAGTAACGTCAGTAACATACAGTAATCTATGGTCAGTAACATAGATTGTCACTTGTCAGCAGTGCTTCCAGATTCACTGTAATTACAGTAGATTTACTGTATTTTAGACTTTTCTACTGTATACTGTAATGATAAAATACAGTGTATGGAATATACTGTATTTAATTTTCATATAGCTTTATCAATTCTAATACGTAAAACAGAACGCAGCTAATCTACACTACCACAGACTAATATGATGCTAATACACTACCTTGCTACAAATTTATTTATCTATGATCTACACCCACTGAACCACAAACTAATAAGAGTGCTAGCGCCATTATCCATAGACAATGTACAGTAAGTTTGTAACAAAGTTGCGGGGGAATTCCCTGGCAAATCGGAACTAACGTGGAGCACTCTGGGACGCAACTAGCATAAGTAGGTTCTTGTTACTTGTTTTAACTGTCTTACAAAGGAACATTGTATTTTTCGTCTAATTCATTACACTTAAAGTAGTTTTGCCATTGTACATACATTTTAATTGAGATTTAAACTTTTTAATTGTTTTGGGTGATGTGAAATAAAATTTATACTAAAAACTTATTCGCTATAATTTTTTCACTGTATTTATTACTGTAAAAATGAGCTCAAGCAGTGAGGAAAGTGATGTGCGTAGCGATGCTGGTCCGTCAAGAGCTAAAAAAGAAATATCGGCAACAATTCCGTGATGAATGGCTTCAATTACAAGACTACCGTAAGTGGTTAAAGCGTGATAAAAAGTCGATTTATAAATGCATTTGCACTGTTTGCGATTCTTCTTTGATTGCCGATCTGGGTGCTATTAAAAGACACAGTGAAGGTGCTAAGCATAAACTTCGTCTTCCTGCCCTATCGCATGTGCGTACCATTGATAATATTTTTAAAAGTCAGCAACGCGCAAGTGATGATGATCAGCGGAAAATTACAGAATTAAAATTATCGGCTTTTATGGCAGAACATAAAATATCGCACATAGTGATGGATCATCTCGTTGATTTACTTCCAAAAGCTTTTCCAGATTCTAAAATCGCAAGTAATATCAAACTTAAACACACTAAATTACAAGCAATAATAAATAACGTTATCGGGGCTTCTGAAGGAGAATGTTTAGTCGAAGATTTAAAACGCGAAAAGTTCTCTATAATGGTAGACGAAAGTACCGATGTTGCCAGTGTGAAAACAATGTGTGTTGTAGTCAAATATTATGATCCTAATTTAGGACGTATCGTCAGTCGATTCTGGGACCTTATTCAAATATTTGATGACAAAAAAGCTGGAACGTCTGGTGATTACTCAGCCACGGCTGAAAAATTATTTAATTCAATAATAAAATCATTTCGAGACAAAAATATACCCTTAGAAAATACTATCGGGTTTGGTTCTGATGGATGTAATATGATGATGGGCTGCCATAATTCAGTGTCCTCACGATTTAGACAACTATGTCCAGGTATTACAGTGATCAAATGCCTTTGCCATTCTTTACATTTGTGCGCTTCCGACGCTTGCAAAGAATTGCCCCACGATGCAGAAAAACTGACTCGAATGATATACAATTACTTCAAAAATAGTAGCAAACGTCAAGCAGAGTTAAAGGAATTTCAAGTATTTACAGACACTAACATACACAAATTGCTACGTCCAGCCCAAACGCGTTGGTTGTCTCTTTCCAGTGTTGTGAACAGAATTATGGAGCAATGGGACGCTTTGCGATTGTACTTTGACGATAAATGGCTGGAAGACCAAGATTGCCAAGCCATTCATATTCTTTTGAATGATCACATCATCAAGGCATATTTTTATTTTTTATGTTGGATGTTGCCAAAGTTTACCCGCGTCAATGTATATTTTCAAAGCGAAGATCCGGTTATTATAGAAGCCCATAACAAAATGAAAGAGCTATACAGAGAACTCTTATCCTTATACATAACTCCGAATCATTTAAAGAACACCCCACTCGACGCAATTGACCCTACTGATAGTCAACATTACATAAATCTGAAAAATATATACCTGGGATTGGGTGTTGCTAATCAAGTTGCTGTCCCAGAGCTACATGTAAGTACCGAAGAAGTTACAGTGATGAAACAGAAATGCCTGAATTTTATCGTTAAAGCATGCGTGGGTATTCGGAAAAGATACAGTTTGAATGACCCAGTTTTGAGCTCAATCGCAAAGTTGGATCCCGATTCTTGCTTATCTGATAATAGACTACAGTCTTTGTCTTCGCTGTTCCCAGTGCTGCCAAGGCTTAAACCCCAAACTTTAAATGATCAACAGACGTTAGATGATGAATGGAGAAATTTAATGTTGACTGCGGATGAACAACATTTGAATACAAATCAACCAGCAGACGTGTTTTGGCATCAGGTAAAATTTTATCACTTAAGAACTTTACGTATAATATTGCACATATGTTTACATTTTACAGATTTGTTTTTTTTTCAGTTGTCTTAAATCAAAGATAGCAACGGAGATAATAAATATCATTTTCTGCCTCGTTTTATGCTCCAAGTTTTATCGTTGCCTCACTCGAACGCTGAGTGCGAACGAAAGTTTAGTGAAATAAATAATATAAAAACAAAGCAGAGAAACTGTTTAGTCACAAATACCATCAAAGGCAACATGCTAGCTCAGCAAGCCATTCGGCGGACTTCCGAAAATTGCGTGAATTTTAATCCAACTAAGGAAATGATTTCAAGGATGACAGCAAAGATTTATGAAAATCATGAGCAAATTGTTCTGGAATAAGTAAATCAATAATAAATGTTTTTTCTTGTATCTAAATATATGTTTTTATTTATTTAATAACTTATAGCAATTTGTATTGATAAAGAGTCATAAAGCAGCTTATTTTTCTATCAATATTTAAACAAAGTGTTTCCTGTAATTTTACTGTAATTGATTTTGAAATCTACTGTATTGTTTTTAGAAACTCCTGTATTTTTTAACTGGCAACACTGTAATTTTACTTTTGGGATCTGGAAGCACTGCTTGTCAGTAACAAAGTTTGACTCAGTTTGACTTTTTGATCTTAATTCGTTATCGTTATTATTATCGAGCAGCTAAAAGTAGATTTAAAATTAATAATCTAAATAAAATGTAATACTATTATGAGATCTGTTGTTTCTTTTGAGCGAGTAAAATTATCACTTACATTATATCGCGGGAAAATTCCTTTCATTTCCATTATTTCTAACTTGTTTTTACATATTATATGGTCGTAGTAATGCTTCAAATATCATAGTGTAACTTATATTTGGATGCGAAAGAGTTCTTTTTTAAAAGCGGGTAACAATCGCTCTCGTAAGTATTGTTTTTGTTTCTTTCCGAAATAACCTTATTTTTATTGATCTAACAGTATAGTATATAAACCTATGTAAGTTTATTCTATACGTACCATCATGCTCGGCAAACGATGTTGTGCCATTTCCGGTGATTGGCGTGATGAGTTTCACTCCGAATTGACTCCACACTACAGTGTAAACAAAAAATTTATATGTTTATAACCATAATAAAAAAAGCTGCGGTATAGTGCCAAGTATGGTGGCTGCGTTTCCTCGCTGAATGGCTATAATTGACCTTTGAACTAGATAAGTCCAGCCCTCTTTTAACTAGCTGCAACTACCAGTCGCAGATATGGTTGCTTCAGGAACTTTACCACACATAGACTGATAGTCTACAGCACAAATATTGAGTCATCTCTCAAAGATTCATACATGGGCCACATAGTTCAGCTGCATCTGATGCAACTCTAAATGAGGCATCTCTAAAAAAATTGAAGACTAGACTGTAGTTTAGCTTTTACCTTGTAAATATCAATTGATTAAAACTACTTTTATGGATTTTATCGTGTTTATTTTACTTTTAATTACTTTTGTTTTTAATTCCCGACGTTTCATGCGCTTTCCAGCACCCATGGTCACGGGGGACTGAGATGACTGACGTCCCGATGTCGTTGTTAAACCCGGAGTACCTTCAGCTTTTTTAATTATTGTTTATGGTCCGATCTATGCAAAATGAACTGACTATGTCCTGAGGTCTTGCAGTGGTATGCTTGGGTTTAGTTTTAATTATATAGTCCCACAGTGTAGTACCCAGTCTCCTTCTCTATTGAAATTAGGATGTTTTTTAATTTCAATAGCCTCATATATCATCCTTGGTAGGAATCAGTGTTCTTTCGTGAGGATTTGTGATCTATCAAATCTGATGTAATGGTTGGGGCCATCTAGGATATGATCGCAAACTGCAGACTTCCCGGAATGTTGATGCTTCACATCAGCTATATGTTCTTTTACGTGGGTTCTAATTGATCTTTTTGTTTGTCCTATATAAGAGAGACCACATTCATAATCAAGCTTGTAAGTAAAATAAACGTGATAAAATCCATAAAAGTAGTTTTAATCAATGTGTAGTGTTCCCGTAAATATAAGAAATCATTTGTAAATATCAAATTATTTTTACTAACATTTATGATAATGGCTGAATCTAAACAATCCCAATTATTACCAATAAAAGCATAATGAACAGTCTTAATTGTTTGTTCATCATTAATCTCTTCCATGAAATTATTGAGTCTTCAGTGGCTTACATCGATATTAATCAAAAGGGGAGATACTCCAAGTGTAGTCCATTCTATTGTGAGACCAAATTTATTATTAAAAAGTTTTGTTTACGCTAAGACAGTGCACTTTACCATCTTGGGCTTTATCACCACTGACCACCAGGTGGGGTTGTAGTCAAGTGCTGGCTTATAAATATGTATGCCTTCAACAAAAAAGAAACCATTTAAAATTTTGTGTTGAATTTTTTGCCTTGCTACCCCTGAGAATTAAGATGAAATGCCTTTTTTCCAGTAAAAGGGTCTCTGGTTCTCTACACTCACCGTATGAACACTGCAATAGACTGCCTCATTGGTCTAGTGGTTGTAGTAGTGTGACTACTGATCATGAGGTCCTGGGTTCGAATCCCGGGTTGGTCCAAAAATGAATTATTGAGTTTTTCTGTCAAGAAATTCTCACTAGCTGCCCGGAGTCAGGAAGTTGGCGGTGTCTGACACCCATGCCTTGGAAAGCATGTAAAGCCAATGGTCCTGCGCCTGATCTCTCTCCAGTTGTGTTGGCTTAGTTCCCATCGGATTATGAGAGTGACGGAATAGAGAGTGCACTTATGCTTGCACATACACTCGGGCACTGTAATCCTGTCCTGGGCTGATGGCTAGCCTCCGTTGAGGCAGGCCGCCGTGGCCGAAATATGGTCTGGAGGACATTATTAATATTATTATTATGAACACAGCACATGTGAGAGCCATGGTAGCTCAGATGGTTAGCGCTCTCCGTAAATTTCACAGTATGCGAGCAAACCGGGTTCGATCCCCCACCGGCACCAATGAAATTGTTAATTGCAATTTTAAGTGCTGATTTACCACATGCTCGGCGGTGAAGGAAAACATCGTGAGGAAACCTGCATGTCAGAGAAATAAGAAAAAAATAATATATATTTCGAAGACATGTGAAGTTCGCCAACACGCATTGGGGCAGCGCGGCGGACAATTCCTTGCCCTAAAACCCTCTCAGAAATGAGCGGAGGCCTGTGCCCAGCAGTGGGACGTATATAGGCTGTAACTTTACTTTTACTTTACTTTTATGAACACAGCAGCACTGGGCTGCTATTTAAGCTGTTATTCTGAGGGAGTGCTGTCCTACACTGTTCAAGCCAACCTGTTTGTGCTAAAACCACAATAAAGCTGTAGTGTGGCACTGCCACATAATCAGTCACTCATGCTACTTTTGTTTAATGTTGTAATCAGTAGGAAGCTTGACGATGACATTGGCACTTAGAAAAAGTTGTCCCGTCTTGTACAGATAAAATCCAACCTACAAACTGACCAAAATTAAGATTTTTCAGTTCATTTCCAAGTATGAAAGACTTCTGAAAAATAACAAGTAATCCCGAAATCTACATTATATTTCTTTTATATAATTAGTTGGCCAAGCAGGTGTTATTCTGCCCTTTTTGATGATCCTTCCTGTAAAAAAAAATCCTTAAATTCACAATAAAAAAACATTGAGGGTCATTTATCAGGATAAAAACTTTTATCTCTTAAGTTGGACTAAACTGCACAGAGTGTGCAAAATTTGATTGAAATTAGTTCAGTAATTTCGGAGTTATTGTGGACAAACAATATGACACTAATTTTTATGTATAAATATAAACAGAATATGATATAATAGGCTTTTTGCCACAAGAAAATGCATTTATCCTCAAATCTGACTCACTATGTTTTGTGGGTTGAAAAACATTTCTGTATAACATTGTCCAGTCGACATAGATTCACATCAACATGATAAAAATTGATAAGTGTTCTACTTACACAAATATCAATATTCACTATAAACTTTTTCTATATGTGGTAGACCCACACTGCAACTATATTATGGTTGTAGCACGAATGGGTCAGCTTGACCCGGGAAGGACCGTGGTCCCACAGAATACCAGCATAAAATAGCAGCTTAATACTGCTGTGTTTCGTATAGTGAGTGTAGAGATCCAGAGACACTTTTTTACTGGAAACGAGACATTCAATCTTAATCCTCAGGGGTGGCAACGCGTCTGCGTTTTGTGTCTTAATCGAGGATAAATGTAGATATCTATGGGCCACAGCATCCACTTAACATCAGGTGGACTGTGTGCTCATTAGTCACGCTTATTCTATAAACAAAAAACTCCATTCTGTTTACAGAAATACTACACATTGAATTAATGTAATTTTAAGATTTTTAATTATAACTTATTTTTTGGGCTTACTTCTGTGACCTGTTGCTGATTTCTTTATCCATCCATTACCTGTCCAAGTCTATTGTTGAACGTAGGCCGCACCCATAGGTTGCTTCATGGGGGAATTTTGCCATAGTTGCTATACTTGGTTGGCAACCACAGTTTTTTTGTAATTTAGAATTGTTATCCTATATGCTAAATATAATGCCCATCTCCTGTTTCAGTTTACTTCTGATGCCTCTTATGACACAGATGGAGCGATATGGGGTATTGGATATTCTTACTTAGTAACTACACCGTTAGAAACATTAATGGTGAATTAAAAATAAATTAACGCAAAACATAATTGAATCTGTGTTTTTTTTTTTCAAAACTTAATTCTGTTACAGGATATGGAGACATGCTGTTCACGCTTCACCGCAGCAGAGGGTGGGGCCAGACTTGCTGCGGTGGTCGGTATGAAGAACACCATAATAACAGAACACTGTTCGTTTGTAGCAACTAGACTGTTGTACGAAGATGCCTACAAGATACGCGGGTGAGGATCAACATTATATTAATATATTATTCGTTAGCAGTTTGACTTTTGTCACTGCTGTCACCTTTGAAATATTAAAAAATTGTTAGATAAAGGGTATGTTCCAAAATACAACCCAGTACACTGGCCAATGCAAATGACGTTATAAATCGACGCCATATTGGTGATTCGTTGTATCGAATATGGTCGAATATGGCATCAATTAATGACGTCATTTGCATTTGCCAGTATACTGGAAACATTTTGGTACATATCCTAAATAAGTAAATAATTGTAGTTTATGTAAGGTAAACAATTTTTATTATGTTCAGCCAATGATAATGATGTTTAATTAGTATTAGAATGAGAGGTGCTAGAGCGAGATAGCAATAACGATTTTCTGATTGTACACTGAAAACTCAAAACTTAGCATTCGCCTAGACTATCTAGAGGATAGTACATCATTATTATTTATTCTAGTTAGCATTATATTGGCTATACATTGCTCTAAACTTCTCAATTACATTTACTTCCCCAACCTATATTATTGTTACACTTCCTTTTCAGGTTATTAAGCGAAGGTCGCCAAAGATCTGTATATCTAACAAGAGCATCTCGAATAGCCTATGTAGCCTACGAATTGAGTATTTTAACAGACCTTGCCATAGGACAGAGTGTCAAGTATGAAGATATTGATGATTGGAGGGGGCAGTTAGAGGAAAAAGAGGTAATTCAATATCAATACAATTTTTTTGAGTGAATTTCTGTAATAACAACAACTTTGTGACACCTTTTTGACCTTTCATTCAATTTAATTTAATTCTGTTCATATTTTTTTATTCAGATTTAGTTAAGTGTACAATACAGTCGACCCACGTTGGAATCCGACATACCTATCTTCTGTATATATTACTCTACTCTATGGACATGCCTTTAATATGTAGGTACAATCAAGTCGCGTTATAAATCCACCACGGTGGGGGGGGGGTGTCCTGCGCGGGTAAGTGGGTTGCAATTAGTTCGCGCTACCACGAATATATTTTCACGCGAAATTGTTTCAGTTTACTAGGCTGCACTAAAAGTATCGGGAATGGAATATTTCCACTGTTCCTGTCTGTATTAAAATCTTTTTAATTGTAAACTCCTCGTTTTTAAAAATCGAATACCACTTATTTATTTAAAAAAAGATTCTCGGTCTTGTCACAGGGTTTTGTCAAACTTGTTTAGTCGTTGAGAAAATGGAATTGACTCGAGAAAATTCAAGAGCAATGATTTATTATGACTTTCGAAGTGGTTTAACACAAAAACAGTGTGTTGACCGGATGACTTTTGCATTTGGTAATAAAGCCCCATCCAAAACCACAATTTATCGCTGGTTTGCTGAATTTCAACATGGACGTGTCAAGCTCAGTGATGATCCCCGTCAAGGTCGTCCAAAAACTGCAGTCACCCAAGAAAACGTTGATGCTGTGCGTAAGCTGATTGAGGAAGATCGACATGTGACATACCGCGAAATTTAGGCAACTTTAGACATTGGCATGAGTCAAATACAAATAATATTCCATGAACAATTAGGTGTAAAAAGTTGTTTTCCCGATGGATACCGCATTCGCTCTGTGAAGAGCAAAAAGCGGCTCGCGTTACTTGGTGCGTCAGAACTCTCGAAAGGTTCCACGCAGGATCCTCAAATGCTGTATACAACATCGTTTTAGGTGACGAATCCTGTATATACGCGTGCGAACCCGAAACAAAAAACCAGTCACGAGTTTAGGTGTTCATAAATGAGTTAAAGCCAACAAAAATTGTTCGTTCACGGAGTGTTGCAAAAAAATGGTGGCCACGTTTGTCTCCAAAACCGGCCATGTTAGGACTATTCCTCTTGAGGAACAAAGAACGGTTAACGCAGAATGGTATGCTAGCATTTGTTTGCCACAAGTCGTTTCTGAACTCCGGAAGGAGAACTGCAACCGCCGCATCATCCTCCATCACGACAATGCGAGTTCTCACACCGCACACAGAACAAAAGAGTTTTTAGAACAAGAAAACATAGAATTATTAGACCATCCGCCGTACAGCCCCGACCTAAGCCCTAATGATTTCTATACTTTCCCTAAAATAAGGAATAAATTGCGTGGACAGAGATTTTCGTCACCTGAAGAAGCTGTTGACGCCTACAAAACGGCCATTTTGGATACCCCAACTTCCGAATGGAATGGTTGCTTCAATGATTAGTTCCATCGTATGGAAAAATGTGTCAAATTTCGCGGAGAATACTTCGAAAAGCAATAAATACATTTTTAAATAGTAATGTTGTGTCACTTCCTTGATTCCCGAAATTTTCAGTGCCGCCCTCGTAAATGAAACTATGGTGGCAGCCTAGCAGGCATTTATTGTTTACTATTTAGGTATTCATTGTACATGACTTTTATTTTTTGATATGTAAGTTGTCAGATTACAAAGTACTTTTTTTTCAAAAAGTTCCGGATTACTCTGCCAACTGTGTTACTGCCTTGCAAACCATTTGTGGGATTATTCCACAGTATTATAAATATACTCTATAGGCAATCTACACAGTAGTTTGGTATTGTGAATAATGTGACCACCTTATGTATACAAGAGTTAGACGGCTATTATTTTGAATATTGATTTAATTTTATCAACATCTGGAGTGCCTCAAGGATCACACTTAGGACTGTTATATTTTAATGTTTACATCAGTGACATAGTTGATTATTTTAGTAAATTTACAAAGATAAAAACAAAAATAGTAATTCTACTGGACACTCACGTTTTCTAAGGCTTACTAAAACTTTGAAGATCATAAATATGGAATCATGGAAACAGTTTTGACAAATAGGTAATTCTATCGGCAATTTTTATTGTCACGAACCTCAAGCTCGTAACAATACCAATCACTCAAAAGTAATTATTTTTTTCCAGGTCATAGTTTGCACATCAAATACTCTTCAGCGAATTTTAAGGGAGGGTCTGCTTAGTATACCTGTTATAAATGTCTTGGTTATTGATAGCTGTCATTTAATATCTATAGATGAAGACTTGAAATACGTAAGTCCTTTTAATAACTATATTTTGTAGAATTTTCTACTTCTCAGTTTTTTCTAGATAATGATGCTAAAAAATTAGATTTACACAATGAATTGTAAACACATAAACATTTCGCACTCGAGACACACTCTTTACATATTGTTAAGGCTGTGTCTTGATGAACTTCTATTTCTTTGTCCATATATTTCTAATTTCTGCAACTTATAGGTTTTCTGACGAAATTTCTTCACAAATCAGCTACACATAACAGGCTGAACTTATATTTAAGCTTTATAAAATTAACTACAAATTTTTTAAACAGGATAGAATTGAAAATCGAGCACACAGTCCACCTTATGTTAAGTGGTTGCTTTGGCCCATAGACACCTACATTTACCCTCGATAAAGAATCAAAATGCAGATGCGTTGTCACCCCTGAAGACTAAGATGGAATGTCTCGTAAAAAGGGTCTCCGGATCACTATACTCTATATGGATACGAAACACAGCAGTATTAAGCTGCTATTTTACGCTGGTATTCTGTGAGAGTGTGGTCCTTCCCCGGTCAAACAGACCCATTTGTGCTACAACTATACTACTAATATAGCTGCAGCATGGCTCTACATCGTAGAGAATATTTTATATACTTTGCCAATTTTAAGATTGATCCAGTACTTGCTTTATTTTAAGTGAGTATCTCACCAGGTATACTTAAAAACTTGAAAACAAACTTATGGATCTGAGACACGATCCTTCACTGCTAGCCATAAGAGAAAGTACAAGGAAGCTCAGCGAGCTATTGAGAGGGTAATGCTCGAGGATTCTCTGCGTGATAAACTTATAATAGTGGATAACCGCAGTAGAACCAGAGTGACCAGAGCCCAACGGATTAGTAAGCTGATGTGGCAATGGGCCGGCCATATAGCTCGAAGAACCGACAACCGATGGGGAAAAGGTTTTCCAGAGGTGGCCTCTCTCCAGCGCAGTGTTGTGCAACCCCACTAGATGGAGTGACTACCCGATGGAACATGTAGGTAGTTGATGGATGCAGGTGGCACAGTACTGTATGACAATTTTTTGTTCAACTGTGCATTGGACCGATGTACTGTAATGATAATGGTGGTCGATATATTTTTAAATAGTATTTTCCACATTATGTTTCCAGGTAATGGACCTATACAAGCAATGCGAGGTGAGCGGTCGGCCCAGATTATTAGCTCTTACCTATCCATTATTCACATCTGCAAGTAATGACAATGAACAATTAGAAAATGTTAATAAAAATAATGAAGAGAGAGATGATAAGTCTGACGTAGAAGATGAAACAATTAGTGATACAGATATAGTTAATGCAGATCAGGTAGATAACAATGAAATTATAGAAAATCAAAGTGAAAATAAAGAATTAGTCAATGAAAACAACGCGGTTGCGATTAGTGTAGAAGATTCAATGGTTGTTGTTAAAACAAGGGAATATAGTATAGGTGATTATCAGAATGTTGATGATTTTGAAATGTACGAGAAATTAGGTTGGAAAATCGAAGAGCTGGAGAATGATTTGAACTGTGAAATGGATTTGGCGGAAGACATAGACGGCGGCAAAAGGTAAACTTGTTCTTTTTTCCCCCTTTCCTAATTAAAAAAATGTTATCCCCAATATATGAATCTTCTGTTTCCTACAGACGTTTTACATATATAAATCATTCATGCATCAAAATCCGGAATAATTATCGGTAGGTAACAAGTACTTATTCCGTGCAGGAAACTTTCAATTCCACAATCTTTAATGCCGAATATAACCTATGGAAATTAATGGGAATGGCATAGCGTCAAAGGTACTTACATCTGGTGCTGAAATTTCCATTCCGACTTCTAAGCATGGTAATGAATGCAAACTCCCCTAACAACAGAAAAAGCCTATGTGCAGTAGTGCACATATATGGGCTAGTGATGAAAAAGCTGATACAATCTCTATACTGACTGCCTCGTTGGTCTAGTGGTTGCAGTAGTGCGACTGCTGATCATGAGGTCCTGGGTTCGAAACCCGGGTCGGGCCAAAAAATTAATTATTGAGTTTTTCCGTCAATAAATTCTCGGTAGTTGCCTGGAGTCAGGAAGTTGGCGGTGTCTCACCCCCGTGCCTCGGAAAGCACGTACCTAAAGCCGTTAGTCCTGCGCCTGATCTCTCTCCGATCGTGTCGGTTTACCGTCCCATCGGATTATGAGAGTGAGGAAATAGAGAGTGCACCTGTGCTTGCGCATACACTTGGGCACTATAATACAGTCCTGCGCCGTTGGCTAGTCGCCGTTGAGGCAGGCCGCCGTGACTGAAATTCGGTCTGGAGGATATTAATCTCTATATATAAAAACCACTTAATGATTTCTTATATTTACGCGAACACTACACATTGAAATAATACTAGTTTTTACGGAATTTATCGCGTATATTTAACTTTTTAATTACCCGACGTTTCGATAGCTTTACAGCACCCATGGTCACGGGAAGGACTGAGATGTTCAACGTCCAGCTGTCATAGTTAACCGTGGTTACCATAGATTAAAATTTAACTTTTGTTCCGATCTACACAGTATGAACTTAAGGTATCATGGAGTCTTGCAGTTGTATGCTTGGGTTGGGATTTAATTTTATTTATTATAGGATCCCAAGCAGATGGTAGCACCCAGCCATCTTCTCTATTGAAATTAGGATGTTTTTTGATTTCAATAGCCTCGCGAATCATCCTTGGAAGGAATCGGTGTTCTTTAGCGAGGATTTGTGGTCTATCAAATCTGATGTAGTGACGGGGGCGATCCTGTACATGTTCACAGACTGCAGACTTCCCGGAGCGTCGATTCTTCACATCAGCTATATGTTCTTTTACGCGGGTTTTAATGGATCTTTTAGTTTGTCCTATGTAGGAGAGACCACATTCACAATCAAGCTTGTACACTCCTGCATCTTGCAGAGGGACGTTACACTTGACTGATGGTAAAAACTGACCAATCTTCTTCGGCGGCTTGAAGTATGTTTTGATGGAAGCGCGCTTCAAGATGTAGCCAATCTTGTCAGTGACTCCTCTAACATATGGCAGTACAGCAGGTACACGCTCGACTGTGGCCGGCTTCACTCGTTCTCTGTGACGTAGGCGCGGGACCCGAAGCTTATTGTCATGCAAAACTTGCTTGACATGTTGGAGCTCGGCAGCCAGGTGTTTACTGTCACAGATCCCTCGTGCTCTCTGAAACAAAGATTTACCCACGGTAGCTAACTGTGAAGGATGGTGGTGAGAATCACCGTTTAAATATCTATCTGTATGGGTCTTTTTTCTATACACAGTATGGCTCAAGGTGTTATCAGGATTCCGAATTACTAACACATCTAGAAAAGCTAAGGAATTGTTTGCCTCTAACTCCATTGTGAACTGAATTTTAGAATTTATAGAGTTAAGATGGTCTAAAAATGCAGTTACTTTATCTAAAGGTAGAATTGTGAAAGTGTCGTCTACGTACCGCTTGTAGAAACTTGGATTTATGGGAGAAGTAAGCAGGGCTTTCTCCTCAAAGTCTTCCATGAATATGTCGGCGACAATGGGAGATACAGGTGAGCCCATCGCCACACCATCTACTTGCTTGTAGAACTCCTCCTTCCACAATAGGTAGCCAGATGTAAGGCAGTGTCTGAGTAATACTGCATATTCTACGGGCATGTTGTTTTCTTCCAGCCTTCTAGTTACAATTGAGATGCAGTCTTCAACAGGTAAGCATGTAAACAATGACTGCACATCAAAACTGACCATAGTTTTATTGTCTGCCAGACGTAGGTCTTTAATCTCGCTGACAAAATTTATCCAAAGGACTAAATTACGCTATAACTCCACGCAGATTACCGTACGAAGAAATTATCTGTAGTGTCGAGGACTGTTTATTTAAAAACAATATGCGGAAAGAAGATTTGGAGGCGATACGTCAAGACATTTCGTCTATGTTACGTCGATGTTCAGTGCCTAAACCGAATCTTCCCAGAGACGAATTTATAGCGTTAAAGAACCTACGCAATAAACCAGAACTTACGATTCTCCGCGCAGATAAGGGAAACGCCACGGTAGTCATGGATACGTCAGATTATAATTCTAAAATACAAGAACTTTTGTCGGATGTAAGTACTTATAAAAAGGTTAAAAACGACCCAACAAATAGCACACTAAAAACAACTAGTGACCTCATAAAGAAACACTCCGAAAAATTAAATGCGCCAAATCACCAAAGTTGTATGGGTTACCAAAAATACACAAACCCAATGCTCCATTACGCCCCATAGTGAGCCAAATCGATTCACCAACTTACAGATTGGCTCAACACTTAGCGAAAATACTCTCACCGCTCAGGGGACATACAAGAGCACACATAAAGGATTCCTACCATTTTGTCAGCGAGATTAAAGACCTACGTCTGGCAGACAATGAAACTATGGTCAGTTTTGATGTGCAGTCATTGTTTACATGCTTACCTGTTGAAGACTGCATCTCAATTGTAACTAGAAGGCTGGAAGAAAACAACATGCCCGTAGAATATGCAGTATTACTCAGACACTGCCTTACATCTGGCTACCTATTGTGGAAGGAGGAGTTCTACAAGCAAGTAGATGGTGTGGCGATGGGCTCACCTGTATCTCCCATTGTCGCCGACATATTCATGGAAGACTTTGAGGAGAAAGCCCTGCTTACTTCTCCCATAAATCCAAGTTTCTACAAGCGGTACGTAGACGACACTTTCACAATTCTACCTTTAGATAAAGTAACTGCATTTTTAGACCATCTTAACTCTATAAATTCTAAAATTCAGTTCACAATGGAGTTAGAGGCAAACAATTCCTTAGCTTTTCTAGATGTGTTAGTAATTCGGAATCCTGATAACACCTTGAGCCATACTGTGTATAGAAAAAAGACCCATACAGATAGATATTTAAACGGTGATTCTCACCACCATCCTTCACAGTTAGCTACCGTGGGTAAATCTTTGTTTCAGAGAGCACGAGGGATCTGTGACAGTAAACACCTGGCTGCCGAGCTCCAACATGTCAAGCAAGTTTTGCATGACAATAAGCTTCGGGTCCCGCGCCTACGTCACAGAGAACGAGTGAAGCCGGCCACAGTCGAGCGTGTACCTGCTGTACTGCCATATGTTAGAGGAGTCACTGACAAGATTGGCTACATCTTGAAGCGCGCTTCCATCAAAACATACTTCAAGCCGCCGAAGAAGATTGGTCAGTTTTTACCATCAGTCAAGTGTAACGTCCCTCTGCAAGATGCAGGAGTGTACAAGCTTGATTGTGAATGTGGTCTCTCCTACATAGGACAAACTAAAAGATCCATTAAAACCCGCGTCAAAGAACATATAGCTGATGTGAAGAATCGACGCTCCGGGAAGTCTGCAGTCTGTGAACATGTACAGGATCGCCCCCGTCACTACATCAGATTTGATAGACCACAAATCCTCGCTAAAGAACACCGATTCCTTCCAAGGATGATTCGCGAGGCTATTGAAATCAAAAAACATCCTAATTTCAATAGAGAAGATGGCTGGGTGCTACCATCTGCTTGGGATCCTATAATAAATAAAATTAAATCCCAACCCAAGCATACAACTGCAAGACTCCATGATACCTTAAGTTCATACTGTGTAGATCGGAACAAAAGTTAAATTTTAATCTATGGTAACCGCGGTTAACTATGACAGCTGGACGTTGAACATCTCAGTCCTTCCCGTGACCATGGGTGCTGTAAAGCTCTCGAAACGTCGGGTAATTAAAAAGTTAAATATACGCGATAAATTCCGTAAAAACTAGTATAAAAACCACTTGCTGTCCGTTTGTCTCGCTAAAACTCAAATACAGCTCAACTGATTTTGATGAATTTTTTGTGTGTGTTTGAATGGTTCCCTAGATGGTTTATTTATTTATTTATTTACACTTTATTGCACCATAAAAAGATTACAAAGGGCGGACTTAATGCCATTAGGCATTCTCTCCCAGTCAACCCGGGACGTGTGGAAATTATGTGATAGGTGACAAAATAAAATGAACAATAGAGTAAATCAAGGAAAACAACTACTGATAAACTTAAAAACAAACTAATATTATATATACAAATACAATAAACTTATATACTCCTAAATATAATACAGATAATATATAATATATACATACATATTCATAGATACATAAATATATACATATTTTAAATACAAATAGATATATAATATAAACCTATAAATAAAATAACAACAAAGGTAACCAAAATTAACCATATTAACTATCATCTAATATTTTCATAAAATGCTTATGTACCAATCTTTTAAAGGCAATCTTATTAGATGTTTTTCTGACGTTATCGGGCAAGGAGTTCCAGAGCAGTGCAGCCTGAATTGTGAAGGATTTACCAATAAAATTAGTAGAATGTAGAGGGATACTTAGTTTATTATTATATGAGGAACGCAGAGTTCTATCATGCGTTAGGGAAATATATTGAAATTTCTCCTTGAGATAAGAAGGAGTGGTTGGATCATTTAAGATAGAGAAGAGAACAAGCAAAATTCTAGAGTCACGCCTCTGTTTAATAGTGAGCCATTTTAGGCGAGAGCGATAGTGAGAAATATGATCAAATTTGCGGAGATTGAAAATGTATCTGACGCAGTTGTTGAGAAGGCGCTCTAGCTTGTTGAGAAGATTTTGGTTTAAATCCGGGTAACACACATCTGCATAATCAATGATTGGTAGTATAAGTAACTGTACAAGCATAATTTTAGTCTTAAAGGGGAGAAAATTTTTCAATCGATAAAGAGAACGTAAAGAACCAGAGACTTTACGACATGTTTCGGAGATATGAACCCCCCAGGACAGAGTACTATCAATATGGAGACCAAGATTTTTAACTGAGGGAGAGAACGGTATCAGACGATCATTATAATAGACGGGAGGTAGACTAGCCGCATCTATTTTAGCAAGCATCCTTGAGCTACCCACAATCATCGCTTGGCATTTCGTAGGGTTGACAGACACTCCAAAACGCATAGACCAATCACAGACTGACTTGAGATTTGAATTCAATTTGTTGATCGCATAATGGATGTCAGAAATGTCAGACTGTACATAAATTTGTAGGTCATCAGCATACAGATGGTACGAACAATCAATATTAGATGTGATGGAATTAATAAAAATAGAGAAGATTAATGGAGAAAGTATACCGCCTTGCGGTACGCCAGAAATCAGGTCAACCCACTGTGAAGTCACTTGCTCCACGTGGACAGACTGTTGACGTCCGCGAAGATAAGATGAGAACCATTCCAGGACTGGCGGTGCAAACCTATAATAAGAAAGGATAGCAAGAAGGATATCATGGTCAACTGTGTTAAAAGCATTGGAAAAGTCAACGAGCACCACAACTGTAACTTTCTTGTTTTCCATTCCTTCTCTAATGTCTTCAGTTATTTTAAGTAAGGCAGTTGTAGTGCTGTGACCAGGACGAAAGCCGGACTGAAAAGTACTCAGCAGGTTATGTTTATATATGAAATTGGAAATTTGCTTATGAACACAGGCTTCCAAAACTTTAGATAGGAAAGGTAAAACCGATATGGGACGGAAGTGATTGGGAAGTGTTGGATTGGATACTTTAGGAAGGGGTCTAACGAAAGCATTTTTCCACTGACTCGGAAACTGACCCGATTTGACCCGTTTAGATTTACATTTGGATAGGTGGTGCTGTTAATACAGAGATAACCCGTGCGAAACCGGGGCGGATAATCCGCCGGCATTTTTCTTTTCGCCCGATTACAATCTGGGCGTCTTCGAGGCAAAAGGGATTTTGTTATGCTATGACAGTGCGATTTACCATCTCGTGCTTTATCATTACTTACATTACACCAAGTGGGATTATAGTCAAGTACCTATAATAAGTAAAAAGAAGAGAATTATTGTAATCAACATCATTATTACAGTCCTTCACAAGTTCAACATAGGCCTCCCCCATGGAATAAAGCACGTTTTTGGGCCATCTGCATCCATCAACTTCCTGCATGTCTTACCAGGTGTTGTAGTGGGGATGCCCTACACTTTGTCTACCGGTACGAAGCTGCCACTGGTTAACCTTTGTTAGCTATCGGTTGTTGGTTGAGCTATATGGTCGGCCCACTGTCACTTCAGCTCACTAACCCATTGGGCTACGTCAATTATTCTGGTTCTACTGCCGATATCCTCATTTCTATAAAGTTTCAAATAATTTTTATAAAATCTTTCAGGTTATCGGCTACAATATCCAAGCCAAAAGAGGTTATAATAGAATTTGGCCGGCAGCTCTCATTAGACGATCTCCCAGACCAGTATAAAGAGTTGGACCAGTATATGAGGGATACTATACGGGATGCTATGGATTTTATTAATGAACATAGGTAAGTGTTTGGACATAAGTATTACCAAAAACAAATAGAGCTTCCAAAAAGTAAAAACAAACTTTAAACGGCATACTACAAAATGTCTTAGCCTTTCTCATGGATCTCATTATCAGATTTGATTTTTTTTATTTATTTTGATTATGACGTGATTATTAGGCATAATAATTATCATGCTATGTATTTCGATGGCATCGGTATACGGTAAATCAGTATAGCTTATGTTTATACTATAAAATACCAATCTAAATATTGTAAAATTATTATCAAATAAATAGAAAAAAAAGATCTTCACCATAAAATCGAGCAAAAAAGCGGCACGGCCGTACCATCTTTTCTCAAAGCAATTCAGGCCATTTTCGACCCCTTATAACTTCATGGTCAATAAAACTAGAAGCCTGAATTTTCAGTAACCTAAGCATTGTAGAAACATGGTATATTTAAAATTTCATTCAATTTGAACCCGTATTTTAAGAATTGTAACCAGTCAAAATGTCTTAATTTTGTCACTCACTGACTGACCGATCATAAAAACTCTAAGGCACTTCTAGCAGACATTGATGCTTCAAATTTAGAAAATAATTATTGTTTATTGTATAAATCAAGGAAAAACTAAAACATTTGTTAATTTCTGTCCAGTTTTTTAGATACACTAACTGCATAAATAAGTTTGTAATCCCATATAAATATATAGAATTACAAAGTTACATTTGCAGTGAATGAATCTGTGTACTTGTATATATGTATTACAGGTGTACATAGGTACGTTGTTGGTACTCAAGAAGTAGACGGTACCGGAAAGGTAAAAAATTAGGACTATCTTATATACAAAAAAGAAATGAGATACCATTAAAAACATAACTTGTAAAAAAACCAAGTCTCCAACTCAGTTCTTCTACCGTAAAAGTTGTGAGATCCATGTAATACCAAGTCGGTTAATTTATTCAGTTCCTACTTAAGGGTCCTTCTGTTTTAAGTTATTACGTAATTAGCTAACCTAACAACATGTTATAGTGATCATATCAATTTTATTTTTAATTTTTAAATTTTTTTAACTTTTATGTTTTAAATATATAAAAATAATTATATATTTAAAACATAAAAGACATTTAACATTGATATGGTCACTATAAAATGTTGTTAGGTTAGCTAATTACGTAATAACTTAAAACAGAAGGACCCTTAAGTAGGAACTGAATAAATTAACCGACTTGGTATTACATGGATCTCACAACTTTTAAGGTAGAAGAACTAAGTTGCGAGACTTGGTTTTTTTACAAGTTATGTTTTTAATGGTATTTATATTTTCTTTTTAGCAGAAAAAGAATCAAATTAACTTGGAATTGTACAACGTGGTAAGGAATTGTTGCTGAACATATATAAAAAAATATTCTGCTGAATTGAGAACCTCCTTCCTTTTTGAAACCATCAATGTAAACATATCTCAGATCATCAATATAAATAAGAATTGATTGTTGTAACTTCTGTTATCTGTGAAATGATGTGTATGTTTCACCATGCTGTTTTCCTTCACCACAGAGCACATGGTAAATCGGCACTTAAAATTACAATTAACAATTCGGTCTTGGTTTAACTAAAATTCAGACGCTTATGTACTGCAAAATTATGATAAACACTTAACTTCTAAATCTCATTTAATTTTCCTAATTTGGAACAGTAACAGCCCTAAACTTATATTCGTGGTAGAGCCATGCTGCAGTTATATTAGTAGTATAATTGTTGCACGAATGGGTCGTCTCGACCGGGGAAGGGGCACACTCTCACAGAATACCAGCGTCAAATAGCAGCTTAATTCTGCTGTGTTTCGTATGATGAGTGTAGAGAACCGGAGACCATATTTACTGGCAATGCACCTACATTTTGATTTTGTAGATGTCTATGGGCCACAGCATCCACTTACCATGGTACAGGTGGACTGTGTGCTCGTTTGTCACCCTTATACTATAAAAAATATATATTACATATTGACAAAAACGTAAGTACCTTTGTAATGGATGTTATAGTCTCATCATTTACTGCCTCGTTGGTCTAGTGGTTGTAGTAGTGCAGCTGCTGATAATGACGTCCCAGGTTCAAATCCCGGGTCGGGCCTAGAAAAAATCACTTATTGAGTTTTTTCATCAAGAAATTCTCAGTAGCTGCTTGGAGCCAAGAAGTTGGCAGTGTCTATCCTCTGTGCCTCAGAAAGCATGTAATGTTGTAGGTTCTTGCGTCTGATCTCTCTCTGTTCGTGTCGACTTATCACCCTATCGGAGAGTGAGGGAATAGAGAGTGCACCTGTGCTTGTCCATACACTCGGGCCACTGTAATCCTGTCCCGCACAGATGGCTAGTCTCCGTTGAGACTAGCTGCCGTGACCGAAATTCGGTACGTAGAACATTGTTATTAGTTTCATCATCATCATCATTACAACTCTTCACAAGTCCGCTGCTGAACATAGCCCTCCCCTAAAGAATGCCACCAAGCACGGTCCCGAACCACCTGCATCCATCGACTTCCTGCATGTCTTACCTGGTCATCATCATTCCATCTAGCGGGGGCCACCCCACATTGTTATAGTTTGCAAGAAATAATTTATCATCATTTCAAAAATGCTTTTCAGTGTTGAAAATTACTCACTGGTAATCAGCTTGCTGGTAATCATAAATATGACCATTTTTATAAATGACTGCTTATTCAGGATAAAAATATTTAAATTTGAAAATTAAATTGTGAGTTATATGCATATATATGTTTTACTTTAAGGTATGACCCAATGGAGATTTATGGCGAGGATCTTTTAGAAGAATTTATGAACATACCAGACCCTACAAGAGAACCTAAGGAGTTATTCTATCAATTTCTTTACATTTTGGACGAATTAGGTATGGTATATAATATACGCTTGGACGTGGAGTTGCGGAAAATAGCCTGCCGCTAAACGGCTAGACTAACAAAATCTAAAACTTTCGTAAAATTGTTTTCAGGTCCCTATGCTGCTGACAAAGCAGCGTTCTATTTGCTGACTAAATTGGAGAAATTAAAAGTGAAAGTTCCGTACGAAAGGCATTTCTTATTATTATGTATGTGTACATCTCTCCTCGTAAAGATCCGTGCATTTGCAGATGACATATTTTCACAGTTTACCGACTGGGAGAAAATTCAGACATTTTGTACACCAAAACTACTAAGATTTGCAGAGATACTGGAACAATTCCGACCGACAGAAAGCAAAAAAATCGACGGAAATAGAGTTGATAGTTTAGAAAACGCAACTGATAGTAGCAAATCTGAAATAAACAATGCGAAAACTACAAATATGTTGCAAACTATCAATGATTGTGATTTCATTTCTCTAGGCAACAAGATTGAAGACCGCGTTAATACTTATGAGGCTAATTTGAAGGAAATTGAAAATGTTCCAGAAGAATGTGGAAATACAGTGGATAGTTGTGGAAATAAAAGTGATAGTTCATTGAGAATTGTAGAAATAAATTCGAATAGTAATAATGACGTGAAGAAAGACGAAAACAAACTTAATAGTGATACAAATAAAGTTGATAGTTGGCAAAATGGCGCAAAACTTGACAGAAATATAAATATTATGAGGGGTACAAGGCATAGGGTTAGGGGAAGGGGAAGGATTCCGCGAAACAATCCCGTCAGGGTTCAGCAGGCTCAACAAAACCCTGACGCTTTATGCGGAATTGTTTTTGTAAAGGAACCTCTGATGACGAAAATTATATTTATGCTAATTGTGGTATGTTTTTTTTTAATTTTTTGTGCATGCTCTAGTTCTTAACATATATTTTTTAATAGAATAAGGGTGACAGAGGAGCACACAGTCCACCTGATGGTAAGTGGATGCTGTGACCCGTAGACCATGTATCCTCAATTAAGAATCAAAACGCAGATGCGTTGTCACCCCTGAGGACTAAGATGGAATGCCTTGTTTCCAGTAACAAAAAGTATCTTTGGATCTCTTTACTCACCATACGAAACACAGCAGTATTAAGCTGCTATTTTATACTGTATTCTGTGATATTTGGTTAGTATATCAAAGGTCTTAGATTTTGGAGGTTTTAAAACTACTTTTCTGTCTGTTTGGATAGGTACCGCCCATAGAATACTATAATACACAGTAGAATGGCTGTCAACGTTATTTTGTACGGGGATCGGCGTCGCCGGGAGCACACATACAAGCAATTACGTATTATTATCACTACTACAAACCCGATGCGTGTGTTGACAGACCGAGCGAATTTACACATTTTAGACTTGATTAATGTTTTTGACACATCAATATTTTTTATTTTTGTTTCTAATATTCACAAAATATAAATAGTTTCGACTTGCCGGTTGTAGGATATGTGTTCTTTATTTAAATTCAATTTTTCGATGTTGTTTCGACACGTAATTATTGCACAATTTGCCATTTTTTAAATAATTTGCATGCAGCGATGCTTGACACGAAAATTGGAAACGATTGATTGTGATGACATTTATAGGTGTGAATTGACAATTTAGTGGCTACACAGGCTCCGCCCACTCCCCCGTTTTATTATCTATGTATTATAGTATTCTATGGATGAAACCCTCTTAACTATTCCTGACGCCAAGCAGCAGTGCTTGCACAGCTGTGTTCCAGTCTGAAAGGTGTAGAGAGCCAGCATGTTTACAGGCTGTGAGGCGTCCTGTCTTAGATTTCAGAGGTGACATTTTTTTTATAGGATAGGGTGACAAACGAACACACAGTACATATAAACATACACCTAATGGTAAGTGGTTGCTGTGGCCCATAGACATCTACATCTATCCTCGATTACGAATCAAAATGCAGATGCGTTGACACCCATGCGGACTAAGATGGAATGCCTCGTTCCCAGTAAAACAGGTCTCTGGTTCTCTACACTCACCATACGAAACACAGCAGTATTAAGATTCTGTTTTACGCTGGTATTCTGTGAGAGTGTGGTCCTTCCCCGGTCGAGACGACCCATTTTTGCTACAACTATACTACTAATATATCTGCAGCATGGCTCTACCACGTAAAGTTATTATTAGTAGTTTTTTTCTTCTTTTATAAAAACAGATAGGATACAAGGATTTTCTCCTGTATCGTGGAGGCAGTGTACAAACATAAATTTCACAAGGACGAACATCCAGACCCGGAACACTTAATACCCGGAACTTGTAGTCCATACAAATACTTGTTCCGTGCGAGATTCGAACCTGCAATACTTAGTGCTGTAATTCATTGCTAAGCCACTGCGCTACGGAGTCGTAGTGCATCCATAGACTTATTGTTTTGAAGTTGATTGCAAGTGTCCATGGTCTGCACTATCTACTTGGCATTAGGAGAACTGTTCATTGGCATGACACTTAAGTTTTATAAAATTTTAGCAGCAATTAACAAAAGCCCTAAATATTGGTTTTGGGTTTGTATTTTGTTGCGATTGTTGTCATGTGTCTCTCCTTCCTTGAATGTTTTCAAATTACTACCTTCAAAACTCCCTAAACTAGTAGTTTGAAGAACACCCCTTAAACTAATCACCTATGAATAAACTAAACAAATGACCTTTACTAATTTTTCTACTATGTAGTCATATGGGTTTTATATGCTTGATGATTGATGAAATGAAGCGTAAATCGCGCTATCGAAGTTTCAGAAGTACTCTGGTATATATATATATATTACAGCTGCGCTACACGAAGCATTGACCGCTCCCTGGGTTGAAAATCTTGCCCTACCGGAGATCTTCTCTTATCCTTCCGCGGCCCAAGTGTAGTGTAACAAGTGATTTTTTTATTTATTTTAATATACCACGTTTTTTCTATTATATTCTTGTATTGTTATCCAAGTAAGAGCTATATTCAAAATTTTAAGTTTCCAGCTCATCAGGGGGTTAGCTTAAAATCAAAAAGATAGACAAACAGGAAAGTGACTTAATAAAAACGTGGTATAGTCCATACGGATAAAGAATGGTAAGAAATGTCGGCTCATCGGGCCCGTACCGTCAACTTGCACAATACCAGAAGCAAAAACCTGCTAATGATGGTATTTCGTTAGAACGTTAATCATTCGGTTAATTGGAAATTTTCTATGGAAAAATATTTGAAAAGAATTGTATACACAAGGTTTATTAATTTAAATCGATTATTTATTATTGAAATTGACTGCCTCGTTGGTCTAGCGGTTGAAGTAGTGCGACTGCTGATCAAGAGGTCCTGGGTTCGAATTCTGGGTTGGGCCCAAAAATCAATTATTGAGTTTTTCTTTCAAGAAATTTTTACCTAGGTGGATTGAAAAGTACTCGGCCTAACACAGATCCATTCAATTCTAAAAATCAAATCTACCCACATTATTTAGTTCAGTTCAGACTAGTTCATTGTGTGAAGTTCGAAACGTGTGCGATAATTAGTTGTGATTTTATAAATTTATTAACAAAGTAATCGGACATAATTTCCGCGAATGGAGCAAATCGAGCAGCGTGCCGTCGTTAAGTACCTCCATAAGAAGGGGCTATCATCAAAAGCCATCCATGATGACATGGTCAGTACATTAGGCGATTGTGCTCTGTCATATTCATCCGTCAAAAAATGGATAGCAGAATTTAAGCGTGGTAGAGAGAGTGTGAAAGATGAACCCCGCTCTGGAAGGCCTTCGACGTCAACTACTGACGAAAATATTAAAAAAGTACTTGATTTAATAATGGGAGACCGCAGATTAAAAATTAGAGAGATAGCCGAGATTATAGGCATCTCTTATGAACGAACTCAAAACATCATTGTCAACGAGTTGGGTTTCCACAAGGTGTCTGCGAGGTGGGTTCCGCGACTGCTTTCAGTTGAACAAAAAAGGACGCGATTGACTATTTCACGCGACTGTTTGGAGTTATTTGAAGCCGATGCAGATGATTTTTTGAATCGTTTTGTTACTATTGACGAAACATGGGTTCATTACTGTACACCGGAAACAAAACAACAATCAAAACAGTGGAGAAGACCTGGTTCACCACCCCTAAAAAAGGCTAAGTCGATTTTGCCGGCAAATAAGGTGATGGCTTCAGTATTCTGGGACTCGAAAGGTGTGATTATGATTGATTATCTTGAAAGGGGTCAGACTATAAACTCTGATTACTACTGCACCTTACTACGTCGTTTACGAGAGGAAATAAAAGAAAAACGTCGAGGAATACTCAGAAGAAAAGTCCTGTTTCATCAAGATAACGCCCGTGTTCACACGTCAGTACAGTCAATGGCTGAAATTCACAACTGTGGCTTTGAACTGTTACCGCATCCGCCGTATTCACCTGATCTGGCACCATCAGACTTCTTTCTGTTCCCTAACCTAAAAAAGCACTTGGGAGGTCAAAGATTTTCGACAAACGACGAGGTCAAAGCAGCTGTAGACGCATATTTTGACTCTAAGGAAGAATCATTTTTTTTCAACGGTCTAAATGCTTGGAAGGGGAGGTGGCAAAAGTGTATTGAACTTGATGGTGATTATGTAGAAAAATAAAAATATAACTGATTTAGTATGTGTTTATTTTCTTTGTTAGGCCGAGTACTTTTCAATCCACCCTCGTAGTAGCTGCCAGGTGTCAGTGAAGTTGGCGGTGTCTCACCCCCGTGCCTCGGAAAGCACGTAAAGCCGTTGGTCCTGCGCCTGATTTCTCTCCGGTCGTGTCGGTTTACCGTCCCATCGGACTATGAGAGTGAGGGAATAGAGAGTGCCCTGTGCTTGCACTTGTGCACTATAATCCTGCCCTGCGCCGATGGCTAGCCTCCGTTGAGGCAGGCCGCCGTGTCCGAAATTCGATCTGGAAGACATTATTATTACTATCATTATTATTATTAATTTAAAAATAATATAACTTAAGAAAATCGTTAAAGATCGTTCATTTTACCTTATAGATATTTGTATTTTTATAAAATGTAGATTATTCAGAGAACATTTAGTATAGGTAGATCTTTCCCAGTATAATTCGCTATTAGTTCGTGAAGTTTAATTGCAATCTGTTTAGCCATAGCATACACAAGAGATACCTACACAGCCAAACGAAAATTTTAAAAATGGTTACTCATGTCTGAATGGAATGTAAATATTTTATAAAAAAAATATATTAACGAACAAAATCAACAGTAATTGTGAAGAAAACGCATCGTAGCTCACAAATTTAACAATTAAACAATTAGATAAACGTAGACAATATTTTGAGCTTATTTAACTTCACAAAATCATTCACTTCTGCATCAATTGCCCAGAATTGCTTAATTTAATTAATTTTAACAGTCGATCCCGTCTGCGTAACCCGCGTATCTTTCGCCTTGATGTTTACAGAAACAACACGTCTTTTTTTAATTCGGTCATTCGAATGTGTCGAAATTTTGACGAGCTGAGACATCGTAACGCTGATCTGGACATTTTTAATTCTAATATTTCACAATTCAGAAGATCTGTAATTGCTACGTTAAATATGTAAAATTACGAATATCATAAAATAAGTTCTTTTTTTTTAACTCTCACTAGTACTATGTATTATTAATTTATTTTTCGGTTATACTTGTCGTATTTTGTTTTGTTATGCATATTTTATTGGATTATAGACTAGTTATAATATTTTTGTTACTGTAAATGTGTTTTGTAGTGTCTTAAATCTGTTTAGTGTGCCTTATTAATAAAATAAAAAATAAAATAAATAAAAAATTAACTACTATTTTTTTGTCGTTTATGGGATTTTTTTATCATTGATTCCAATGACAAGTGGGACTGAAATTATATAATGTACCGAAAAACGTATATCGCGACGGAATTTTTTTTCAGTGTACGAGCAAGATATGAATAGAGGCGATGCCATTTTCAATCCCATTCTTTACCGCACGGGTAGTAAAATGCCTAAACCCCGTGACGGGGAAGAGCGTCAAATGTGCTCTTGTCTTGTACTGCGATTGTCAATTCGCCTGCTATGGTGTTTACGGGAATTCACTTTGTAATGAGGGTTCACTAATCAGATGTTGCTAGTTTGTCTAATTATTTAACTTGCCCCGCTAGGAAATCCACTAAATATATCGTCTTATTCATTAGTGTCGTCGCCCGGTGATGGAAAAAGTGGATGCCCTCATTTGTACACCCTGCCATAGTATATTGTAAGAGACCCTTTATAGGTTGATGAAGAAAAACGATATTTGTTCTTTACAGGATATGACCAGATGCCGGCCATCTTTGAACCACGTCTCTGCCCAATACTGTGCTGATGAAACAACCGGAAGCGAGTTAAAGGAATGCCAACGTCAGAGCAGGAAGCAAGAAGATGTGTTGAAGAAGTGAGCTTGTTAGATATATCCATGAAAGTTGAAATTTGTATAAAAGAGATGTTTACAAATGTACAGGGTCCATGTACACTTCAAAAATATCAAGAAAAATACATATAATTATTATAAATATATACTTTAATGGTTCAAAATTATTTATTAATCAATTCATTATAATTACAGCCCTTTACAATTCCACTGCTGAATATAAGCACAGTCCTGAACCACCTGCATCCACTGACTTTCTGCATGTATTACCAATTAGTCACACCATCTAGTGGGGGTCGCCTTACACTTCGATTACCGGTACGAGGCTGCCACTTGAGAACCTTTTTTCCTCATTGGTTATCGGTTCTTTGAGCTCTATGGCCGGCCCATTGCAACTTCAGTATAGTAATCCGTTGGGCTATGTCGGTCACTGTGGTTCTACTGTGGATATCCTCATTTCTAAGTTTATCACTCAGAGAAACCCCAAGCATAGCTTGCTGAGTGACCTTGAGCGTCCTTATACGGCCAGCAGTGAAAGACCACGTCTCGGATCCATCATAATCAATTATTTTATTCAATTCTAATATGTATATTATTAATTTTACATTACTTACATAGATGTTTTGTTACAGATTTCGAATGCATGAATGCAACCTTCTACTTGCCACGCCCGCGTTAGAGGAGGGGATAGATCTGCCTCGGTGCAACCTTGTAGTCCGTTGGGACATTCCACCTTCGTAAGTAACAATAATAACTATTAGTCATATTTGCAGTGTCGAGCTTAAACTCGAATCTTCAAAATATCAAAATTTGTATATATAAAATATATGGGCTAGGTTCAAACTTTGACGTGTGGAATTTGAGCTTTTCTGAATACCGTCATTAGAAATGCGCCGAATTCATGTTTTTTGTTATGGAAGTAAGGGTGACAAATGACTATATGAACAGCCTGATAGTAAGTGAATCCTATGGTCGATAGACACCTAAATCTATCCTCGATGAAAAATGCAAATGATTTATTGTCACCACTAAGGACTAAGATGAAATGTGTTGTAACCAGTAAAAAGGGTCTCCGGTTCACATCACTCACCACAGGAAACACAGCAGTATTAAGCTGCTATTTTACGCTGGTATTCTGGTTCTTTCCCGATCGAGCCGAACCATTCGTCCTGCATCCATAGTGTGGCTATATTGTGGATCTACCTCGTAGTGTAGTTTACGACAGGCTATGCTGCGCAATCCCACGTCAAAGCGGGTATTTTGCTCGTGGAAATCTCGAAGAAGTTTCAGCAGTCATCTGCCTCTACCACGTAAGAAAAGAAACCATCCGCTGCTATCACACGGTTTAATATTATAAAGAACTTACATTTAAATAGTATTTCCTTTTTTCCGCAGATACCGATCACATTCACTATGCAGAGGAAGGGCGAGGGCGCCACGTTCGGCTTTGGCGTTATTGGCCGAAGCACCTGAATACAGCAAGCTTTTGCTACACCATTTAGCTATTTATCGAGAGCTGGATCAAGTAAGAACATGTCCCATTATTTACATTCTTGAAACACTAACAAAGCAAATACACACTTACAGCACATATACAAATGCTTGGCGGCAGAAATGTTTGATGATGTTAAACCTTAAGTAAATAAAGGTCGCTTTTACGTGGGGAAATCCTGGATACCTGGCTTGGCCCTTGGGAAAACAGGTAGATTATGTCTGACTCCTACCAATTTAAACCCCACGGCAGACTTCCTTAGCATCGACGAGGGATCACCGGATCTTGTACGGAATGCGACCGTGGCCTCCTCTAGGCTGTTAATTAAGACTATTCTAAGTGTGTTTTCGAAATCCTCAACTTTTGCATTAGGATGTTTCAAGACCATATAGAACCATCGTTTCTCTTGGAGCTGCTTTACTAGGCGGTGCTTGCCCTATTTATATAATTAAACAGCTTATTAATAATTACCATCATCATTACATTTACAAGTCCACTGCTGAACATAGGCCTCCTCTAAGAAACACCACATAACGCTGTTTTGAGCCACCTGCGTTCATTGACTTTCTGCATCTCTTACCAGGTCCTCACCCCATCTAGTGAGGGGCCTCTCTACACTTTGCCTATAGATACGAGGTTGCCATTCGAGAATCTTTCTCCATCAGTTTTCGGTTTCAGATTCGTCGAGCTATATGGCCCATTGCCACTTCAGCTAACTAGTCCACATAGGTCATTAATATTGTACTATTATCTATGTTACAGATTATTAGCAGAAAATGCGGCTGCGGAATACAGGACGAGCCTCCGCCCGAGGAAGAAAACCACGCAGATAATTTTACACCAGTTGTCAAAGCGTACTCACCTGTAGAAACTAAAGTGATCATTTCCCTTAAGGATACCGAAGTCAATCTAGCCAAAAATATATCTAAGAAATATCTACAACAACTGATTAAGGTTATATGTGAAAGAAAGATCATCAATACAGAAACAGAAGATGTAAATAATATAATTAAATACCTTAAAGAATCTGAACCCGAACTTATTGAAGGCAATTGCAAAGAAAAAATTGAAACAAACTCCAGTATAGAAGAATCAGAAGAGAAAAGAAAGATAGAAGATTCTGATCTGATAAATGGAAAGAAAAAATTTGAAGATGGCCTTAGTGAAAATGAGATAAAGAGTTTTGTGGATGAAATTATAACTATCCAAAAATCAAGAAATATCAAAAATGATATAATTACAGATTTAGTAAAACAAATAGATTGTATCCATATAGACTCAAGAAATGATATTAGCGAATTTCAGGATAGTAAAGATAATGTCAATCATAATAGTGATAAAAGTGAAAGTCTCAAAGAGATAGTTGAGAATGTGAATCGGTGTATAGAGAGTTTATCAGTGGATAGATTCAAAGATATTGTTAATTGTAAAACAGAGACAGGTGTTAAAAGTAGTGACAGTGACTGTGTTGCCAGTGTAGATCTCAGTACTGCTATTGCTCTGATAAACAGGTAAGTGGATGCATTGACAGAAAAAGGCGGGATAAATCATGCTAAATTAAAAGTTAAAGAGAAATTAAAAGACCTAATGATTTCTTATATTTATGCAAACACTACACATTGATTAAAACTACTTTTAAGGATTTTATCGCATTTAATTTATTTGATTTTTGATTCCCGACGTTTTGTAATAAATAATTAAAAAGCTGAAGGTACTCGACGTCAGTCACCTCAGTCTCCCGTGACCATGAATTAAAAGACCTACTACATATCATAGGTATGTGTATAGAAACATAAAAAACTATAACATACTAATTCAAACCATATTTTCATTTAAATAGTGCTCAATTTAAATATTGCTCAATTTTACTTGTGATAATTTATATTTTTATAAACTTATATTTCTAATATACATAATATTAATTATATTATATTATATTATTATGAATATTATAGGTTTACTTATTTGTGTTTACAATTAATATGAACTTAGTTTAAATACTATGTATCTACGCAAAATATTACTTTTAAATTATTAAATATTAATAGTCCTTACCAAAAATATGATACATCATTTTTTTTTGCTGACTACTAAAGTAGTTTTTGCATGTTTTCACAGTACAGTACACCATTTCAGACATGTATTAAGTCAGTCGTCAAAACGAAATCTGGAAGTCGTTTTGCATTTTGGCCTCAGACACTTTTGAAAGCGGACCAGAAGTCCATTTAATACTGTCATGTAGACAAAAGATTATAAATACCCATTTTAATTATTTTTGTTTTCAAATACAAATTTTACTTACGATAATGTCATACAGGAGGCTGAAGGAATAGGTATCATTGTAAAATTTTCCTTATTATTTAATGACAAATTCATTAAATAGATGTGACATACAAGCACACAGTCCACCTGATGGTAAGTGGATGCTGTGATCCACAGACATCCACATTTTTCCTTGATTATGAAACAAAATGCAGATGTTTTATCACTCTAAGATGGAATGCTTCATTTCTAGTAAAAAGGGTCTCTGGTTCTCTACATTCACTATACAAAACACAGTAGCATTAAGCTAATATTTCATGCTAGTATTCTGTCAGAAGTTGTCTTATCCTGGTCGAGCTGACCCATTCACGCTACAATCATAATTTAGCTGTAGCGTGGCTCTACCTATTCCTTTGTATAAATTAACTGTGTCCTCTTGCAAACTGTATATCTTGATTTTGGTTTCATCACTTCTGATTTCTCTACCACTATGGAAGCAAATTTAAGGATGTATTTGTGTCAAAAATATATCAACCTTTAAGAAAAAGTCCTTCATAGTAAAGTAATGGTCAATGCAAGCTTATTTTAATGTGAAATACAGTCCTATTTTCGACTCTGGGTTGCTACTGAGAATTTCTTGTCAGAAAAGTACTATAACAGATTTTGGCCCAACCCAGGTTTCAAACCTGGGAACTATAAATAAACTACTACAGACTAAAATAACTAACTACTAAGAAACTAAAAGAAACTGGATGAGGTGTTTAATGTGGATTCATAGGCAATGTGGATATGAATGTTTCACAATTGATATAATATATGAGATGCTCATTTCTTGAAGAACTGACAGTCATTAAAGTAGAGCCATGCTGCAGCTATATTATGGTTGTATCAAGAATGGGTCGGCTCGACCGGGGTAAGACCACCTTCTGACAGAATACCAGCGTGAAATAGCAGCTGAATACTACTGTGTTTCATATGGTAAGTGCAGAGATTCAAGGACCTTTTTTTGCTGGAAGCGAGGCATTCCATCTTGGTCCTCAGGGGTGACAACGCACCTGCGTTTTGATTCTTAATCGTGGATAAATGTAGATGTCTATGGACCACAGCATCCACTTACCTTCGGGTCAACTGTTTGCTCGTTTGTCACCCTAATTCTATAAAAAAAGTTAAGTGTAGGGCGGCACAAAACTAGATAGAAAGATGATTTGGTAAATAATGCTTAAGGCCAATAGATGCACATGGCTCAGGACCGTGTATTGTGGCATGTCCGGCTCCAAGAAGATTGCAATGATAATAATGACAATGACGATAATATGAGGTAGTTATGCTGCCATCTATTGATGTATTATATAAAAAAGGGCACACGGGATGATTATATACTATTGTACATACAACACTCACGCTTGTCATCCAGAGGGGTAGGCAGAGACTACAGACTTCCATTTAGCACGATCCTGACATACCTTTCTTGCCTCTTCCACATCCATATACCTATGCATTCATGCTCGTCGGTTAAGGGTACTCTTAATTTGGCCCATTTTTAGTGATTATATACTATTGTGTTCCTTATTATTAGGTATTGTGGTAAACTGCCATCGGATACATTCACGCGCCTCGCTCCTCAGTGGTGGATGGAGGAGGTCCGACTGCCAGACAGAGATGGCAATATGCAGAAGGCTTACATCTGTACCCTTCGGCTGCCTCTTAACTGTCCAGTGAAATATAATATTGTGGTAAGTGTGTTCTAAGTTATTGGAGTGCTCCTTTTTAATGAATAAGGGTGACAAACAAGCATACAGTCCACCTGATTGTAAGTGGATGCTGTGGCCATTGACAATAATTTTTTTCCTCGATTATGAATATAATGCCTCGTTTTCAGTAAAAAGAATCTTTACACTCAGTATATGAGACACAGCAGCATGAAGCCATAATTTCATGCTGGGTTCCTGTCAGAGTGTGGTCCTTACTCGGTCCTGGCTTTCATCTTCCTCCTATTCCTCTATCTATTTCTCCTTTTCTTACTTCTCTTTTCCTCGTTCTTTTCTAGTCGTAACCCCAGCCTGGGTTTTATTTACGCAGCAGCCAGGTAACACTTGGTTACATGTTCGCCACTTCATTACCATATAGTGATAGGATTGTTTATTGACTTTATATTGGTATACTTTGTTATTATATAATGCTCAATCTGTGATCTTCAGGGACACCCTATGCCGACCAGAGTTCTAGCCAGACGTATGGTGGCCCTACAGGCGTGCAGGATTTTGCACAAATCTGGGGAACTTGACAATCAGCTTATGCCTATTGGTAAGTAGTAAATATTTTTCTATACCACTAGATATTGACGATGCTTCTACCAATTCCGATAACACACAAACACTTATGATGATAGTTATAAACCTATTAATATCTTTGGACTACTTCTGATGAATAATAATAATTGTAAATATATAATAATGATATATTTATTTTCATAAAACATGGTATGAAAATGATTTTACAAATATTATATGATCGAACAACGTGTTTTCGAGCTAACATCTCAATAAGAGGATTTGAATTGTTTAGTCTTCATCATCATCATTACAGCCCTTCACAAGTCCACTGCTAAACATAGGCTTCCCCCAAGGAATGCCACAAAGCACGGTCCTGAGCCACCTGCATCCATCGACTTCTTGCCTGTCTTACCAGGTCGTCACTTCATCTAGTGGGGAGTCGCCATACACTTCGCCTGCCGGTACGAGGCTGCCACTCAAGAACCTTTTTTCCTCATCGGTTATCAGTTCTTCGAGCTATACGGCCGGCCCATTGCCACTTCAGCTTACTAATCCATTGGGCTATGTCGGTTAATCCGGTTCCTTTGCGAATATCCTCATTCCTAAGTTTATCACACAGAGAAACTCCGAGCATAGCTCTCTCCATAGCTCTTTGAGCGACTGAGCTTCCTCATACGGCCGGCAGTGAAGGATCACGTCTCAGATCCATAGGTCATCACTGGCAACACGCACTGGTTGTACCATAGAATACTATAATACATACATAATAGAACGGGTGAGTGGGCGGAGCCCGTGTAGTCACTAAAATGCCACTAACACGTCAATGCACACGTATAAATGTCAACACGAGATGTGTTTTGACGTTCCAATCGTTTCCAAATTTCCCATGCAAATTATTTTCAAAATGCCAAATTGCATGCTATTTACAAATAAATATGTATTAAAATCTGTCTGTCAACACAGGGAATCGGGTTTGTAGTAGTGATTAAGATATAGTGGGGAGTTTTTTCGGAGGAAGTGAGAGATACAAGTGTCGTGCCTTTTTTGCTTAAAATTTATTGTTTTATTAAGTGTTGTTGATTTACCATAGTAAATTTTTCTGTCTTGGTGGAGGTTTTAATATCTGTAAATTAGTAAGTGTTTGTAGTTGTGCCGTTTTTATGTAATTTTTTGTTGTAGTAATATAATGGAGGACGAACCTCCCGATCCCGGAAGGGTTCGCAATGATTCCTTTTCCTTACCCACTAACATTGATAATGTAGAATTAATTAAACGTAAACGTGCCCAAGTAAGTAACGAGTCTGCCCATCCGCAAAAAATAGTTATTACTGATCCAAATCAACAGTTTCCTTCAATACAATCCTCATATACCCATCCTGATTTTATTAATAAAAAAGTTAAGTACTCTCAAGATGATGCCGCTCCTTTTCTAGTTCACGTAAGTAAAATCTCAAATGATCAGCTGTCTGGAGTAACTCTTAAACCAATTAAATTCGGCCACTTTCTGTATCATAACAATATTAAAAATATAGTCCATGATGGAGTCAAAAAAGTTGGACGAAATAGAATATCCGTGGAGTTTAAATCAGCTGCAGATGCAAACACCTTTATCGATCACCCAGCTCTCCAAATTTCTAAATATGAAGCAACCATCCCCTCATATAGTATCACTCGTATGGGGCTAGTTAGACAAGTTCCCATAGAATGGACACTAGAAGAATTAATAGCAGCTATAGAAATTCCCTCTGGATACGGTTCTATAATTAAAGCACGGCGACTTAATAGACGATCAGTGAGTGACAGCAATAGCGTTTCATGGGTTCCAACTCAGACGGTTGTTCTAACTTTTTCTGGACAAAAACTTCCTCCCCATATTTACTGTTTTTACACCTCAATGCCAGTGGAAAAATATGTTTTGCCACTAATTCAGTGTCATAAATGCTGTAGATATGGCCATGTTACTTCCCAGTGCCGATCATCTCCTCGCTGCTTTGTATGTGCACAGAATCATGAAGGTTTATCTTGTACTCGACAAACTCCTACTTGCCTATTCTGCTCTGGCCCCACACCGCAAAAGACCCTACATGTCCTGAACATCTAAGGCAAAAATCTATTAAACTTGTTATGTCACAAGAAAATATTTCATATTTAGAAGCTTCAGCTAGATTCCCTCAGACAAAAAGATCCTTTGCTGATACAACAAGAATCCAGCCTCGTAATTGTTCTCAACAGACCCCTTATACTATAACTGACAGTCTTTCAACCCCTTCGGCTCAGCTCTCACAAACTGCATCATATAAAAAAACAATTTTTATCCCTCAACGTACCCGCAGCCCACCATTAAATTCTGGATATGATATGGCAGCCCATCAAGCAATTGTTGAGAATCCTAATTCTTCCCTTCCTAATGGGTGTGCTCTACTGGGAAATGACAACAACTCCTCTAGTAATGATAATTTCTGCGAACTTATGATATCAATTCTAATTAACATGATCTCCGTTTTAGTGACACGGAACTTCCTCTCAGCTTACACCAAAAACTTACTCAGCTTTCCTCCTTAGCCCGTAACATTCGCAGTCCCGCCAATTCTTCAATGGAATTGTCGGAGTATTAGAAATAAAAAAAATGAACTCATTTACCTCATTAACAAATTTCATCCCTTCATTCTTGCCATCCAGGAGACATGGCTTAGGCCTGAATCTCATTTTAGGGTTTCAGGCTATGCATGCCTCCGGGATGATAGGAGTGATGGTCGTGCTGGCACCTCTATTTTAATTTCAAGAACTGTTACATTTTCACAAATTCCTCTCCCTTCTCATAGTCCAGCAGTAAATGCTGTTGCTATTAAGGCCCTTGATGTCTCTATTCTCTCTGTTTACATTCCTAATCCTGATGTAAATGTTTTAACAGAACTTGCAACACTTATCTCTTCTCTGTCACCTCCTATGGTTATTTTGGGAGATTTTAATATGCATCATACTGTTTGGGGCTCCCATCTGTGTGATTCACTGGCTCCCTTATTTTTAGATCTTATTGATAATTTTAATCTCTGTATTCTAAATGATGGGTCTCCTACCCGTCGAGTATCCCCATTACAAAATGTTAGAAGTGCCGTTGACCTAACTCTCTGCTCTCCAGATATTGCTTCCCTTCTTTTGTGGCAAATATTACCTTCTAGCTATGGCAGTGACCATTTTCCTATATTCATCACTCCTCCTACTTCACCTAGAATAAATTTTACATTTTGCCCAAGACTAAAGTATAATCTATCCAAAGCTAATTGGCAATTATATTCTAAAGTCTTGGAACAAGAGGTTTCAACTCTTCCCCCAATTAACAATGATAATATTGCTACTGTATATATAGAGTTCAGAAATGCAATTATTTCTGCTGCTAATAAGTCAATCCCCTTAAAAAAAACCTTTCAAAAATAATTATCCCTCCCCTCCTTGGTGGGACCAAGATTGTTCAGCAGCTTGTAGGAGAAGAAAAGAGGCTGAATTAGTATACTCCCGTTCTATGACTGCAGAGAATTATATCTCTTATAAAAAAAATTGCTGCAGAAACCTTAAAATTACTGTCAGACAAAAAGCGAACTGGTTGGTTTAAATTCTGTGAGTCACTGTCACCTAGGACTCCCCCATCTTTGGTCTGGAGAAATGTTAAAAAATATCGCTGTGCAGTTTCTAGTGAAAATATAATTTCTAATGATCCTTCCCCGTGGATAGATGAATTCTCTAATAAACTTGCACCACAAACAGTCCCATCTTATGATGAATGCCTAGTTTTTAATTCTGCTTTTTTAAAAACAAATGATAAATTTGATTCCCCCCTTTTCTTCTCAGGAATTGTTTACTGTACTCAATGGCCTTAAAGACTCCTCACCAGGTATTGATGGGATTCCTTATTCGTTTATAATTAATAGTAGTGAGAACACTAAAACTGTCTTACTATCCATTTTAAATTTTATTTATATTACTGGTGATCCTCCTGCTGAATGGAAAACCCAAATTATTTTGCCCACTCTCAAACCAGGTAAGTCTAGCAATGACCCTTCCAGTTACCGACCTATTGCCCTATCTTGTACTTTGGCAAAAATCTTGGAACATTTAATAAAAAATCGCTTGGAGTGGTTTTTGGAAAGGAATAATCTCTTACCTAAAAGCCAATTCGGTTTCCGAAAAGGTTTAAGTACCATGGATAGCCTAAGTACCTTGGTCACAGATATTCATATTGCCTTCTCAAAACATGAATTTCTCATAGGAGTTTTCTTGGATATTTCTTCTGCATATGATAATGTACTTCTTCCTGTGCTCAGGCAGAAAATGCTTAATCTGAGCATCCCAGTGAGGATAGTCAATTACGTCTCTAACTTTCTCTCTTCTAGATCAATATCTATAAATGTTAAAAATCTCCTGCTTCCCCCAAAAACTATATGGAAAGGACTTCCACAAGGCTCAGTTCTTAGTCCTCTCCTTTATTCTATATATACTCACGATTTAGAACTTTCAGTAAATTCTTTTTGTAATGTTCTTCAATATGCAGACGATTTAGCTCTATACATCTCCTCAAACAACTTCACAGTGGCATGTTCCCGTCTAAACTCATCCATGGATTATTTACAAGAATGGTTAACTAATCATGGCCTCTCTTTATCTGTGGCCAAGAGTAGTGTGGTGATCTTTTCCCGCCAAAGGCGAGTTCCCGATATATCTGTTGTATATGATAAGCAACCTATTCCAGTTAGAGGCAATGTTAAATTTTTGGGAGTTATCCTTGATTCGAAATTGGCCTTCGGTCCATACATTGAATACATAACACAAAAATGCGAAAAAAACATAAATATTCTTCGGTCTTTGTCAGGTGTTTGGTGGGGGTCCCATCCTTTTTCTCAGAAATTACTGTACAATGCTTTAATACGAAGCCACCTTGACTATGGATGTTTTCTGTTGGAGCCTTGCAATAAATCATCCCTTAAAGTAATGGACAAAATTCAATCGAAATGCCTTCGCATTATTACAGGGGCAATGAAATCCTCACCAATAAATGTTCTTCAGGTTGAGTGCGTAGATCCTCCTTTAAGATTAAGAAGGCAATACCTTTCAGACAGATTCTTATTTAAGATCTGCCAACTTTCAGATCATCCCCTAATTCCTAAATTGCACCTTCTTTCAGAGTATATCTCATCTGACCGATACTGGACCCATAAGGACTCTCCCTGCTTGTTTAAAAGTTTTGTAATTTTTCTTCAGCTTCCTTACCCAATCTTTCAATGCAAAATAAATCCACTCTTTGATGTTCCTTACGAGGCTATTGTTTACCAACCCGACATTCATCTAGATCTAGGTATAGAAAAGGATTCTCCAATGGCAAATTTGAAATTAAAAGAAATTATAGAAAACACCTTTAAAGATTGGCTTGTCATGTACACAGACGCTTCAAAACATTCTGATGAAGACTATACTGGAGCTGCTGTTTGGATTCCTAAGTTCAAAATCATTCTTAACTTTAAATGCCCCTCACTATCCTCCACTTTTACTGGTGAAGCAACTGCAATCAGTGAAGCTTTGTTATATGTAGAGTCACATAATCTTAATAAAACAGTTATTTTCACAGATTCAAAAAGTTGTTTGTTAGCTATTTTGTCCAATCAATTCCATAACAAACATAAGATTCCACTAATTCTTAAAATAAAAAATACCCTATTCAGATGCCATCTTAAAGGAATCCATGTTTCAGTGGCCTGGATTCCAGGCCACAGTGGTATCCATGGTAACGAAACAGCTGATGTACTCGCTAAAAATGCAATTGCTAATGGCATTCTACAAAATTTAATTTACTCACATGACCTAATTTTGCTAGCTAAAAGGAAACTGAATGAAAATTGGAATAAATTATGGGAAGTTTCCAAAAAAGTTAAAGGTAAGCACTATGCTGCCATCCAAGAGGTTATTCCTCCCAAGCCTTGGTTCTTTAAATTTAACAAAGCAAATAAACATGCAACTTCAATCATTTGTAGATTAAGAATTGGACACGCCTGTACACATGCACATCTGGCAAAAATCAGAGTAAGGGATAGCTTATTGTGTGAATGTGGCTTAGATGAAGGTTCCACAAACCATATTTTTTTCAACTGTCCCAAATTATCCTCCTCCCTTTATGATTACCTTCCTCCTTATATTCCTCGACCTATAGATTTTAATTCTCTTTTAACATATACCAGTACTCCTTTTGTGTATATTTTATGTGATTTTATTAATACTAATAATATGAAACTTTAAATCCTTGTCACTTTTAACAAACGGGTAAGAGTCTAACACCTGTGTTTGTCATATTTGTTCTAGGTAATTCAACAAATAGATTTGTCAAAATTCTCGGAGGAAAACTGAATCCTTGTATTATCACAGACTCTTATTTTTATTAAACTCATAAGCTTTCATTTTCTACTCAATACGTCATTGGCGAATTTTATCAAACCGCCACAAAAGAAAGAAGAAGAAGAAGAAGAAGAAGTAGTGATTAATTGGTAATACGACGTTATTGCTTGTATGTGTGCTCCCGGCGACGCCTCTCCTCGTACAAAATAAGGTTGACAGCCATTCTATTGTGTATTATAGTATTCTATGGGTTGTACAATCTAGTTTTGAGATTTTGAGGTATGCCTGACGAGAAAATGTGTCGCAATCTCCCGAACGCTGCCCAGCCGAGTTGCGTCCGCCCATTGACCTCTCGGTCGAAGTTCGACTTACCTAGTTGGACTACTTGTCCCCAAAAACATGTGTAAACATATTTAGTCTTATATTTAAAAAAAATCATATATCAATATTTATTACAATAAAAAAATGATCATACAGTCCTACTGCTTGTATAGTGTCCGCTGTTTAGTGTACCTGCTGTACCCGCTTAATATTGCCAAGGTTAGCCTTAACCTTTGGGCGAGAACAGAACCAGCACTAATGTCACCAGCGGCAATGATCAGTCATGGATACAGTTTTTTGAGAAACCTAACCGCTCGTGGACCCCGCGGATCATTAGCCTATACAGCAAATGACACAAATATACGGTCATCTCTCAGAGACTCATATTTGCGTCATTTACTCTGTTCAGAACCAACAAATTGTCTGACTAGGTAAGTCCAATTCGACCGAAAGTTTAATTGACGGATCTAACGGTACGTGTACACCATATCCGATTTTGTCGGCCGATGGCGGACAGAACTACCCGGACGAGTAACTCGGACGTGTATGTGCTTACACTGCAACAGTGTACCACTTGTGCCGACATTGGACGTTGCAGGTATTCTTTTCTATTTTTCTGTTTTCAATATCCATAGTCGTTTAGGTAGATAACAACACTGACAGAAACAATAGAATAAAGACAAAATGATTAAATTAGACTATAAATACACTCAATTTGCACTGTAGACGCCGGCAGTCGGGCGAGAAATCCCAACAAGTTCGGACTTGACGGTTGATCGGCCGTTTTCCTGCGTTATCGGACGATGACGGTAGCTCTCTTTGTTTTAGAAGTGTTTGATTCGATCGTCCGAGTTCGGCCGTCATCGCCCGAGAAAACTTCGACCGATGACGGATTAGGTGTATGCGAAGCGTAACTCGTCTGGGCAGCCAGGAGATTTTTTTTATAGGATAGGGTGACAAACGAGCACACAGTCCAACTGATGTTAAGTGGTTGCTGTGGCCCATAGACATCTACATCTATCCTCAATTATGAATTAAAATGCAGATGCGCTGGCACCCGTGAGGACTAAGATGGAATGCCTCGTTTCCAGTAAAAAGGGTCTCCGGTTCTCTACACTCACCATACGAAACACAGCAGCATTAAGCTGCTATTTTACGCTGGTATTCTGTGAGAGCGTGGTCCTTCCCCGGTCGAGCCGACCCATTCGTGCTACAACTATACAAACATATACTACTAATATAGCTGTAGTATGGCTCTACCACGTCAAAATTAGACAGATTACGACACATCTTCTCGTCCCATATACCTCGAAACTTGAAACAAGATCGTATAACCAGTGATGACTTATGGATCTGAGTCGTGATTGTTCACTGCTGGCCGTATGAGGAAGTTCAAGGCCGCTCAGCGAGCTGTGGAGAGGGCTTTGCTTGCAGTTTCTCCTCGCGATAGACTTTGTAATGAGAATATCCACAATAAAACCAGATTAACTAACATAGCGCAATAGAACGGTAAGTTGAAGTAGCAATGGTTCGGCCATACAGCGTGTGGAATCCACAAAAGGTGAGGAAGAAAGGTTCTCGGGTAATAATTCTTCTACTTCGTATCATTAAGCAAAGTGTAGGGCGGCCTCCCAGTAGATGGAGTAACGACCGGGTAAGAGATGCAGGAAGTCGATGGATGCAGGTTCTTTGTGGCCTCCTTGGGGGAGTGCAGTGTTCAGCAGAATACTTGTGATGGGCTGTAATGATGATCGTGATATAAAAATTAGTAAAACTCCAAAAAAACTGTCAACAGATGGTTATAATAATAATAATGTCCTCCAGACCGAATTTCGGCCACGGCGGCCAGTCTCAACGGAGGCTAAGCATCGGCGCAGGACAGGATTATAGTGCACGAGTGTATGCGCAAGCACAGGTGCACTCTCTATTCCCTCACTCATAATCTGATGGGATGGTAAACCGACACGACCGGAGAGAGATCAGGCGCAGGACCAACGGCTTTACGTGCTTTCCGAGGCACGGGGGTGAGACACCGCCAACTTCCTGACTCCGAGCAACTACTGAGCATTTCTTGACGGAAAAACTCAATAATTAATTTTTTGGCCCAACCCGGGATTCGAACCCTGAACCTCATGATCAGCAGTCGCACTACTACAACCACTAGACCAACGAGGTAGTCCAACAGGCGGTTATGGAAATAGTTGCAGCTTCGTACTGGAAAGCTTAATGTAGGTATGATATTGTAGTCAACGTCATAGTTAGCAGGGTAGGCTCCACCAAATGTCATCATGATCTGCATAGATGAAATTGGTACATAGATGCTAGTGTCTCAAGATTACTATTTTACGCTTTGTGGCATATGTGTGAGATGGTGACGTCGTCGCGCCACAAGCGAAATACTTCGAAGCTTAAATCAAGCTTTCAAAGTTCCGAAGTTAAACAGCATACATATATAAAATGGCTCCGAACTACCACTCGGAGCGTTGTCCGCTCCCCGGGCTGAATACTTAGCCCCGCGGGAGATCTCCCTCCCTTTTTCTTTCTACGGCCACAGTGGCGACCCCGACGTGATCTGAATACGCAACCAACAACCTTCGGAAACCAAAACTTCAAGACTTCGTCATTGTCTTTAAGAAGCCCTACTACTACCATTCATTCCTGAGAATCGTCTTCTGCAGTCTTCAGCTTCGCAAGCTAGTCGAAATTGTCTCTCCGCAGATTTACATAGAAGAATATAGAAAACCTATGTTCCTATATGTGATTGTTGGAATTTATTAGTGATCATCCAGAATTTTTTCAGGTAAAGAGAACTTCAAAGCAGCAGAGTTGGAGGGGACTAGCAACTTAATTAATAACTGTGCTCATATCAATGGTGATGCTACCGAACTTAACGATTCAGCTAGACCGGGCACTACCAAGAGACGTCAATACTACTTTAAACGGGTATGAATATATATATATTTTTTTTTAAATATTAGTAATCTTATTAATTAACAGTACTAATATTCCTTTTAACCACTCCTGGTAAGCTTAAAACGCTTGTGTTAGGAGTGGTTCACGACAGTTCTCAAATGGCGGATTCGAACCCACGACCTTTTGAGTTCGCGATTCGCGCCCTGCCATTGGGCTACTGTTGCTTTAAATTTTTTCAAATATATATATATATATATATATATATGTGATAAAAAAATAATAATGTCCTCCAGACCGAATTTCGGCTACGGCGGCCTGCTTCAACGGAGGCTAGTCATCGGCGCAGGACAGGATTATAGTGTCCAAGTGCATAAGCAAGCACAGGTGCACTCTCTATTCCCTCACTCTCATAATTCGATGGGACGGTAAACCGACACGACCGGAGAGAGATCAGGTCAGAGAGAGGATCGGGATCATGAGGTTCTGGGTTTGAATCCCGGGTCGGGCCAAAAAATAATAATTGAGTTTTTCCGTCAAGAAATTCTCAGTAGCTGCCCGGAGTCAGGAAGTTGGCAGTGTCTCACCCCCGTGCCTCAGAAAGCACGTAAAGCCGTTGGTCCTGCGCCTGATCTCTCTCCGATCGTGTCGGTTTACCGTCCCATCGGATTATGAGAGTGAGAAAATAGAGAGTGCACCTGTGCTTGCGCATACACTCGTGCACTATAATCTTGTCCTGCGTCGATGGCTAGCCTCCGTTGAGGCAAGCTGCCGTGGCTGAAATTCGGTATGGAGGACATATTATTATTATAACTGTACTATCATTTACGTGGTTGCACGTATATAAGTCATAAATAACAGCTATGCTAGCTATTAGCTATAGTTACATAGCTGCAGCACGAATATAATTAATTTATACGTGGTAGAGCCACGCTGTAGCTATATTATAGTTATAGCACGAGTGGGTCGACTCGGCCGGAAAAGGACCACGCTCTCACAGAATACCAGCGTAATATAGCAGCGTAATGCTGCTGAGTGTAGAGAACCGAAAACCCGTTTTATACACATCTGCATTATTATTCTTAATCGAAGATAGATGTAGATGCCACCTCTATGGGTCACAGTATTTACTTATCATCAGGTGAACTGTGAGCTCGTTCTTTCTTTCTTAATTACTTTATTTCTTTTCTTCATTTTTTCTTTTTTCTTTATTTCATAAAATTATGACGAGTAACAAATATTGTTTTTCGCAGACAGCGTGGGCGTTCACCGATTGCCAGCCGGTGATCGACACTAGCGACTCCGAGATCGATCCACCTGACGGTGTACAGCGCGATGCTGAGCCGAAGCAAGAGGTTAAGTCTGGTAAGATAGAAATTTTAACGTAAACGTATTTCCTTCATATAGTTGTATACTATCATCATAATTATTATTTAATAGACTTCTAAATATGCTCAATATTTTAAGTTACAGCCTATTATAGAGTGAGTGAGAAGATAGCACACAATCCAACTGATGGTATGGAAGCTGTGGGCTATAAAAATCTACATATATCCATGATTAAGAATCACACACACACCACGCAACACACACACGCACACACACACACACACACACACACACACACACACACACACACACACACACACACACACACACACACACACACACACACACACACACACACACACACACACACACACACACACACACACACGCACACACACACACACACGCACACACACACACGCACACACACACCACACACACACACACACACACACATACACATACAGACACATATTTCTTAGCGGAAGGTTAAAAATCGAGATATGGTGTCATGGAAACGGCCGTGTGTCACTTGAATACGTGTACCTGACAAAACGACCTTAAAATGCCGACGTTCCTCCCTCTACATCTACTTTGGGGAGTGGTCAGAGGAAATGTGACATCTCTGGTGTAGCGTGGGCGGTGATTATCGTAGCGCTGCTAATGTACCATCAGGCGCATGCTCGTCTAAAATAAACATTATTTCTGTTTTATATTTATTACATTACTAGCGATCCACCCTGACTTCGCACATGTAATTTTTGAATCTCGACAACAGCGCCACCTTCCGGGTCCAAATGTGATTCTAAGTCAACTAGGAACTAAACATACAAAAAATTTCATCTTAATCGGTCGAGCCGTTTTTAAGTTTTAGCGAGAGTAATGTACAGCAGTTGATTTTTATATATAGGAATAAATGAATAAACCAAACTAAGAATATTCGTAAATATAGAAAAGATAAAAAACTTTAAAGAGCACACCACGGGCTTTGTTCGGTGTATTATGTATACACTAGAAACTAAAATACTGTTGCGTGCCTAAGTTGATGTGTGGTACCTGGCACTAGCGCCATCTTGTGTCGGCGAACAGAACGAGAAGAGCATTTTAGAAAAGCCATGCTGGAACTTTCCACCTCCAGCGCCATCTAGTATCGAATAGAACTAAGCTTTCTGGAAAACTCCACACTCGTACTTTCTCCACCTAGTCGGTCGGGACCGGTATTTGCTGGAATATTCTAGAATCTAGATGTTTCGGTGGAAAAGACCTATTTAAAGCTGTTAAAAGCCGCGATCGGGGCAGTATTGAATTGGCGATACGAGCGAAGCTTTCGGAGTGAAATAAAGTGAACTAAAGTGTTAAGTGTGATTATTTATTAGTGTAATTTAAGCTTTAATTGGTGTTCAGTAATTAAAGTGTCAATTTTGGTAATTCAATCGTCAGTTTTTATTGTCACGAACCCTAAACTCGTAACAATACTTGTATTTAAAACGCAACTTCCTAATTATAAATGACATTGTGTAACAGAGAAGTTCAGCTCAGTCCCAACTAATTAGCGATGTGTTCCACAGATGCAAAACGTAACACTCTATACGCGATAGACTCTCGACTGTGGTGCGCGTTGCCGGAGCGCTACAACACGCGTGGCCGTCGCCTGCACGCGCCGCAGCACGCCAGCCAGGCCATCGGCATCCTCATGGCGAGGCACCAACCCGACAAGTGAGTGTGTTTGCGTGTAGCTGTAGCTGTACGGTAACGTGCCGTGTGTACTCTCTAGTGAGCAGTAGTGTGGGCAGTGTGTAGTGTATAGTGCGCGTCGCCTGCAAGCGCCGCTGCACGCCAGCCAGGCCATCGGCATCCTCATGGCGAGGCACCAGCCCGACAAGTGAGTGTGCGTGCCGGTAGCTGTAGCTGTGCGGTAACGTGCCGCGTGTAGTCTCTAGTGAGCAGTAGTGTGGGCAGTGTGTAGTGTATAGTGCACGTCGCCTGTACGCGCCGCAGCACGCCAGCCAGGCTATCTTCATCCTCATGGCGAGGCACCAGCCCGACAAGTGAGTGTGCTGCGTGTAGCTGTAGCTGTAGCTGTGCGGTAACGTGCCGCGTGTAGTCTCTAGTGAGCAGTAGTGTGGGCAGTGTGTAGTGTTAGTGCACGTCGCCTGCAAGCGCCGCAGCACGCCAGCTAGGCCATCGGCATCTTCATGGCGAGGAACCAGCCCGACAAGTGAGTGTGCGTGCATGTAGCTGTAGCTGTGTGGTAACGTGCCGTGTGTAGTCTCTAGTGAGCAGTAGTGTGGGTAGTGTGTAGTGTATAGTGGATAGTGCGCGTTGCCTGCACGCGCCGCAACACGCCGTATATGTATAGCTTAGTGATCAGAAGTATATATATATATTGTGTAGTTAGGAGTAGTATGTGTATTGTGTAATGATTAGTAGTGTGCGTATTGTGTAGTGAGTAATAGTGTGTATTGTGTGGTGAGGGGTAGTGTGTGTATTGTGTAGTGAGTAGTGGTATGTATATTGTGTGGTGAATAGTAATGTGCGTAGTGTGTAGTGAGTAGTAGTGTATGTATTATGTGGTATGTGGTAGTGGGTGTACTGTGTAGTGAGCAGTAAGATTCACATAAGACATTATACTATATGTACTGTGTAGTGAGTATTTTGTTCTGAGTGATTTTTAATGGACAGTTGTGTGTAGAGTGAATCGTGTATCCCGTGAACGTAGTTTACAATACTTAAGTACTACCAGGATAGTCATCCAGACCTGGAAGTATTATTTTATTATACAAATATTTGTTTCGTGCGGGATATGAATCCGAGCCACGTTGTAACTAATTGCTAAGTTACTGGCGCCAAGTGGCCGTCATTAACATCCTATCGCATCAGTGCAGTATTAACCTATTGTTACGAACTTAGGGTTCTCGACAATACAAACTGCCGATTGAATTACCAAAATCGACACTTTAATTACCGAACACCAATTAACACACACACTTATAATTAATCACACTTAACATCATAGTTATTTCGTTAATAAGTCCTTACTTGTATCGCCAATTCAATACTGCCCTGATCGCGGCCCCAAAACGGCTTTATATAGGCCTTTTCCACCGAAACATCTAGAATGTTCCAGCAAATACCGGTCCCGACCGAATAGATGTATAAAATTCGAGAGTGGGGTTTTCTAGAAAGCTTAGTTCTTCTATTCGATACTAGATAGCGCCAGTGGGAGAGTTCTAGAAATATCTTGACGCTCCTATTTCTGCTGCTTGATACCAGATGGCGCTAATAATCACCCGCCATATACCGGGCGCTAATTATAGCGCACAACAGTATTTAAACATATTTGTATTAATTAAAACTTTCTATTGTGCTAAAATTTATAAAATATCTTCCATAATATAATAATTAAGGGGATAAGTCGCTCGCGTCCGTAGGCTTTGACCACCTATTCCTAGGCCCACCCTACACGTGTCCCCCGGGTGGTGCTAAATGAGCGACAAGCCGATAGCACAGACTCGGCTCCACGCCGTGGTAGCGGCGTAAAATATACTACCCCATATTTCGCACCATGAGGAACCAAAGAAAAGAAATGGCCCCGAGTTCCCGGCGCCCCTTGAATGGGGCAGGGGTGCGAAGAATCTCCGGGAGGAAAACCGGCGACGAGGTTCGCCACCCGTCACGTTCTGTCTCCCAGAGAGGCGAAAAGTGGATTGCAGAGGCCCGTCTGGCTACGTTGAATGTATGAGGGGCAATGAATGATAAAATGGATGAAGTATGCGATATGATGTATGATAGAGGAATAGATGTGTTATGTGTAAATGAGACGAAAAGGAAGGGGAAGGATGTCACTGCACATGGCATGTATACCGCATACTGGTCTGGTGTAGACGAGATCGAGCGGGCATGCCAGGGAGTAGGTATCATCCTTTCAGAAAGAATGGGCCAATGTGTGAAAGAGTATGAATGTGTAAGCCCAAGACTGCTATGGATACGAATGAAAGTGGGCTTAAAGAAGTTATTTGTGTTAGGGGTCTACGCCCCAGACATGTCTAAGCCCACTTATATCCGAGAGCAGTTTTGGGAAATGGTAAGGATGGTGTTAATGAAGTGTAAGGGAAATGAAAATATTATTATGCTAGGAGATTTTAATGGAAGGGTTGGGGTGAGGAGGCTTGGTTATGAAAGGATATTGGGAACGTTTGGTGATGAAAGTATAAATAAGAATGGTGAAAGTCTCCTCACCGTATGTATGGAAAAGAATCTTTTTGTGACGAACACTTGCTTTCGCCACAAGAGGATTCACATGTATACTTGGGAAAGAGGTGACGATAGAAGCATGATAGATTTCATAATTGTGGATGAAAGATTGAGGGGCGCAGTGGTGGATACAAGGGTTTACCGGGTTTATCATTATTTGGTTTTATGCCGAATTAATGGTCTGTTGAGGCGTTGGCGCCATCGATCATCTGTGTCTGCCACTGCGTTACAGCGTATTAGAACTGAAAGGTTACAAGAGGAAGGTGAGAAAAACAAGTTCAAATGTAGACTGAAAGAAAATATAAGTGGTTTGGATGAATTATGTATGAAGGAGTTAGACTTGGAGAATATATGGCAAAATGTAAAGAAAGGTTTAGTGGATGCAGCTACAGAAGTATGTGATGTTAGTAAGAGAAAGAATGAAAGGAAAAATAATACGTTATGGTGGGATGATGAGATACGTATGGAAGTTGAAGCAAAGAAGAGAGCATGGCTAGATTTACTAGCAACAAAGGCTGGTAATTCTAGTGGTACGAATGGTGATATTGAAAGAAAAAAGGCGGTCTTTAGACATCTTAATAAGAGAGTAGAAGAAGTAGTTGAAAGAAAAAAGCAAGAAAGAACGGATAAGAATGATAGAAGAATATCGGATAACTTCCAGGCAAATATTAAAATGTTCTGGAAGCTGGTAAGAACTGCCAGGTCCGGACATTCAAAACAGCCTATGATGAATGCTATAAGAGACGAGAATGGCTATATTCTGAATGATGAAGTTTTGAGTTTAACGAGATGGAAGGAATATTTTGAAAGCGTGTTTATAGTGAGGAGACAACGTGTGTACAAAGTGAAGTAGAAACTCCGAAATAAGAGGAAAGAGATAGCGAGATAAGTATAGATGAAATAATGAAAGCAATGAAAAGCATGAAAGCAGGTAAGGCTGCCGGATATGATAGAGTTTCACTCGAAATGCTAAGGGCTGGAGAGGAAGTGGTGGCAGGCCTGCTGCACACCTTGTTTAATTTATGCTGGGAACTAAAGCGGGTACCGGTAGACTGGTGCAAAGCCGTAATAGTCCCAGTATATAAAGGAAAAGGGTCGCAGCGGGACTGTAAAAACTACCGTGGTATCAGCCTTCTTAGCATTGTGGGAAAACTGTATGCTAAGGTACTGATTGAAAGGGTCATGAAAGAAACTGATGGAAAAATTTGGGATGTGCAAGCGGGATTTAGAAAGTGAATGGGATGTACAGATCAAGTTTTTTCCATGCGCATGAGAAGTTTTTGGCCAAAAACCAAAAGGTTTTTTGATGATAAGGATATAGAACGACGAGTGAAAGCGGGAAATATAGTAAATGGGGCCCTGCACTTTATTGTGAAGAGTCAAAATGTGTCGAAAAAGGCACGTATGGCAATTAACAATGCTGTGTTGGTCCCTACTTTAACGTATGGTAGTGAAAGTTGGGTGTGGCACAAGAAGCACGAGATTAGAATGAACGCAGTAGAAAATCGGTCGTTAAGGAGTATGTTAGGGCTGAATCTGAATGACTGGGTAAGAAATTGTGTAATAACCGCTCGATTGCTTGCGTAAAAAAAAATTGGTAGCATACTTTGCCAGTAAGTCGGGACTGTGTTTCTCATGTTAGACCCGCCGTCAACAAAACTTAATTTATGACTTACTCGAGAGGAGCACTTCAAATATTTTAAATTTTATGAATAGCCATTGAAATTAGAAAAGAAAATACGTATGTTATTCTCTCAAAATATGATTACAATAATATTTTAGAGGTGTTGAAATCACAAGTACAAGCCATTTTAGCGACTTTTTGTAAAACATCGGGTTTATGAAAAAAATAAGATCGATAACCGCATGATTATTCATTATATCCTTAAACTTAATTAATTACTTGATATATTTATTTATATTATAAAACGATTTATATTTAAATACATAGTAAAAATCTTAAGTGAAACCTGATGAAGAATTCACGGTTAAAATCTAGGCTGTTATTACTAGAAAACTTATAATGAAAACATATGATCAACAATTTATAAAACTTTATTACTTAAATTGAATAATTATATTCAAATACCACTACGACTATTTCGTATTTAAAGAATACAACATAATTACGATAATGTAAGCTATAGAAAATTATGTTTAGATTCGCGTCACTCTGAGTATTTTTAAAAGTCGACTTTATCATATTTTTCATACAGTATTTGCAAAAATATATAAAACGACACAACACAAATACAAAAAGAAGTGAATGGCGGAGTCGGAAAGGGACGTCCTAGGCTAAAATTTATCGACCAAATTGGCGATTTATTGAAAACGGGCCAAATTAGGAGTACCCTTAACCGACGAGCATGTATGCGTAGGTGTATGGATGTGAAGGAGGCGAGAGAGGTGTGTCAGGATCGTGCCAAATGGAAGTCTGTAGTCTCTGCCTACCCCTCTGGGTGACAGGCGTGAGTGTTTATGTTTATATGTATATCTTCCATAATTTCCTACTGAAATCATAATTTGCGTTCAAAAACCGAGTAGGATTTATATTTGATCTGTATGTTTTTTATGTTTGTTCACCGATTGACGGCTCCGTGGCGCAGTGGCTTAGCAATGAGGCTGCGCTGAGGGCCGCGGGTTCCAATTCCGCACGGAACAAATATTTGTATGGCCTACAAATAGTTGTTTCGGGTCTGGATGTTTGTCCTTGTGCAATTTATGTTTGTAAACTGTCTCCACGATGCAGGAGAAAATCTTCTCAAAAAAAATGTGGGGATAATTTCTTGGAAATGGCTGAAATATATTAAATTATTTTTTATATTAAAAGGTGTGGTCCCATGTACAGGGTCATTTTGCAATTACCGGCAAATTTGCAGAGAAGTTTCAGAATAAGCAATGTAGGCAATCGCTGAAGAAGAATTAATTGAAAAAAAAATTCTTTATTATCTTTTTAATTTAAAATACGTGGTAATCCATTATTTTAACTGATTTTACAGCGCACGTACACTTTCGTAAGAGCAATGAGTAGGCAAAAACGTTGTTGCCCATATATCACATTAAATTTGGGATAATTTCAAATAAAAGTAGAATTTACTCGTATTTTCAAAAACTGCAATAACGGTATATCAAAAAATAAAAAATAACCCTCTTTTTTATTATTATTTGATGAAAAAAATTTAATTCCTAATGATGGAAAAATAGAATAGGGGATAAAAAATTTTATGTAACATTTAGAGGTTTTTCTAGTTATGACCTTGAACTTGTGATCTTCCTAACACCACTTCAAAGAGTAAATAATTAACTCACAAGATTTTCAGCTGAAATCGTGGCTTTAATTCGACTTCAGAAGCTATTTTGTGGAAGTTGTTGAATACTCTTGAGTTTTTTGGAGTAGGTTTTTAGTAATTATTAAAAGTTAAAGTTTGTAATACTTTTCACTAATGGTTTCGTACCTCCGCGGCGAGTGCAGGCTGCAGATCCCGGCGTTCCCCGTGTACACGCGGTCGGGCGAGGTGCGCGTGTCCGTGCAGCTAGCGCCCCACGCGGACGTGCGACTGTCTCCGACCAGAGCGCGCTTAGTGCGCAGGTAACGCAACCCCCTCATCTCACCCCTCAGGTTTCCATTCCCCTTTCCTGCTGACATTGAACATTTGTTTATTGTTTATATTATTTAAAATTATAATTGTATAATAATGTCCTCCATACCGAATTTCGGCCACGGCGGCCAGTCTCAACGGAGACTATCCATCATATATAACCTTCGGCGCGGGACAGGATTATAGTGCCCAAGTGTATGCGCAAGCACAGGTGCACTCTCTGTTCTCTCACTCTCATAATCCGATGGGACGGTAAACCGACACGACCGGAGAGAGATCAGGCGCAGGACCAACGGCTTTACGTGCTTTCCGAGGCACGGGGATTAGACACCGCCAACTTCTTGACTCCGAGCAGCTACTGAGAATTTCTTGACGGAAAAACTCAATAATTATTTTTTTGGCCCGACCCGGGATTCGAACCCAGGACCTCATGATCAGCAGTCGCACTACTACAACCACTAGACCAACGAGGCAGTATAATTGTACGATTATATTATTTTATTTACTGAGCAACGTGTTTTAGAATAATAATTGTTTTTAGTTGACTTTAAAAAAAAGAAGTTCTTAATTTTATTGAATGTCTATATTTTGTTACAAGATATTTTCATGAGTTTTGAACCGATTTGTTCTTGGTTCTATGGTTCTTTTTAGGGTTCCGTACCCGAAAGGTAACCAACGGGACCCTGTTACTAAAACTCCGCTGTCCGACCGTCTGCCCATCCGTCTGTTCATCAGTAGGCTGTATCTCATGATCCGTAAAGGTAGACACTTGAAATTTAGATAGAATGTATATTTCTGATGCCGTTATAACAACAAATAATAATAATAAATTAAACATTAAAGGGGGCTCCCCTACTAGAAACGTGTTTTACGATGGTACGGAACCCTTCATGTGCGAGTTTGTCCGGTTTTTGTATTTTTGGATTTTATTAAATTGGTTGTACTACAGGGGTGGTCCTACAATTTTACGTGGTAGAGTCATGCTGCAGCTATATTAATTATATAGTTGTAGCAGGAATGGGTCGGCTCGACCGGGGAAGGACCACGCTCTCACAGAATACCAGCGTGAAATAGCAGCTTGATGCTGCTGTGTTTCGTATGGTGAGTGTAGAGAACCGGAGACCCTTTTCACTGGAAAAAAGGCAATCCATCTTAGTCCTCACAGCTGACAACGCGCCTTCATTTTGATTCTTAATCGAGGATAGATGTAGATGTCTATGGGCCACAGTATCCACTTACCATCAGGTGGACTGTGTGCTCGCTTGTCAACCTTTTCATATATATAAAAAAATAGCTTCTAAAGTCGGTATTTTTTCATTATTTTATACACTATGTAAAAGTACCGATTTTTAAAGCTGCTATGTGCAAATTATTCTTTTTTGTTCATTGTTGACTTCAAAGCGCTTTTACTTCTTATCAAATGCAAAATTTTGCAAATGTTTATGCAGCCTAGTCGGCTGTGTATTTTGTTTTCATAATTCTTATCAGCATGTTAATGCGTTACATTTTTCTTGGGGGATTTTGAGAGTGACAAGAGAAATTCAAATTAATTTATTCCTTGCCAGAATGTAGTACATATAATCTTTTAAAAATATTTCAGCACCAAGTTCTTAAATTACAATAAATACATGTCAAAATTTAATTAATTATGTAAATGATTTTATATAAATGTCAAGTATCAAAAAATTAATAAATGTCAAAAATAAAATAAATATTAAATGACAAAAAAAATTAATCAGTTTTTTCATTATTAGACTTGAGAATTGTGAAGCTGTGAATTTTCATATAAAAAGCGAAAACGTTGTATTTCAGTTGTATAGCTATGCTCGATTTGTATTAGACAACTCGAATTAGACACAAATGTGGTACGCCGTTAGCCTCTTACGCTGTTCCGTTTCGCATTGTGAATTTTCCAGCTTAGTCCTCAGAGGTGACAAAGCATCTACATTTTGACTCTTAATCGAGGATAGATATAGATGTCTATTGACCACGGCATCCACTTACCATCAGGTGGACTGTGTACTATGTTTTCAATTCCCAACGCGAGTTACATGCTGTTATGACCTTCTATACAAAAAAATAGACAAAATGATTTATTACCCAGAAGGTCACCAAGCTAGGTGCCTGGCTTTCTACTTTATATTATTATTATTTTTTATCATACTTTGATCGTAAGTTCGTTTTTCTACCCACATCGACAAGTGTCACAGTGTCACCCGATTCAATGACTTATTAATTTAGTACACATGCTGATTTCTTATATTTACGCGAACACTACACATTTAAATAATACTAGTTTTTACAGATTTTAAAATTCGTAAAAACTAGTATTATTTAAATTCACATGCGTCAAATTTCTAACTCTGTAGTACGTAAACGTATACAACAAAAGTATAATATCATGATACTTTGTGAATAAATTATATTACTTGAATTTAAATCGAACTTTCCATCCAGGTCTGATTAAATAGCAGTATAACATCAGGAAAAAAGTATGACATCGCAACCCGTGTTTTTATAACAATACTGTAATGAAGTACTTCTTCTGTAGACCAAATTATTACTTAATTCTTTTTTGCTGTAAGTACTTATCTAACAAAAAAAATTAATAAATTCACCTTTCATAACTTCCTTCTTAAATTCTTCGGTAATTTAAAGAATGATATGAAACCTTTTTTTGGTCATTTCATTTAGTATCCATCTAAGCATCAGTTATAGTAGGAACGACGTTTTGCTATTATAATTTATCAAATAGGTTATACATAATTATATAATTTTTAAAATACCTACATTAAAACTTTTACAACTATTTTTACCTACAATTAAATATACTAAACACTGAACAAAAACTATTTCAATAACTATTTACATACAACTATTTACGTAAACAGCGTTAAAAAACTTTAACATTCAATCGCCTCCAATGAGCTATCCCTGACTGCGTATTTCGCCTGGGCGGGCCCGGAGTTTAGGGTTCGTGACAATAAAAACTGCCGATTGAATTACCAAAATTGACACTTTATTTCCCGAACACCAATTTAAACTTAAAACACACCAATAATTAATCGCACTGATCACTTTAGTTCACTTTATTTCGCTCAGAAGCCTCGCTTGTATCGCTAATTCAATACTGCCCAGATCGCGACTTGCAGCGACTTTAAATACACCTTTTTCACCGAAACATCCAGAATATTCCAGTAAATACGGGCGCCGACCAACCAGGCGCAGAAAGTTCGAGTGTGGGCTTCTAAAATGATTAATTCTTCTGTTCGATATATATGATAGATGGCGCTATTGGTGGAAAGTTCACGATTGACATTTTTTAGGAAGCCCTCCTCGCTCTGGTCCCCGACACCAGATGGCGCTAGTGCCATCTAGTGCGTAACAATACTAACGCGGATTGCTATGTCATACTTTCCTACCTAGTGGCGTAATATACTATTATCTCTTTATTTTGCAGGTTCATGCGTTTTGTATTCTCCGACGTGCTGAGGGTACGCAGGCGTGGCATGAAGCTCCAGAGTGAGGGCTCTACTCACAACAACTATTACATAGTGCCTACTATTAAAAGTAAGAAATAATATTTTTAACTATCTGTGCCCGGTATGCGTTTTTTTTTCTTTGGTTATTTACTCGTACGGTTATACTTTTGCCAGTGACACTTTGAGCCGGCCCACACGTACCAAAACCACACCACATCGCAGCGATAAAATGTCACGTGTGAATAGTGTCGCTGCAGCTCTTTGCAGTTGCGTTGTGGTTGCGTTGAAACCCTAGTCGTGACGTCGAGCAAGGGAACGTGCGGCCCAGTACCAAACAAATAAAAAAAAAAAAGAAAAAACACAATGTTGTGTTTGCGATATGTGGCCGGCAGCTAGTTCCATGTATTTGTGTCGTGGTCGGTTTCACTCAGGCAGTCGATAATGAAGGCAAAATATGGTACATGTAAATTGTACCATTCATTTCCAACACAAAATACGGCCGTCCACTTGTTGTGGTTGGTTGTGGTTTTGGTACGTGTGGGTTGACCTTTGATAAAGTTCTTTCTAATATAATGATGCATTACATGGCGAACTCTGGTAGATTTTTATGATTACACGCTTTATTCTATTTATTTTTTACCTATCTGCTTTTTTTCAACGATTTACTTTTCCCTGTAAGTGTACTGTGTGTAATTAAGTATATTTATAAGCTTACCTTTATAAAGTTATATTTGTAATGTATGGCAATTATTGTTAATAAATCGCACGACTGTCTGAAGCAACAGATATTTATTGACTGACAGTGAGTAAGTCGGGCGTAAGGCTGTAAGACATGACGTGCTCGTATACATATCTATTATAGTTACACTTACAATACAATAGATCCCAATATTGAGTTGAAATGGCTAAATAATGTACCGAATTGTGACAAGGATCAATGACGTGACTTACCGGATACAGTAAGGTGCAACAGGTACTCCTAAGATCGTCCATGTGGATCGACTGGCGCGTTTTAGGAGGCCGATAATGCTCGGGACGAGCATGTTTTAGGAAGAGGCAGTGTTGCGCGCAACAATTAATGCCTGGCAAGTTGGACACTAGTTACCACTAGCGCACTCTAGTATCGAGTTGCAGAACTAGGAGAGTCAAGATCCTTCTAGAAATTTCCATGGAAGAACTTTCTAGAACAATCGACACTTAGTCAGGACCGGTATGCTCGAATATGGCTCTTTCTCAGTCGATATACGTTACATTACCTTTTTTTGTTAAAAAAAACCTTCGCGGTCGCATACATAACAAATAAATAAAGTTTTGTCGTACTCGGATGAATGATTAATAGACGCATTGCAGATACAATTCGGATGAACGGTATAGAAACCCAAAGAAAAAAAAATTAACAACCACATATTCGTTTTTATATACTAAATAATATTGTTACGAGCTTAGGGTTCGTGACAATAAAAACTGCCGATTGAATTACTAAAATTGACACTTTAATTACCTAACACCAATTAAAGCTTAAAACCCACTAATAATTAATCACACTTAACCCGTTAGTTCACTTTATTTCGCTTCGAAGTTTTCGCTTGAATTGCCAATTCAATACTGCCTCGGTCGCGGCCCTGAACAGCTTTATATAGGGCCTTTTCTACTGAAACATCTAGAATGTTCGAGTAGAATGTCGAAAGTTCTAGCATCGAATTTTCTAGAAAGCTCTGCTAGTTCTGCTACTATATACTAGATGGCTCTAGTGAATTTTCAAGAAAGATCTTGATGCTTCTATTTCTGCTACTTGATACTAGATGACGCTAATAATCGACCGCCATGTACCAGGCAATAATTATGTCGCTCAACAATATTACAGTGACACACAAGCCAAATCGCCCTAGCTAACCGTGTAGTGGCGATATAAGAATATCCACTACCCCATATAATCCCGTGGGTGTCGTAAAAGGTGACATAGAAAATAAAATAGAAGATAGGCAATGGCGTCTTCCTGATAACAACTCAACATAAATAAAATACTACGGTTGCCCACCCGCTGTAGTGTAGCTACTATGAAGAAATAATTTAACTAAAATATTAAACTATATCCTCCATATATGGAGTACACGTAAGTCATATGAAATGTAGAAATAATGTTTAATTAGTCCATATTATATTTATATAAGGAGACACCATTCACATGTCTCTACCTGGAACCGTGCAACACGAAGCCTTCTCCCTACTTATGTACCTACGTCATATTTACTATATATAAGTCTCCTTCTATTAATTAAAATGGTTGTTAAACTGCACCAGTTAATTTATTTTCTTGCCCTGCGCTCCACATTGCACCGCATGCCAAGCGTGACAACTACGCTAGATATCTCCCAGGCCGTGCAACCTAATGGGAGAAACTGTAATGGGTGGTTGGGTGAAGTGGTGGTATAACGCCATCTATCGGCTAAAATATTTTTCTGTCATTTACCGTAGTCGCCTCTTACGACACACAAGACAAATATCAATCTAAAACATACGTCGTACAGCCACGCTGCAGCTATATTATGGTTGTAGCACGGATGGGTCGGCTCGAAGGACCACGCTCACATAGTACACCAGCGTAAAATAGCTGCTCAATACTGCTGTGTTTCGTATGCTGAGTGTAGAGATCCAGAGACACTTTTTTACTGGAAACGAGGCATTCCATCTTAGTCCATATTGGTGACAAAGCATCTGCGTTTTAATTCTTAATCGAGGATAGATGTAGATGTCTATGGGTCACGGTATCCACTTAGCATCAGATGCACTGTGTGCTCGTTTGTTACCCTTATTCTATAAAAAAATGTAACTATACTTAATTCTCTTGCAGCAACAAAAGAAGACGGTACGACAATGGTAGACGTGGACTGGGGGTTCCTAGAATTAATATACAAGCACACAGAAGAGAAGAAGAGCTTGGAAATGGAGAAACCACTCCTCTTCCAACAGGACGATGAGGAAGAAGACGAGGCCTTAGAAGACAAGATGTTGGAAAAGGACAGGGGGAGGGATAAAGACGGCAAAGTGAAGAAGATGGAAAATCCCCTGCTGAAGCCAGGGGAGACGTTTGTTTTCGATCCCGAGAAATATAAGGAAGCGGTTGTCACGCCGTGGTACAGGAATCAAGATCAACCGCAAGTGTGTTATTTTGCTATCTTCCTCGTTGTTCCACTGCATCCTATTAAAGTCCACTTCTGAACTTCTTTATACGTGGTAGAGCCACGCTACAACTATAATAGTTGTAATACGAATGGGTCGGCTAAAAGGACCATGCTCTCACAGTACACCAGCGTAAAATAGCAGCAATCTGCATTTTGATTCTTCGACACGACACACGAAGGATGAAACGGGGCGATGTATTCTGTTATGGCTCTCTAGGTTCCCTATAAGTTCAATATTCTCTTATATACTGGATGATCTTTTTTACCGTCTAAAAAAATAGGGTGTGAACGAAGTCTATGGCACTGATATTTTACAAAAAATAAAAACAAAAATAGTAGAATATAATATATGTTATATTATATGATATATATATACATAAATAGCAGAGACTACAGACTTCCATTTGGCACGATCCTGACACACCTCTCTCGCCTCCTTCACATCCATACGCCTACGCATACACGCTCGTCGGTTAAGGGTACTCCTAATTTCGCCCGTTTTCAATAAATCGCCAATTTGGTCGATAAATTTTCGCCTAGGACGTCCCTTTCCGACTCTGCCATTCACTTCTGCAACATAAATTTTCTTTGTCACTCTTTCCTCATTCATTCTTTCCACATGACCAAATCACCGAAGCATTCCTTTCTTAATCCTGGTCACAACATCATCTTGCAAACCACACTCTTCTCTTATTACACAATTTCTTACCCTGTCGTTCAGATTCAGCCCTAACATACTCCTTAACGACCGCATTTCTACTGCGTTGATTCTACTCTCGTGCTTTTTCTGCCACACTCAACTTTCACTACCATACGTTAAAGTTGGGACCGACACAGCATTGTGAATTGCCATACGTGCCTTTTTTGACGCATTTTGACTCTTCACAATAGAGTGCAGGGCCCCATTTACTCTGTTTCCTGCGTTCACTCGTCGTTCTATATCCTTATCATATCTCCCATCCCTGCTAAATACGCAACCCAAATATACAAACTCATCTACTTGCTCGATCAACTCCCCTTCTATTCTTATTTCACAAATCGTTTTACTTTCTTCTCTTTCAAAAACCATAACCTTCATCTTACTTGCGTTCACTTTCATACCCCTTTCTTTTAATGATCTGTTCATTAATGTAACCATCATTTGCAACTCGGCAGCCGACGACGCAAGGATAACTTGATCATCGGCGTACAAAAGGCATTTGACGGTTAACTCCATTTCTTTCACCCCAGTCTTAATCCGCATTCTTCAACTTTCAAATTTTGCAAACAACTGTCCATAAATAGGTTGAACAGCCACGGGGAAGCCACACAGCCCTGTCTGACACCTTTATGGATGTCAAACCAGTCCGAGTAGACCCCGTTGCTCCTAACACAAGCACTAAGAGTCCCTATAAAGAGACTCCAATGCCTGTATCAAGCCAGCGCTCAACCCAAATGAGTTCAGTGTTTGCCATAGCACATCCCTATCCACTCTTTCATAGGCCTTTTCCAAGTCTATGAACGCACAAAAAACCTTTTGGTTTTTGGCCAAAAACTTCTCCGCGATCATGCGCATGGAAAAGACTTGATCTGTACATCCCATTCCCTTTCTAAATCCCGCTTGCACATCCCAAATTTTTCCATCAGTTTCTTTCATGACCATTTCAATCAGTACCTTAGCATACAGTTTTCCCACAATGCTAAGAAGGCTGATGCCACGGTAGTTTTTACAGTCCCGCTGCGATCCTTTTCCTTTATAAACTGGGACTATCACGGTTTTGCATCAGTCTACCGGTACCCGCTTCAGTTCCCAGCATAAATTAAACAAGGTGTGCAGCACGCCTGCCACCACTTCCTCTCCAGCCCTTAGCATTTCGAGTGAAACTATATGATCTATATGATCCGGCAGCCTTACCTGCTTTCATTATTTCATCTATACTTATCTCGCTACCTCTTTCCTCTTATTTCGGAGTTTCTACTTCACTTAGTACACACGTTGTCTCCTCACTCATAAACACGCTTTCAAAATATTCCTTCCATCTCTTTAAACTCAAAACTTCATCATTCAGAATATAGCCGTTATCGTCTCTTATAACATTCATCATAGGCTGTTTTGAATATATATATATATATATATATATATATATATATATATATATATATATATATATATATATATATATATACAAGGTGTCTCAAAAGAAAGTATCACATTTAAATCTTTTTTTAAAAGAAAAGTCTTAGCTTTATTGAAAAAATGTTTATTTTATATTGAAGTACACTGTTTGGGAATTTATTTTTAAAAATAACATTGTCCAAATGTAAACCGTTGCGCTCTCGGCATTCATTTAGTCGGGCACTAAAATTGCCTATGACAGCTCGGCAGGTAGTCTCCGTGATGGCTGCCATTTCATGACGGATATTTTCTTTTAATTGTGCCAGGGAAGTCGGTTTATTAGCGTAAACTTTTGATTTGACATAACCCCACAGGAAAAAATCCATAGGCGTTAAATCGGGACTCCGTGGAGGCCAATTTATGTCACCTCGCCAGGAGATTAATTTGTTCGGAAAAATTTCTCGAACTCGAGGCAGAGATCTGTTGGACGTGTGTGAAGTTGCTCCATCCTGCTGGAACCATGTTCTTTGGTTGTAACCAGGAAAGTTTTGCAGTTGGGGTACGAAAAACTCGTCTAACATCTCCACATAACGCTCTGAATTCACTGTGAGTGTGCGTCCCCTTCCATCTTCAAAAAAGTAAGGGCCGATAATTCCTCGCGCCGACATCGCTGCCCATACGGTGACTTTGGGTGAATGTAGCGGTTTCTGATGTTTTTGTTTTGGGTTGGTTGCACTCCAGTAACGACAATTTTGCTTGTTTACATGCCCATTCAGGTGAAAATGGGCTTCATCGGAAAACAAGATGTTGGTGAACGTTGGAAGGCGCTCAATCATCTGATTTACAAAGGCAAGCCTCTGACCAGCATCTTGAGGCTTCAGTTCTTGCACTAACTGAATTTTGTACGGGTGCAGCTTTAAATCTTTGTGTAAAATGCGGCATAATGAAGATCTGTGCACATTTAAAGCAACAGCACGCTTCCGAATCGAGAGGTTTGGATCATCTCGAATAGACTGAGTAACACTGTCCACGTTTTCGGCTGTTCTTGATGTTCTTGGTCGCCCAGATTTTGGTTTCTCCAGAGTTGACCCAGTCTCTTCAAACTTCTCAACCCATTTTGCAATGAGACGAGTGCTAGGCGCATCATTTAAGTGACGAATATGTCGAATACTGCAGAATTTTCTACGCGCTACAGTCGCCGAATTACCGTTTTTGTAAAACTCACGTACGCACAACGCACGGTCCGCACCAGAGAAACGCTCCATAGCGACTAAATTCCCAAGAGCCAGACTACCGACTGACATACCCCCCGCGCCCCTCAGAATAGTTGCTTTCGCGTAATAAGATAAGCAAATGTGAACTTACTTTTGAGACACCTAGATATATATATATATATATATATATATATATATATATATATATGTTATAGCAAAAAATGTGGAAACTTTAGATACATAATTAGACTCGGTAGGTGGCGCTATTGTCGAAATATAGAAATCACCCGTAAGTAGTTCGGGCGGTTTTCTAGTTATATGTATAATTTAAAGTACATGTATAATTTTGTTTGTTTTCAGTTTTTCTTGGTGGCAGAAATCTGCTGGAACCTAACCCCGGACTCTGCTTTCCCGTCAGCCATGCACAGTACGTTCCGGGAGTACTACAGCACAAAGTATGGTGTGGTGCTCACACAACCGAATCAACCTCTTTTGGACGTCGACCATACCAGCGCTAGATTAAACCTTCTGACGCCCAGGTAAAACTTATTTAATCCTATACCTTTCAACGAGCAATTCTTATATATATATATATATATATATATATATATATATATATATATATATATATATATATATATATATATATATATATATAATCGGAATCTCGGAAATTGCTCCAACGAATTTCATAAAATTTAGTATCCAGGGAGTTTCGGGGCCAATAAATCGAGCTAATCTAGCTAGGATTTATTTTTATAAAATGTCTTTTTGTCCATGTTTACAGGCAATGAAAAACTGCTACAATATAAGAAGGTAAATTTTGACACTGTGTTAAGATCGTAATAGCTCAAGTGGATATCGAATGGTCGCGAAATCGTAATGCCTTGGTTCGCGTCCCGTCTTCGGTCCGATTTTTTTTCCTTTTTTTCAAGTTCCCTTCTTTTGTGAGAAAATCTATTATTTTGAGCCCTTTTTTTTAGTATTTTTTAAAAATACGAAAATTTTAATTAAACTAATTGCACTCATGATTTTTTATTCAAATAACCAGTTCAGTTTTTTCTATTATGTCAATAAGATCAAAAAATATTATTCAGAATTCATTCAATTTGTATCTGAATGTAATTTAAAAAAAACCGAGCAAAGCTCGGTCATCCGGGTACTTCTTATTTATAATACTTTGGAAGAGTCACGCTGTAACTATATTATGGCTGTAGCACGAATGGGTCGGCTCGACCGGGGCAGGACCACGCTCTCACAGAATACCAGTGTTAAGTAGTAGCTTAATACTGCTGTGTTTCGCATGGTGAGGGTATAAAGATCCGGACACCATTTTTTACTCGGTAATGAGGCATTCCATCTTAGCACTCTGTGAGCCACCCTTATTCTATAAAAAAAGATAAAATTAACAAACTTCATATCCTATTTTGTTATCAGGGGTGGAATTTTTTCTGCAATTTATTTTTATTTTTATGGAACTCCTGAATATCAGTTTGCAGCAGTCCGTTTCTGAACTCTCCCAAAGAGTGCTATTTAGCACGTTCTTCGGCTAAACGCATCCTGTTCCCATTAGTCAGCTTGCGCAGATTTTCGCTCCATTTAGTCAGGGGTATCTCACACTAATACATAAATAAAATTGTAGTATCTGTCTGTAATATCAAAATAATAATAATAATATTCCACAACTATCACACGACGCCATCTAGTCCCAAGCTAAGCAGAGCTTGTGTTATGGGTACTAGACAACTGATAAGCATACTTATATATTTCTAAATACATAAATATTATAGATAAATTACATCCAGATACAGAACAAATGATCGTGCTCATCACACAAACATTTGTCCTGTGTGGAAATCGAACCCACGACCTCCGGCATAGCAGTCAGGGTCACTAACCACTAGACCAACAAAAAAAAAATAACTGCTCTTTATTGAGCTCAGGAGAATATTGCATGCCATTATGCGCAATGCCATTTCAACTTACACGCAATAATGTCACCGATAGACTTTCGTGCCACTCGTGCACTATAATCGTGTTCTTTGCAAACTTTGCAAACAGCTAGTCTAGATTTGCCGCCGTGACCAAAATTCTGTTTAGGACTTTTTTTCAAAGCGTTTCCACCACAAGGATTTTCACCTGTATCGCGAGGGCAGTTTACATACATAAATTTCGTAAGAACAAACTTCCAGACCCAGAACAATTATTTTTAGGCAATACAAATACTTGTTTCGTGCGGGATTCGAACTCGCGGCCCTCAGCATTCGAACTCGCGGCCCTCAGCGCTGCAACTGCTAACGTTACAGTCTAAAGTCCACTGCTGAACATAGGCCTCCCCCATAGATTGCCTACTGTTGATTTAATAATTTCACCTCTCAGTGGGTCATGTGCTGCTAGTAGATTATCTTCTATATATCTATCCATTACAGCTTATTTCACTGCTGAACATAGGCCTCCCTCATAGATTGCCTCATAGTTGGGATATTTGCCATAGTTGTAATGTTACTGTTGATTTAATAATTTCACCTCTCAGTGGGTCATGTGCTCCTGGTAGATTATCTTCTATACATCCATCCATTACAGCCTATTAAAGTCCACTGCTGAACATAGGCCTCCCCCATAGATTGCCTCATAGGGTGGATATTTGCCATAGTTGTAATGTTACTGTTGATTTAATAATTTCACCTCTCAGTGGGTCATGTGCTTCTGGTAGATTACCTTCTATACATCCATCCTTTATAGCCTATTAAAGTCCACTGCCGAACATATTCCTCCCCCATAGTATGCCTCATAAGAGGGATATTTGCTATAGTTGTAATGTTACAATTGATTTAATAATTTCACCTCTCAGTGGGTCATGTGCTCCTGGTAGATTATCTTCTATACATCCATCCATTAGAGCTTATGAAAGTCCATTGCTGAACATATGCCTCCCCCATAGATTGCCTCATAGTTGGGATATTTGCCATAGTTGTAATGTTACTGTTGATTTAATAATTTCACCTCTCAGTGGGTCATGTGCTTCTGGTAGATTATCAATTCTATACATCCATCCATTAGAGTCTATTAAACTCCACTGCTGAACACAGGCCTCCCCCATAGATTGCTTCATAGGAGGTATATTTGCCATAGTAGTAATGTTACTGTTGATTTAATAATTTCACCTCTCAGTGCGTCTTGTGCTCCTGGTAGATTATCTTCTATACATCCATCTGAACATAGGCCTCCCCCATAGATTGCCTCATAGGGAAGATATTTGACATAATTGCCACGCTTGGCAACCGCAGTTTTTTTATTTTTAGTCTTCATAAAGAAGACGCTGCTGCCCATATCATGATTTGTTTCCCTCTATCGTCTTTTACGAGATCCACGGGACGATATATGGGATAGTGGATATTCGTACACAGCCACTACATGGTCAGCATCATATATTATTTTTATTATTAATGAATGTTTCCTGGTGGGTGTTGGGGTGGGCAGGTACGTGAACCGCAAGGGCGTGGCGCTGCCGGTTTCCTCGGAGCGCACGCGGCGAGCCAAGCGCGACCGGCTGGACCAGAAGCAGATCCTGCTGCCGGAGCTGTGCCGCGTGCATCCATTCGCCGCGCCGCTCTGGTTCGCCACCGTGGCCTTGCCCTGCGTCCTGTACAGGTCAGTACATACGTGCTGAAACTGGAGCCAAGCGCGACCGGCTGGACCAGATGCATTCTGAAGTTTTATTATAAGAAAGGGAAAAGTGCGACTCAAGTCGCAATTTTTTTTAACGTTTATGGACCTAATGCAGTATTAGGAAGGGTGGCACAAATTTGGTTCAAACGTTTTCAGTCCGGGAATTTTGATATCAAAGGTGCAGCTCGCTCTGGTCGCCCTCATACGGATAAAGTCGAGGCCATTTTTGAAAAAGTGGAGCAAGATCGGCATATTAGTAGTCCCGACATAACCAAGGCATTGAGGATTGATCACAAAACAATTTTGACCCATTTGAAAAAGTCTGACTATACAAAAAAAGGTTGATATTTGGGTACCACACGAGCTCATTGAAAGAAATCTAATGAATCGATTATTTATTGAAACTTTAATGCGATTCTTTAATGAAACTTAATGGAACCGAAACATTTTTGAAAAGATTGATCACTGGTAATGGAAAGTGGAGTACAAGAATGTGCGAAAAAATCATGGTCAAAGGGTAATCAAGCCCCACAGACTGTAGTGAAACTCGGATTAACACGCAATAACGTGATGTGTGATGGTGTGATTGGAAGGGCATCGTTTATTAGGAGCTTTGACCGCCGGGCAAAACCATCGATTTGGATCTCTACTGCCAACAACTAATGAGATTCAAGCAAGAAAACTAGAAAAAATGGCCGAAATTGATCAACAGATAAAGATTAGTCTTTCATCATGATAACGCCAGACCACACACATATTTGGCCACTCAGCAATTATTGAGGGAGCATGGTTGGGAAGTGTTAATGCATCCACCATATAGTCCTGGCATTGCACCCTCAAATTTTTACCTGTTTCGATCTCTTGAGAATTCTTTGGGTAGTGTTAGGTTAACATCAAGACAGGACTCACACTCTGACTGATCTCTATGACTATGAGAATGAGGCTATGAGACTATGAGAGTTATATACGTGGTAGAGCCACGCTGCAGCTATATTATGATTGTAGCACGAAAGGGTCGGCTCGATCGGGGAAGGACCACGCTCTTAAAAAATACCAGGTTGATGCTGCTGTGTTTCATATGGTGAGTGTAGAGAACCGTAAAACCATTTTACTGGAATCTAGGCATTCCATCATAGTCCTCAGGGGTGACAACGCATCTGCGTTTTGATTCTTAATCGAGGATGGATGTAGATGTCTATGGGCCACAGCATCCACTTACCATCTGGTGGACTGTGTGCATGTTTGTCACACTAATTCTATAAAAAAAGGTAAAGTGCACCTGTGCTTGCACATACACTTGTGCACTATAATCCCGCCCTTCGCAGATGATTAGTCTCCGTTTAGATTGGCCGCCTTGACCGATATTACGATATCAGAAGACGTTATTACATTATGAAATGTGTAAAGCTGAAATATATGAATAGACCTGTGGCCTTTGTATGAAGTATTTTAATTGATTTTCAGAATAAACGCTCTGCTGATAGCGGACGAGATACGTCGCGCTGTGGCGATAGACGTGGGCCTCGGTATACCCAAGATAGACGAGAGCACGTGTCCCGGCTTCCAATGGCCTCCCCTGGACTTTGGCTGGAGCTTGGCAGAAGTACGTATTTAAAGCGGTATTAATTTAAACTAATACCGGTAGTGTTACCGATTTTATCGCACTTAATTTTATGTTTTTTATGCTTTTAATTCCCTACCGTTCAAAAACTGAAATAAGCCGGGCTGTCTATGACATCGAGACGTCGGAATTTAAAAAGTTAAAATTAAACGCTATAAAATCCGTAATAATAATAATAAATATTTATTTACATAAAAATGGTACATATTTAGATCTTGTAACATAGTGTAAACATGCATGTTTTATCGATTTATCGATATGCAAATATTACGTCGACATGCTATTGAATAATTAAAATTAGAAAATTACAATAACATTTCATATTAAATTTAAATAAAACAGTTAAATATGTAAGTTTTTTTTTGTCCATAAGTGACCCACAAGTTTTTTTTGCGAATTTAAGGATTTTTAATAGAACATGACAAAGGGTTGTCGAAAAGGGCAGAACAACGTCTGCCTGGCAAGCTAGTTATAATATATATATATATTTATATATATATATATATATATATATATATACTGACATGGTCATGTCATAATGCATAATATAATACTAGTATAATGTCTACCTTACAAATTATAATTCATTTGTCAATTTAAAATTTCAAACATCAACAACAACAATTCGCTTGGGGTGACCGTCACGGCAGTAAATTCATTTCATTTAATGTGTGGTTTTCGCGTAAATATAAAAAATCATTGTTTAAAGTGAAAATTATTTTGGCGCGGTTGAGTAAATTTGCCTGGATCAGACGAAAGGAACGCTTCTCTTTTGAGACCTTGGAGGTTAGAGAGAAGGATACGATCGCTGTAGAAAATAGTGTCCCAGAAATATGGACAAAATAAGTGAGGCGCTGCGATCGCTAAGTTCGGTCAATAAAAGTCATTTTCATCACGTCATCCACGCACAATACAATATTACACCATTTTTTAATGTTTCTTTTTGTCAAAAATTAATAAATTACGGAGCCCGATTATTTTCTCACCAATGCCGCGAAGAAAATTTGTACATTATTCTTAGACAATACATTATTCAACTAACTTCATCTACTTGTACTCATAAACAGCTAACTTCGCAGATACTACTTACCGACGGCAGTTCAGGGACAGGCGGGCTATGCTTTAGCACGTAGCGATCGTTCTCCTTCTCTCTAACCTCCGTGTTCGAGACCTTAATCAGCTCTCTCTGTCGTATATGTCATAGACGGTCAACGCATATGTACGCAGCATAGTGTACCAGTAGACGCTTGCATATTAAACTGTGCACTAGCTGATCACGTTTTAATACTGAATGACTTTTTTTACCGTCTGCAAAAAATATGGTGTAACATGTGAACGGATTAGAAGCCTAAAAAAAGAAAATAAAAACAAAATTTTTGAATTAAACATTTGAATTTTTTTTGAACCTTTGCTTTGCCCTTGAGCCTGTGACCCTACGAAGTGACAAGGTCAAAGATGCCTACTAAATTTATTGTGTTATTGCCGTTCGTATAGTAGGGTGGATATGATTTGAATTTTGATCGGTTTTAATTAAATTATTTATTTAATTCAAAATTTATGTTTTAAATTTTTGTAAAATATCAGTGCCATAAGCTTTCACTCCGTTCACATGTTACACCCTTTTTTTTCTAGACGGTAAAAAGGGGGGTGATATTTGGCTATTAGTACGAGGGGTGATCCAAAAGTAATGATAATGAAAATAAAACGCGGTAATTAAAGTTAAAATAATAATTTATTTTTCTACATAGTCTCCTAACAAATCAATACATTTAGTCCATCTTTTTTCTAAACCCAGGATTCCCTTTGAAAAAAATTCTTTCTCTTGACCCTCCCAAAACGCTTCAACAGCGGCCATTACTTCGCTATCGTCTTCGAATTTCTTGCCTCGGAGGCGTTCCTTGAGCCGAGGAAAGAGGTAGAAGTCACTAGGAGCTAGATGTGGCGAATAGGGAGGGTGTTCGAGCAGTTCGAATCCCGTTTCTTGAATGGCAGCCATCGCAACTGCGGCTTTGTGAGCCGGTGCGTTGTCTTGGTGAAACAGCACTCCAGCTCGCAGTTTGCCGCGTCTTTTTTCCTTAATGGCCTCCCGTAATCTTCTTATTGGGTCTGCGTAGTAAGAGCCCGTAATAGTGGCTCCCTTTTCCAAATATTCCACCATAATTATGCCTTGGGCGTCCCAAAAAACAGATGCCATAACCTTTCCTTCGAACTTGAAACTTTGGATTTCTTTGGCGTCGGTGAGGAGGCTCGCTTCCAAGTCATCGATTGTTGTTTCGTTTCAAAATCAAAATGGTGGATCCAGGTCTCGTCCATAGTCACAAAACGGAACAAAAAATTTTCTTGATCTGCTTGGAACTTTTCGAGATTGACCCTCGAAATGTCAACTCGTCGGTTAACATTCTGGGTACCCAACGGCAGAGACCTTTTTCATATGCAACTCGTTCGCAAGGATTCTTTGAACGCTGCCATATGAGATCCCTGTAACCTCAGCTACATGCCTGATGGTCACTCTTCGATCTGCCAACACAACATTTTCGACTTTTTTCACGTTGTCTTCAGTGAGGGACATGGATGGGCCTCCTTCGCGATGTTCATCTTCAGTGGATGTTCTGCCCAGTTTAAACTCTTTGGCCCAGCGTCCAACTGTAGAATATGGAGGAGCAGAGTCCCCTAATGTTTCCACTAAGTCACTGTGTATGTCTTTTGAAGACATTTTTTTCAAACAGAGGTACTTGATGACAGCTCTAATTTCGTTTTTCTCCATGTTGATGTTATCTCTTTGACAGTTCGTATTCAAATGAATGTATCTCCCGGAAATCATGATCTATTTATATGATTTTTTTAGGCTGACGTAGTGAGTATATAAGCAAGCAAAAACATTTTTTTTGTATTTTTATGCGGACCTGAAGTATTTTATATGTTAAATAATTGTATTAATTTTAGGATCTAAAGCAAATGGTAGCACCCAACCATCTCTATTGAAATTAGGATGTTTTTTTTAAATTCACTAGCCTCGCGAATCATTCTTGGTAGGCGTTTTGCGATGATTTCCGATCTATCAAATCTGGTGAAATGTTAGAGCATCAGTGCTTCCAGGTGCATACCGTTAATTCCATACGTTATCATCACTATACTGTTTTACTTTTTATTTTATTTTTTGTATTTTCTTTTTCCTTAACTGCCTGCTCTTCAAATGCTCGCAATAATGTAATCACCAATTAAATCAACTCGCTATGCTGTATAGAATACGTTTTAAGGAGCCGAACCACTGACTTTCATAACACAGGTTATCCTAGCATGAAAGTCAGAGGATCAACTTATCTATAAGTCCCTTATGCTAGCCTTTTGTTACAATTAATCTACGATTGTCTTATGTTTAAGGCTTTATTTCTCAATAAATTATTATTATTAATTCAAATATTCACCTCTTTCAATGAGAAAATACTAGAATACTGTAGATTAACAATTATGCCTAATGAAGAAAAAGCTTTATTTTGGGTAGACATAAGGTTGTGACTTGCTTGCATTAATTAGTTTAAGCGTTTACTATTCTTATGCTTACATATTTTATTAATTTCACAGAGGACGTTGACCCTTATGCTTTAAACGTAAAGACTGATTTCACATAGATCGTTGTATATATTAATTGGAATACCATTCTTCGAGAACATTCTCGTGCATCTTGATGCAACACGCAACTGGCTATCATAACAATATGCTGTTAACAAAGAAATAATAGTTTATAACATCTATGTCTTCATTCCATTGTCAGGTATTGAGCGCTGACTCGGAGAAGAACGAGAAAAAGAAGGACGAAGAAGATCCAAGCATTATAGAGCAGAAAGAACGGGAGCTGAGGTATGGTAGAAGTATTGTTGACATCGATATACCTAGTCAGGTCATAAATTCTGTCACATGTTTAATATAAAATAATTGAAACAAGTTTATTCATTATGTAACCATTTATATACCAAAATGAACTTAACAAAACATAGATTCCTATGACACTAAAGTTTATTCAAAATGACCTCTGTGATTTTGAATACAACACTTTTCCTCCAAGTGTTGCCATATCTTGTAATCTAACAGATTCAAATCTGGACTGGAGGAGGGCCGGTCTTCGTGCCGGATGAAGTCGATTTCACGCGCCGCTAGCCAGTCTTGTGTGCTCTTCGCTCTATGAGCTGGCGCCGAATCTTGTTGGAATACCCAGTGCCTGTTATTGAACATGGTATGAGAAACAGGTTCCACAAGGTTCGTCAGGACTGTATTTTGATACACAACTGCATTCGTTTTTACACCTTTCTCACAAAAATGTACCTCTGTTAAGCCCCAATAAGAAACTCCCAACCATACCATGAGCGAGGATGGAAAATGACCTCGTTGGACACGCGGAATACGGTTGCTCGCTTCTTCACTACTGTGTGCGTACTACTTATCATTTGGTTTGTTGTAGCTCTCTTCTACGGTAAAAATTTTTTCATCCAATGAAAAAAGAATTTCCCGATATTTTTTCCCGCGTACCGCTTCAACAAAGCGCGGCATCTCTTCAGTATCAGGTCCATTAGACGAGCATTCAAACGATGTCCTGTTTTTCTTCGATATGCCCGAAGCCCTAAGTCTTCATTTAACACCCTTTTCACCGTGGTTCTGCTTAACCCCATCTGAAGGGCCAACAGTTTCTGCTTACGTTTGGGATTTCTTTGAATTCGCGCCTTCACAGCTTTTATCACTGCTGGAGTCCTAACAGACCAAGGGCGACCACTAGTCTTCATTGTATCGTTTGATGGTACGATAAACGAATCTTGGTTATATTCAAATTTTTCAGTATGTCAAAAATTTGAATTGGCGCGTAATCGCAACGATGCAACGCAATAACTGCAACACGGTCTTCTTTAAGCGTCCACTCCATATTTAAAAATGAGTAAAATTCTAAAAAGTATACAGTTTTATTTTCATGAACAATTCGAAATTCGAATTCAATAAACTTTTTTGTGGCCAGCATTCTAAAAGAAAAATTTTTACTGTGTGACAATACTTATGACCTGACTAGGTATATGTACTACGCACTGGATTTGGCATTCCGAACACTCACTTTGTTCAAATGAACTGTACTGCAATCCGTACACCTTACTTTAGTGTCTTTTATTGTGGCTTCGATATTTATATAGTGCGATGCGACGCTACTAAAACGAAAATTCAAATCAAAGTTTTTACCTGGACGTAAATTACAATTCAGTAGTGAAGTTATTAAAATTGTTTGCTGTTCAAGTGAAAAAATAGGTAATAATATCGTAATACTACAATAGAAATAATTATTTCTTCATTTAAATGCTACCCCATCTACAATCATAGAATTCATTTCTTTCATCAAACTTCATGATACGAGGGTGGATTGAAAAGTACTCGGCCTAACACAGATCCATTCAATTCTAAAAATCAAATCTACCCACATTATTTAGTTCAGTTCAGACTAGTTCATTGTGTGAAGTTCGAAACGTGTGCGTTAATTAGTTGTGATTTTATAAATTTATTAACAAAGTAATCGGACATAATTTCCGCGAATGGAGCAAATCGAGCAGCGTGCCGTCATTAAGTACCTCCATAAGAAGGGGCTATCATCAAAAGCCATCCATGATGACATTTTCAGTACATTAGGCGATTGTGCTCTGTCATATTCAGCCGTCAAAAAATGGATAGCAGAATTTAAGCTTGGTAGAGAGAGTGTGTCCCGCTCTGGAAGGCCTTCGACGTCAACTACTGACGAAAATATTAAAAAAAGTACTTGATTTAATAATGGGAGACCGCAGATTAAAAATTAGAGAGATAGCCGAGATTATAGGCATCTCTTATGAACGAACTCAAAACATCATTGTCAACGAGTTGGGTTTCCTCAAGGTGTCTGCGAGGTGGGTTCCGCGACTGCTTTCAGTTGAACAAAAAAGGACGCGATTGACTATTTCACGCGACTGTTTGGAGTTATTTGAAGCCGATGCAGATGATTTTTTGAATCGTTTTGTTACTATGGACGAAACATGGGTTCATTACTGTACACCGGAAACAAAACAACAATCAAAACAGTGGAGAAGACATGGTTCACCACACCCTAAGAAGGCTAAGTCGATTTTGTCGGCAAATAAGGTGATGGCTTCAATATTCTGGGACTCGAAAGGTGTGATTATGATTGATTATCTTGAAAGGGGTCAGACTATAAACTCTGATTACTACTGCACCTTACTACGTCGTTTACGAGAGGAAATAAAAGAAAAACGTCGAGAAATGCTCAGAAGAAAAGTCCTGTTTCATCAAGATAACGCCCGTGTTCACACGTCAGTACAGTCAATTCCTGAAATTCACAACTGTGGCTTTGAACTGTTACCGCATCCGCCGTATTCACCTGATCTGACACCATCAGACTTCTTTCTGTTCCCTAACCTAAAAAAGCACTTGGGAGGTCAAAGATTTTCGATAAACGACGAGGTCAAAGCAGCTGTAGACGCATATTTTGACTCTAAGGAAGAATCATTTTTTTTCAACGGTCTAAATGCTTGGAAGGGGAGGTGGCAAAAGTGTATTGAACTTGATGGTGATTATGTAGAAAAATAAAAATATAACTGATTTAGTATGTGTTTATTTTCTTGGTTAGGCCGAGTACTTTTCAATCCACCCTCGTACCATAGGTCATACTGTTTAGATCGGAACAAAAGTTTAATCTATGGTAACCGCGGTTAACTATGACATCTGTACGTTGAACATCTCAGTCCTTCCCGTGACCATGGGTGCTGTAAAGCTCTCGAAACGTCGGGTATTTAAAAAGTTAAATATTCGCGATAAATTGCGTAAAAACTAGTATTATTTCAACGTGTAGTGTTCAATCAAGTTCTTACAATCAATTAAGTTCTTTAACGTTGCAGAGAAAAAGAAGAGAATGAGAGGATAGCAAGAGAGGAAGAGGAGCAGAAGAAGAAAGAGACGGAAAAAACCATAAACGATATACTACAAGAGAAAGAAGATGCTGCGAATGTAAGTTTGTGAAAATGGTGTTTTTTATTATCCTTGTTAGTATAGTTTTAACAGGTTTTAGGTGGTTTCCTTTAAAGGTAACGCTGTTTTGGGGTTGGAGTGTCCACCAATGGGCAAATGACGTTAAAATGCCCCTTAAGGTACGCTTACATGAGGGCAATAATTGCTCGGCGACACGAATGGACCGATCTGGAGCAATTAATGGAGCAATTTCAAAGCAATGGAGCAAATTGCGGCAATTATTTCGGCGATATTGCTTCTAATTGCTCAGTGTCGCAGATACGAATTGACGAATATCCAACGGGCTTGGAAATTCCTAGCAATTTTTGTATATATCTCATTCGCACTTGTTTGTTTTGCGGCTTGCCGTCATGCTTCCGCGGGGAGAGCGAGAGGTCGGGTCTGTTCGTGAAATTCTAGTAAAGTTTTTGAATAATATATCATCTAATTCTTTACACAATGAAAATTGCGGCCTCTGCCAAAAACGATCGCACCCAGATACGTCCATTCCTTTTCTTTCTTTTTTGTTTTTGATTAATAATAAAAAAGCGCTACAAGCCCTGCGCAGCAAGAACAATGTCGTCCATAGCGAGCGAATACTGAAATGCTCGTGTAGGACAGTATTGCCTAGTTGATGAAGTTGCGCCATATCGCTCAATATTGTATTGCGCAGTATTGATGCTTGTTGCCGTTGTCGTAAATTGCTTGAAGTAGTCGTGACGTCATAGTTGACGAGTATTGACTGGAATTGAGCAATTTTAGTTGCCCGTGTAAGCGCACCTTTAGGCTCTTTAAAGCGAGGGTTGAATTTCCTTACTAGCCTTATGCATATACCGGATGACCTTTTTTACCTTCTGGAAAAAATTCCAGAATGTAAAAAAGGTAATAAAAATATAATTTGTAACGTAAACGGAGTAGAAGAAGCCTATGGCACTTATATTTTACAAAAAAATAAAAACAATAACGTTTGAAATTTTTTTTTTCGAAAAATTACTGTTACCTTTGCTCTTGAGCCTGTGACGCTGCGAAGTGACAAGGTCAAAAATGCCTACTAAACATATTGTTTTATTGCCGTTCGTAAAGTAGGGTGGATATGATTTGACTTTCGATGGATTTTAATTATTTATTTATTTATTTATTTCAACATTTTTATTTTTATTGTTTGTAAAATATCACTGCCATTGGCTTCTACTCCGTTCACGTAATTAATTTTTTTACAGCGTATGAAGGGCATGTACCTATCCTGTAGAGGAGATGTGTGTAAACATTAATTTGAATCAAATGTATTACATCGTTTTTGGCATGGAGGTTAGAGAACAGGAGAACGATCGCCGTAGAAAATAGTGTCCTCGAAATATGGACACCATCAGTGAGGCGCTGCGATCGCTAAGTTGTCTCAATAAAAGTTATTTTCAGTCTATTTTTCCCGATTAGATGCTAAACCACTTACACATCCACGCACTATAAAATATTTCTCTATTTTTTAATGTTTATTTTTGTCATAAATTAAAAAAATACGGAGCATGAAAATTTTCTCACCAATGCCGCGGAGAAAATTTGTACATTGTTCAACTAACTTCATCTACTTGTACTCATAAACAGCTAACTTCGCAGTTACTACTCACCGACGTCAGCGCCGCTATAAATTCTACGAATTTTCAAGGACAGGCGGGCTATGCTTTAGTACGTTTTTAGGTCTGGCTTAAACGTGATGACTAATACCGCCATCTATAGGAAACCGTAACATCTTTTTAGGAATTTCTATATTCGCATCTTCTTACAACACTCCCGGTACGAAATAGGGTAGTGGATTCCCTCACGCTGCAAACACTCAACGCGTGACGTTTGTTAGCAATATTTATTCAAAACTAGATGGAGTGGCGACCTGGTAAGTCTGTGGATGCAGGTGGCTCAGGACCGTGCTCTGTGGCATTACTTGGGGGAGGCCTTTGGTACAGTGGGGTTGTGAAGTAATGGTGGTGATAATGATGATGATAATTTATTCAAGAAATTAAAATAAATATTTTTTATAGAATAAGGGTGACAAACGAGAAAACAGTTCATATATATAGACACTGTGGCCCATTGACACCTACATCTATCCTCGATTATGAATCAAAATGCAGATGCTTCATCACCCTTAGGACCAAGATGGAATGTTTTCGTATCAGTAAAAAGGATCTCCGGTTCTCTATTCTCACCATACGAAAAATAGCAACATTAAATTGTTCTTTCACGCTGGTATTCTGTAAGAACGTGGTCCTTCGAGCCGACCCATTCGTACTACAACTATAATATAGCTGCAGCGTGGCTCTACCACCTGTGTATAAATTATATAACGGTAGCTTATAATATTTCACAGGGCTTCGAAATAGGCACGTGGAGTAACGACATGGCCTCTTCTATACCGGACACGGTTGAGTTTGATGACTACCTGGAACCGCTGCCTTCTAACCTCACCTTCTGCACTTCGGCCTCGGGTAAGACATTTGTACTATCACACCTGATCTTCTGAAAGCGGTGAGCATGGATATGAAATGTACTACATTAAGTTTAGAACTTATTTTCAAAAAAATATGTTTCGCTGGGTTTCTTGTCGGGAAAACTCCAGGACACAGGTATTTATTTATTTGCTTTTTAAGGGAAACATACAGTACAAAAAAAATACATTATAAAAACATATATAAATAATCCTAAAACCAATGAAGTTTCCACAGATATCTAAAATTTTATTTAAAAAAAATAACTAAATGGTATTTATAAATAAACATTAAGTAGTAGGCAGTTAAAAGTAAACAATACATACAACCTATAGTGAAGCTACCAATTATAAATTAAGTTTTACAATAAAAAATTTATAACTATTATACTTAAGGTGAAAAATATCAAGTTTACAATAAGGTAAGTATATCAGGTATTTTCCGAATCAGTGGTAATTTAAATATGAGATTGACTTTCAATAACTATTATTATTATTATCTATATTGAACTAAAATAATTCTATTTATAGTGGTCTTAGTCCATCTGGTTAGATTCAACTTTTTTACCTGTTTCTACCGCTGACCACCACATATAGGATATGAGGACTTTTATTAGGTCTTAAGCGAGACAACGCATCAGTTTGAAAGGAAATCGACTTCGCTTCTTGATAGCTTAGAGTCTAAAGCCGGCGATACATGTTGGCCGAGTGCAGGCGAGCGCCAACGTGTACTTTTTTATAGGATAGGGTGACAAACGAGCACACAGTCCACCTGATGGTAAGTGGTTGTTGTGGCCCATAGACATCCACATCTATCCTCGGTTACGAATCAAAATGCAGATGCGTTGTCATCCGTGAGGACTAAGATGGAAAGTCTCGTTTCCAGTAAAAAGGGTCACCGGCTCTCTACACTCACCATACGAAACACAGCAGCATTAAGCTGCTATTTTACGCTGGTATTCTGTAAGAGCGTGGTCCTTCTCCGGTCGAGCCGACCCATTCGTGCTACAACTATACTACTAATATAACTGCAGCATGGCTCTACCACGTAAAAAACGGTTGTATACGGCTCGCTTGGCGTACCTTGCCGCCGCCACACGGGGTCGCTCGCTACGACTCGTCCACTTTAGAACAGTGTCGGTATTTCTGCAGAAATCAAAAGCGCCCGCCTGCACTCGGCAAGTTGCGACCACATGTTAGTCGCCCATGTCAGTTACAGCTTGGAGTCCGTCCCGGTGAGCTATTGATTTAATTAACCTTTCAAGCGCCATAAAAATCCCATGCAGTCACATGCGCCCGGCAAAGCCCGAGCGGTCGCATGCGACCGCAACCACCCACAGCACTTAAAACCATTAAAACTTATATTTAGAGAGTACTTTTCTATGAAGAAATTTAGCATTATAAAATCTATACAGAATTCTCTATTTTGTGGTCTAAACAAAAGTTAGGTTTTACTTCATTACCAAAAGATTTTATTGTATTTTGATAACCAAAAAAAAAAAATATATATATATACCAAGCGAATGTCGGCAGCGTGAAAATCAAAATTATTTCTATATATTACTCGAAATTATTTACGTAAATAGATAAATTATATACACACAAAAACTTTCATTATAATTTTATAATAAAACACTGTACTAAAACACTAATAAAATACTAGAAAAATCTAAAAATCAACACAATAACATTCACGCGAAAATGGCGTAGGAAATAAACGTAGATTATACGAGTAAATAAATATTCATAAGATAACAGTTTTTTTATTGCACTAGAGGATAGAGTATTTCATATTCTAAAAAAGTAGTTTCTATATATAAGTTTTTATGTGTTAAAGTGCTGAGGGTGGGTGCGACCTTATTAGACAGTTAGGGATTTGACGGAATATGGCCGCGGACCGTTTGGGGGTTGAGGGTTTAAGAACAGTGTCGATTTTTCTGCACAAATCAAAAGCGCTCGCCTGCACTCGGCAAATTACGTCCACATGTTACTCGCCCATGTCAGTTACAGCTTGGAGTCCGTCCCGGTGAGATATTGATTTAATTAAGTTGCAACTTTAAAATAATTTCGACAATGTCTATATACTAACGAGGACATCTTTAAGTTTTTTTTAACTTTATTGCCGAGTACACTGACATAATAATTATATGCACTCATTAAATATATAGCTGAAGCTGTAATAAATTTTTCGTCGTCCAAATTATACCACTTCTCAATGACGACTAATTTATTTTTGTTTTTAGTCTTAGGTTTTTTTTTTGCTAGATAGAATTAAATATTAGTAATGATTTCTTATATTTACGTGAACACTACACATTGAAATAATACTAGTTTTTACGGATTTTATCGCGTATATTTAAGGTGAAACCTACGGACTGTTCAGAGACATTCTCCCGCAAGATGTATACCAACAAATATAAATTTTATTTTTATAACAATCGTACATAGCGTTTTGTAGTTCTGCCTACCCAATATGCACATACACAAAAATTGAAAACTTGTTTTTTTTACATACACGCCATCTAGTGTTCTAGCTTCGTAAACGTGAGGATACGCCTGTGTGTGTAAACGACCCTATATTCAATGACAGATGTTATAATCAAACTTTGTGTCGAATTGGGTGGATTTTGAGGCAATGACATGACCCATTCCAATAAAATGTAATATCCGATAACCGCTAAGTCTACTCCTAGGATTTAATAATTTTCCAATTACACAAAAATCCAAATAAACTAAAAATGTTGACTTCAGCGCCATCTTGCGGGAGAATGTCTCTGAACAGTCCGTAGGTTTCACCTTAAATATACGCGATAAAATCCGTAAAAACTAGTATTTCAAAATATTAGTAATCTTAATAATTAACAGTACTAATGTTCCTTTTATTCACTCCTGGTAAGCTTGAAACGCTTGTGTGAGGAGTGGTTCACGACAGTTGTCAAATGGCGGATTCGAACTCACGACCTTTTGAGTTCGCGATCCGCGCCCTGCCATTAGGCTACTGATAGCTCTACAAATACCCGTGAACATTGGCCTTTGGATATTGGTCTCTTTCGAACTTGATCTACATGTAGACTGTAGTACTCGCCTTGTATCAATTGGCCTACGCTCGCGTTGGCTGAGGCGTGGCCAACATGTATTGTCGGGGTGTGAAGTCACTGTAAATTTCAGTCTGCGAATAACACGGGTTCGATCTCCGCCGACACTAATGAATTTGTTAATACCGATTTTAAGTATTGATTTACCAAGTACTAGCATCAACACGCATTGAAACCCAGCAGTGTATTAATTGCTCCATAACTTTCTCAGAAGCGCGAGGAGGCATGTGCCCAATCGTGGGATACTTATTTATGAAATGACGATTTATTTATAAAGGCTTTAATTTTTTATCATTGTCATCACCATCATTACAGCCCTTTATGTAAGAAGCCCACTGCAGAACTTAGGCTTTCCCCAAGGAATATGACCCTAAGCCACCTGCCTCAATCTCCTCCCTTTTTTTTATAGAAGAGGGGGCAAACGAGCATGCGGCTCACCTGATGTTAAGTGACTACCGCCACCCATGATCAACCGCAACACCAGGAGAATTGCATGCTCGTTGCCGGCCCTTTAGAAAGGAGTAAGCTCTTTTCTTGAAGGTCCCCAGGTCGTCTCGGTCCGGAAAAATCGCTGGTGGTAAACTATTCCACAGAGAGGTTGTACGCGGAAGAAAACTCCTTTTGAAACGTACAGTGGTGGACCGCCAAGCATCCAGATGGTGTGGATGGTATCGGGACGTTTGCCGCGTAGTGCGGTCACGAAATTAACTTTAATTAATATAAACTAACTATTAATTTTTTATAACATTATAAATATTTTTATGTTTCGGCGCCTTAGAAATGGGACATCTGAATTTTTATATAATTTTTGCACTCTACAACATGTAACAAAAACCCTGTGGTTCCCGTTAAGTACGTTATCAGAATCAGTATCCAAGCGTATAGAAATATTTTTTTTTTCAAAAAACGCATTAAAATTTATTTTAATGAAAAAAAAAAATTAATTTGCAAATTGTATGTGGTTTTATTATCTCTGCATTGACCGAGGAGTAAGAGGATTGTCAAAGACCCCGCATTACCGATACTCGTGTGAGTTAGAGGCAAATAAAACCACATACAATTTGTAAATTATTATTTTTTCATAAAAAATTTTTTTAGATATGTTTTTGAATAAAAAAAATTATTTCTATAAGCTTGGATACTGCTACTGATAACACACTTAACGAGAACCACAGGGTTTTTGTTACATGTTGTATACATTTTAAAATATTGATTTCTTATATTTACGCGAACATTCAGACAACAAAACAAAAACAAACAACAAAATATTGTTTCTATACATCATTTTTCATTATTTTACCATTTCTAAATGAAATTTTTTGGAGGAAAATCGCTAAAAACTTCTGCAGTAAACATATTTCTATCATTAAACGTAGAATTCAGTCATAGCTATATTTTATATTAAAAATAGATCCATTGATAGTTGAATTATCTTAGCTGTTCTATGATTAAAAAATCTAGAATTATTATTAAAAATGTTGAAGTATATATTTACAATAATGTGAACTTCTCAGAATTCGGAATTTTGTGTCAATTGATTGAAAACCACAATTATCCAGGCAGCGGTAACTGGAGCGACCCTATAGAGAAGCCCAAAATGCAGTTTGGTGGGTCAAGGACCTTCTCAATGGCCGACAGCGACTGCTCATATATGTCCAGGTATTTTTTGGTCTTAATTAATTTTCGCACTGTTAAAGACGTGACAATAAATTGGCTAATTAATAGAATCGGGCGTTACTTTGCGGAAATCCATTATATTAAGGTTTGTAAGAATTACTTCGCCCATATCTGCTCTATAAAATGAAATGTGTTTTGCCTTGTTTGAAGAGTATCTCCTGCCTACCTCGGTTGCGTGCCTCGTTTATTGCCTCGTTGGTCTAGTGGTTGCGGTAGTGCGACTGCTGATCATGAGGTCTTGGGTTCGAATCCCGGGTCGGGCCAAAAAATTAATTATTGATATTTTCCGTCAAGAAATTCTCAGTAGTTGCCCGGAGTCAGGAAGTTGGTGTCTACGTGTCGTAAAGCACGTAAAGCCGTTGGTCCAGCGCCTGATCTCTCTCCGGTCGTGTGGGTACCGTCCCATCGGATTATGAGAGTAAGGCAATAGAGAGTGCACCTGTGCTTGCGCATACACTTGGACACTATAATCCTGTCCTACGCCGATGGCTAGTCTCCGTTGAGGCAGGCCGCCGTAACCATAACTTGATCTGGAGGTCATTATAATTTTGTTCACCATCCCCGTCACCACTAATCCCAACACCACTAACCCTACTCTACACGAGGCATCCTCAAGTAATGTAGACTCTACGGTGACTGGCCGTATAGCAGAATACCTATTAATATAATATAATAAAATAATACCGAAACACGTGTCGTATTATCGTCGATGGTGTGTCTTACCTACTGTAGTGGTGTTGAGAGTAGTGGTGCTGGGATTAGTGCACGTAGTTGAGGAAGGGCGGGAGGTGCTCTTTAAACTAGGAAAGACAAATCGTTTTATTTCTCTGAGCGGATGTGGGCGAAGTAATCCTTACCGACTTTAATTAACTGGCTAATGAGAAGGGTACCATCATTCCACGTACAATTTATTTTTTTTTTTAGAAAAAAAATATTAAAAATGCTATAAACGTTAATAATATTCCACTTAACCACTCGTGGTAAGCTTAAATTGATTGTGTTACGAGTGGTTCACGCCGGTAGTCGAATGGCGGATTCGAACCCACGACCTTTTTGAGTTCGCGGTCCGCGCCCTGCCATTAGACTACTGTCGTGTCGTAATAGTGTGTATTACTGCTGACCCGACTAAAACCAGCTTCACAATAACCAACACCGGATTACACCCAGCACTGGATTTGGCTCGAGCTACGCTGCAGCTATGTTATAGTTGTAGCAGGAATTAGTCGGCTCGATCGGGGAAGGGCCACGCTCTCACAGAATACCAGCGTCAAATAGCAGCTTAATGCTGCTGTGTTTCGTATGGTGAGTGTACAGAACCGGTGACTTTTTATATTGGAAACAAGCCAATTCCTCTTAGTACTCGGGGTTCACAACGCATCTGAATTTTTATTCATAATCAAGGATAAATGTAGATGTCTATGGGCCACAACATCCACTTACCATCAGGTGGACTGTGCTCGTTTGTCACCTATAATCTATTTCAAAAAAACTCGAAAAAATATCAACATAATATATATTATATGTGTGTATGTATTCAACATAATATATAGCGAAATACATTGTATTCATCGCAAAGTTTACATCAGGAGATGTAAACTTTGCGATGGCCGATGGCTAATCGTTTCTTAAAGGTTAAATTATACAGTGTGACGTTACGTTAAATACAATAAATGAAAACTCGGTCCATTACTAATTGGAAAAAGTATTTCGAAATAGGTTATTTTTAACCGGCTTCAAAAAGAATGAATTACTCAGTTCAACTGATGTTTTTTTTATGTTTGTTACCTTAGAACTTTTTTCTTGTTGTGAACTGATTTTGATGATTTTTTTTTTGAAAGCTGGTGCTTCTCGTGTGGTCCCATATGAATTTGAACAAGATCAGACCGGTAGTTTTTGAGTTATCCTTAATAATGCGTATTTAACTGACTTCGACTACATTGATGATGTTCTCATTTTATTTATATTGAAGTCAGTTGTACAAAATTTTTCATTTTACCACTTGTGTTCTTATCTTAAAATTAAAAAGATGAATTTTTAAACAAAATAAATATTACTCCCATGGCCGTAGAAAACGATTCTTTGAAATCTATCTCCTCCGTAACCTGTAGGTTAGTTTGCATAATGTTTTCGGCAATATTTGTAGCTCAACGCAGACAAGGTTTGTAAAAAATAAAAATCTGAATTGTATTTTTTTTCTTTTACTATCTAATCAATACGCTAATTTACATCTGCGCAATATCACAACAATTGATTGAATCTTTTTATATAACAAAAGGTTTTACCTTTGCATCTGCGTCGACCCTAGTATTATCTAACTACCGTTTACTTGCGACTTCGTGAGCGTAGCCTGAGTTTAGTTTTTGTGTGTGAATCTCAGTTAATTATTTTTAATATAAAAAATTATGTGTTAAAAGTATACGTGTAGTTACGGCATAAAAGAACCCACTCCTCCGTAATATCATGCTGTTACTGTCCTAAGAGGCGACAAATAAAAACTGAAGCAGAATATTGGTAGCAGCATCAGCATGATGGCAGCTTAAACTACGACTGTCACAATAAATGATTTATTCTATTCTAAAAAAAATACTGCGGTTGCTAACTCGTCTTACAAGCATGGTAACTATGGCAATATGAACAATCTATGGGGGAAGCATATGATCAACTGGAATTTGATACTGTTGTACGCTATAATATATATAATATATATAATGTCTGGTATATGACACTAGCGCCATCTAGTATCAAGTAGCAGAAATAATCATTCTAGAGAATTCTATACTAGAACTTCCTACACCTAATCAGTCGGGACCGGTATGTATTCGAACATTCTAGATGCTTCAGTAGAAGAGGCCCTACATGAGGTCGATAAGGACCGCGATCGGGTCAGTATTGAATTAGCGATACAAGCGAATACTTCGAAGCGGTATAACTGTGAATTGTATTTTATTAATTGATAGAATCAGGCGTTACTTCGCGGAGATCCATCATAACAATTATAATAAAGACATTAATTTGCAACTATCCGCTAAGAATCTTAGCGGTCAGCCGCCGTAGAGTCTACATCACCCGAAGATGCCTCGTGTAGAGGCGAAACACGTGGCGTATTATCGTCGATGATGTGTCTTTCCTGGAATAGTGGTGTTGGGAGTAGTGATGCCGGAATTAGTGGTGTTGCGAATAGTGGTAACGGGATTAGTGCACGCAATTGAGGGAGGGCGGGAGGTGCTCTTCAATCCAGGTAAGACACATCATTGTAGTTAATTAAGCCGATGGTAGCAAATTAATGTCTTTATTATAATTGTTGTATTTTATTAGTAGTGTGTTTTAAGTTATAATTGGTGTTCGGTAATTAATGCGTCAATTATGGTAATTCAATCGGCAGTTTTTATTGTCACGAACCCCAAGTTACTAACAATACGCTGTGTGCCATATTAAGTTAAGATAAACAATATTTGTAGGGTTTTGATTTATCAGACCAGTTTATATCAAAAATGATTTCTTTCTTAGTGACTTCGACACGGACGATTCTGATTTGAACTCTGAAGGAAGCGACGAGGACACCGACACTAGCGGCTTTTGCAGCAGTAAGAACTCCAATGGTAAGTTTTTAATTTTTAATTCATTACAGTCTTTCATTCGTTCCTTAATAAATGAGTGAATGGTATAATATGACAAATATAATATTATTTCCCTAACATGGATCATACATCTTCACCAAGCCTTTAAATCCTTTACGTGGTAGAGCCATGCTGTAGTTATATTAGTAGTTTAGTTGTAGCACGAATGGGTCGGCTCGACCGGGGAAGGACCACGCTCTCACAGAATAACGGCGTCAAATAGCAGCTTAATGCTGCTGTGTTTCGTATGGTGAGTGTGGAGAGCCGGAGACCCTTTTTACTGAAAACGAGACATTCCATCTTAGTCCTCACGGGTGATAACGCATCTGCATTTAGATTCGTAATCGAGGATAGATGTAGATGTCTATGGGTGGACTGTGTGCTCGTTTGTCATCCTATCCTATAAAAAAAATTGGTGGACATGGTTCTCGTTCGCGGGAAGATTACGGAGGATTTTCGTGATTCGACAAACTCTTATTTATTTACCAGCGATGCGCCCCGACTTCGAACAAATGATTTCTGAATATTGACAACAGCGCCACCTATCGAGTTCAATTTTGAATCAAACCATCCATCCTTCAAACAAACACAAGCAATTTCCGCAAGTACTCGTATTATAATCATTTAGTTTTTGTGTGTAAATTCAACATTTTATATCGAGAGTGTCGAAACACGGATTTGACAAAAATCAAGAAATTTAAGGAAGCTTTCTTTACATATACCACCTTCTTACTCTATTGTTTATTTTTCTCACAATAAGAAACCCTATGATGGTATGCTCATGCACCAGTTAATATATTATTCAAGGTCTGCTTCCTAAGCTTGAGGGGCCCGCCCGTCGTTTTTTGAACTTCCGTCAACATTTGAACACAATTAACAAAAATTAATTCATATTAAACTTTGTGAAAATTCTTCTTCGGGAATGTATATTGCAAGTGAGTAATTTGATAACAAAAAAAAATAGAGATTGTTATCTTTTTAGTCTGCATGAAGTAGGCATGTTTTTTAAATTATTGGCCATATTAGTCACTATTATGTTTTTTATGTCACAAAATGTAAAATTCTATATAAAAAGAAACATAGTTACAGCTAGAAATACGAGGGTGACACTGAAAGTTTTTAGAAAATCGAGAACTAAACAAACTAGCAAGTTATTTGTTTTATTATATCTTTTCAAAATAGTGTCCATTTACATAAATACATCGCTGCATCCGAAGTAACTACTAGGAAAAGCACTTTGCCCACACATCCTTAGGGGCCTCTTCGACGGCACCCATAAAACGTTTTCCTCGAAGTTTTATTTTAGGAAATAAATAAAAATCGCAATCGTCGGGGCTATAGGGCGGGTGACCCATTAGTTCCATGTCTGACGTCGCAAAGTAGTCGATTGTTTGCTTGGCGGTGTGCGACGAGACGTTGTCGTGGTGAAGGAAGATCCTACTGCGAGGTTGTTTCTCCCGAACTTTTTCCAAGACAAGTGGCAAATAATTGTTAGTGTACCACTCGGCAGCAACTGGTTTTCGATCCTCCAAAACAATTGTTGCGTAATGACCTGTCCTTCCGAAGAACGAGGCCACCATCTTTTTTTATACGCTTCGACCTCTCTTCACTTTAGTTGACAACTCCTCGGAAAGAAACACCCAGACAGCAGACTGTCTCTTAGTTTCAGGATCATAACAGTACATCTCGCTTTCGTCACCCGTAAGTATGTCGAACATAGCATTTGAGTCGCCTTCGTTAAATCTTTGAACCATTTCACGATGGAGTTTTTGGACTTATGTCTAATTATGAGCTATCCATCGGGCACAAAGCTTGTGAGCGCTAAATGTTCATGGAGGATTTTGTGCACTTGACTCATACGATATCTTAGCTTGTCCGAATCTCCTAATAAGTCACTTTTTTGTCAGCCTCTATCATACGCCGCACAACACTGATGTTATCTTCAGTCGTCGCCGTAGAAGGCCGTCCTTCACGCAGGTAATCGGTGAGATTAGTGCGATTAAGCTTAAACTCATTAAACCAGTTGTAAACGGAGGCACGAGATGGGGCTTCATCGTGAAAGGCCAATCGAAGTCTATTATAACTTTCTTGTTGATTTAAATGACATCGAAAGTCTTAAAAAATCATTGTACGAAAATTTCATGCTGACGTGACATAGACAATTTTCAATTTGCCGCCAAATCATGAACAAATGACAAAAAATAATAAAATTAATACACGATAATATTGGGAAAGAGTTCCATTTTTAAAGTTTGAACTTATTTTTTTATTATTTCGTTTACCAGTGGCCAGCTCGAAAAACTTTCAGTGTCGCCCTCGTATTTAGTAATGCGCGATGGCAAGGCCAAACATTCACGGTTATTTCCAGAGAAAATCAATTGGTTAATTATTAATAGATTTGTAATAGTTGATAAATAATTTTTTTGCAGACTGCTGCATATATATTTTTTTCTGAGTGGCGAAGGTGCCCACCATTAGTACCTGCGGGATTATCCATTACTTACCGGACATTCTGTATATAGAAATCAACTGTTGTGCGTTAGTTTCGCTAAACCTCAAAAACGGCTCGACCTATATTTATGAAAGTTTTTTTTGTGTGTTTGAATGAGTCTCTAGATAGTTTAGATTCACATTTGAAGCCGGTAGGTGGCACTGTTGTCGAGATCCAGAAATCACACGTGCGCAGCCAGGGCGGATCGCTAGTTAAAAATAGATAGGTGTAAATGTAAGTAATGTTTGCGTACAGCGGCGATGGGCGTGCGCATCGAGTACAAGACGGCGCGCGAAGCGGAGGCCGTGGACCTGGAGCGCGTGCAGAGCGCGCCCGCCGCGCCGCAACCCAGCGCGGAGGATGACGCGCGGGACCGCGCGCGGCACCGCGCCGCGCTGCGAGCCGCACAGCCGCCGCCGCAAGTACGTACACACGCACATATGTACATACACTTGGGCACGTACACACATGCAGTGAACGTGCGGATGACACGTGTGACCGCGTCACACATCGCACACACACGCGCACACTCACAGTGAGTCGTACGGTCACCGTCACCAAACCACGAACCGCGCAATACCTACTACACGCCGCCACAACATTTGTGCACACACACACGCCATGCACACACACGATAAACACCAAGTCGCACACTAAAAATTTGAAACACATTTATGATCAACACATACAGATGCACCAACGCATAAGATACAGAGACATATAATTGCCGCCACGAGTCGTGAACACACTATTTATTGGTCGATATGACGTTGACCACGCTGACGCTCAACGTGATTGGTTCGTCAGCCGATTCTCGTCGTCTATTGGGTTCGCACGTATCATTCGGCTTCCGTACACTTGAGAGCAGTTTTAGTGACAACTTTTTAATTTATTTTTTTTTGTTAATTGTTTTTTTTTTACCTTGTTGTTAATTGTTGTTTGTGTATTTCTTGTTTTTATTTGTTTTTTCTTTTTTTGTTGATATAATTTGATTATTCAGATTTTGGTCTAAATATGCATGTATATGCTCCATTCAGTATTTTTTTATATGAAAAAAAATTAAGTATTGCTAAAACATGACAGACGTTTATAAACAGACTGCTGAGGAAACTTATGTCTCAGTAGCTACTGTACGGTAAAAGGAGTTAACGACTCAGAATTTCGAAAAAAAAGTCAGCGAAAATATTCAGTTACGAATTGAAATAATAAAGGTACCAAATAATTTTGGCCGACAGTGTACCTACGCTGGCTTAACCCCCACCACAGTTCATCTGTGCTCACGACTCGTGCCGGCAACTATACATGCACGCATATGAAAACCAACCCGCTTTATAGGTGTTATAGTAGAGTAATTGTACAACGTGTTGTAACAAGATCGGCTCAACCGTGAAAAAATCCACACTCTCATAGAATACCAACGTGAAAATGTAGCATAGCGCTGCTATGTTTTGAATAGTGACCGTAGAAAATCGGAAAACATTTTACTGGCAACGAGATATTAAAGTTTGGTCCTCTAAGGTGACGACGCATTTATTTACATTTAATTTTTAATCGAATATGATGTAATTGTTTACGGGCAACCGCACCATAATGTTAATTGTGTTATACTTCCCCTCCGATACTTATATAACAAATGTACACCGATACGCATAAACACGCGTACACGTACGCAGGTACGTACACAAACGTCTCAACGACACGCTCAGATACGTTCGTATAGTCTGTTAAAACAAATTCCTGGAATCTTTGCCAGCTACTTTACGATTATTTATTTATTTATTTAATCTTTATTATATACCTTAAACTAAGGGATATAAAGTGCGGACTTAATGCCTTATGGCATTCTCTGCCAGTCAACCCTGGATGATTTGAGAAACTGTGGCAGGTGTAATCAATCACTTCATAAATAAATAATAAGGATATAAAACAAAATAAAAATGCAAATGAATAGAATATAGTTAGTAAAATAAACATACTTACTTAATATATAATATATATATATATATATATATATATAATCGGGTACTTCTATACAAAATCTATAAGTAAATAAAATATTATGAGACAAAAATAAAATAACACAATACATATTAAAATACATTTTACAAAATATCACTTATAAAGTGAAATTTTGTATAATATATTTTAATATGTATTGTGTTTTTTTTTAAAGATTATCTTCACTTGCCGGGGGAAACCAAGACCACGTTTCCAGTGGCATCGTGGTGATACGACTCTTAGTTTACTCAGCTACTATAGAACAACTCTATACCACATTATATATGTGACGGGTGTATCTTTATTTTAGTAAAAAGACATTTCATCTTAGTGCTCAGAGATGACAACGAATAAGCATTTTGATTCTAAATCGAAGATAGATATAGGTGTCTATGAACCACATCTGGGGGCACGGCAGTGCCCCCGCCAAGTCGAGCTCAAAAGCGGCACGGCCGTACCATACTTTTCTCCAAGCAGTTCAGGCCATTTTCACCCCCCTATAACTTCATTGTTGATAAAATTACAAACCTGTATTTTCAGTAACTAAGCAGGCATTGTATTAACACGGTATATTTCAAATTTCATTCAATTTGAACCAGTAGTTTAAGAATTATAACTAGTCAAAATTTCTTAATTTTGTCACTCACTTACTGACCGATCATCAAAACTCTCAGGCACTTCTAGCAGACATAGATACTTCAAATTTAGAATTCAATTAGTGTTTAGTGTACAAATCAAGGAAAAACTAAGATATTTTGCAATTTTAGTCCAGTTTTCTAGATACACCAACTACATAAATAACTTTGTAATCCCATATAAATATATATGATTACAAAGTTATATTTGCAGTGAATGAATCAGTGTACTTGGTATGCGTAATAATAATCATAATGTCCTCCAGGCCGAATATCGGCCACGGCGGCCTGCCTCAACGGAGGCTAGCCATCGGCGCAGGACAGGATTATAGTGCACAAGTGTATGCGCAAGTACAGGTGCACACCCGCCGGACCAATAAGATAGTTAATTGCAATTTTAAGTGATGATTTACCACGTGCTCGGTGGTGAAGGAAAACACCTCGAGGAAACCTGCATCTCTGAGAAATAAAAAAAAATGTTTCGAGGACATGTGAAGTTCGCCAACACGCATTGGGGCAGCGCGGCGGACACTTCCTTGCACTAAAACCCTCTCAGAAATGAGCGGAGGCTTGCCCACTGTAGACCTTAGTCATTGTTAAAATACTCTACTTGATACTATATAAGTTATTTTTAATATTGTTTTTTGCAGTACATCGAGCAGTTCCGCGAATCCGTAACAAACCACGAGAAGGAGATAGTAGATAGGGGATTCTTATTAGATAAGGACAAACCGATAACCGATCTACTACCGGAAGCATCAAGAGACAGTATCGAGAAGCTCATCCCCCAAGCGAAGCCAGTGGTAAATTTGAAAGAAGTTGAGGAAATATTTCCTTACGGTTCTGAGGAATTGAGCTATTCAGATGGACAAATTACAATAGAGAGTATAGAAAGGAACAAACGCCTTCTTCTATCCAAATTAAAGGAGTCTCTACCTGAAGACGATATCAAGAGATTGAACTGCTTCTCTATGAAAGACGTCGATATTGACTCCCCGAATTACGTAAACGAAAAAGTTGTGAACGTAGGCTTCGACACTAAAGATAGTTATAAAGAGAAGATAGAACAGTGGCACAACGAAAAAGAATTCAAACCTTATTACCAGGAGGGGAGGGTGCAAAATGGCAAAGAGTTCGACTTCGATTATCAGCCAGATTTGGAAGGGCACCCGGGACCGAGTCCTAGTGTTATTTTGCAGGTTAGTAATTATTATTTAAGCGTATAGTATACCGGTGTACGAATATCCACTACCCCATATCGTCCTGTGGGTGTTATAAAAGACGATAGAGGGAATCTGAAACAGGAGATATCGCATCTACCACTTGGAGTGCTCTGAGGAATTAATTGTCCGGAATCCCAGCCACACAATTTCACCATCGCATATCGCGACAAAACTCGCAATACCATCCATACCATCTGAATGACTAGCGGTCCACCACAAGAAGTTTTCTGCATCGCTTAACTTCTTTGTGGAATCGACTACCACCAGAGATTTTTCCGGATCGATACGACTTTGGGACCTTCAGAAAAGAGCCTACTCCTTTTTGAAAGGCCGGCAACGCAATTGCAATTCCCATGGTGTCGCAGTTGCTCATGGGCGGCGGCAGTCACTTACCATCAGGTGAGCCGAATGCTTGTTTGACCCTTCTCCTGTAAAAAAAGGAGATGGGCAGGAACATGTTCCTGATAAAAACTCAAAATAATAAAAAGCTGCGGTTGCCAACACGCCTGTTAAGAGTGGCAACTGTGGCAAAATTGTTACCGATGACCTAAACTACAATGTGGACATTGAAAGGGAACGTAGGGCGCTGGTAGTCCGATGTAGTATGTTGGTACGTAGGTTTGCTCGGTGTAGTGAACAAGTAAAGATAACTTTATTTAAAGCCTACTGTCAAATTTTCTACACGTGCAGTCTGTGTGGTCGAATTATTCACAGCGGGCTGTCGACGCCTTACGCGTCCAGTACAATATCGGCTTCAGGGTCTTGTTGGGGCTACCCCGATTGTGCAATGCATCAGGCATGTTTGTAAAGGCGCATACGGATGACTACTACGCACTACTACGCCATTATAAGAAATAAAATAGCCTCGTTGCTCGATAGGGTATGAGCTAGCTTCAACTTTGTCATGAAAGTAATTGCTGATAGATATGACTCGTTTATTTTTAAGCAATATTATCGCCTCTGTTTAGTTGATAAGGCACTTGTATTTAAGAATTAGATTTAGTTACTAACAAAAATTATAAGTTTCATATTATTAACATATTATATCTATTATTTGAATATCTGCGATAAAAATTATTATTATTATTATGTTATAAAATCCTCCATTGAGGCAGTCTATGGGAGAGGCTGAGTATGGCATTCGAATGTTATAGACTGTAATGGATGGATGGGTAGACATTTGTTTCTTTGCTCATCTTGATCATCTCTTGATGGTTTTGAATGATATGGAGTAGTGGGTATTCTTTAACTACAACTACTGGGTTTTTCAACAAGAACTTTGTTTTATAAAACAAAATAAAACAAAGAGTTTAGATGAAGATGATTCAAATTTTTATTGTATTAGGAAGAGAAAAGCTTGGCAATTATGAATGAAGAATGATATCTGACAAATGTCCACCACGACCACGCTGACAGATGTCGATTCTTTCATCAAAGTTTTTAATAACTTTTTGGCAAAATGGCGGGTATATTTCGTTAATCACGTCACGGATTTTGAGTTTTAAGGCCGCGGTCGATTCGATTGGCTCCGTATTATAGACTCTGTCCTTAACATAGCCCCACAAAAAATAATCCACTGGCGTTAACTCACCCGATCTGGCTGGCCATTTAACAGCTGAATTTCGTGAAATTATGCGATCGGGAAATTTGGTTTGCAATAAATTGATAGTTTCGTTGGCTGTGTGACATGTGGCACCGTCCTGTTGAAACCACATGTTTGTGATATCGATGTCATCAATAATAGGCCAAAATTGAGATGTTAACATCTCGCGATAGCGTGATCCATTGACCGTTACCGCATTTCCAGCCTCATCTTCCAAAAAAAAATGGCCCAATCACGCCTCCAGACCACATAGCGCACCATACAGTGACAAGTTGAGCATGCAAAGGCTTCTCAATAATCGCTTTAGGATTTTCAGAAGCCCAAATGCGGCAATTTTGTTTGTTAACTTACCCTGATAAGTGAAAATGGACTTCGTCTGAAAAAATGATTTTTTCAGAAAAACCAGCGGGCGAATCTACGGCGATGTGAATGGTCGGTCAGCTTCAATTCTTGCACCAGTTGAACCTTGTAAGGCTTCAAAGCCAAATCCTTACGCAAAATTCGCCATGTGGTGGTTTTGGATAACCCCAATTGTTGAGAACGTCGAGGAATTGACAAATTTGGATCTTCTTCAACACTATGGCTCACGGCTGCGATGTTTTCGGTTGAACGACCCGGTCGAACACGCGTTGGTGTTGGCACATTTTGTACCGAGCCTGTCGATTCAAATTTAGCGACCAAATTCTTAATAGCGGTCTCAGAAGGACGATTATGTTGTCCGAAAATATCACGAATTTTACGAAACGTAACTTTAACAGAACCACCATTTTCATAAGACGATTTTAATTATTTTAATGCGATTTTCGAGCGAAATTGAATTCATTGTAGCAATTTCCAAAGCATCTACTACGAATAGGTCAAAAAACTAAATGTCAAAACTGTCATGTTGTTGGTGTTGCCCCAATTGAAAAACAAAGTTCTTGTTGAAAACCCGTTTACATGGTAACACAGTTGGCACATTCTGTTTACAAATTATGTTTTGTCTGTATTGAATATAAAAAAGTCTTAAAACTATATACGTCGTTTTTTCATTTCAAATATATTTAGATTTATTAAAACTTAGAAGCCGTGGTAGCTCACATAGTTAACGCTCGTTGTAAATATAACAGAACGCGAGTAACCCGGGTTCGATCCCCGCTGGCACCAATGAAACTGTTAATTGCAAATCGAAAAGTGATGATTTACCACGTGGTCGGCGGTGAAGGAAAACCTCGTGAGGAAACCTGCATGTCTGAGGAATAAGAAAAAAATAATATTTCGAAGACGTGAAGTTCGCCAACACGCATTGGGGCAGCGCGGCGGACACTTCCTTGCCCTAAAACCCTCTCAGAAATGAGAGAAGGCCTGTGCCCAGCAGTGGGACGTATATAGGCTATACTTTACTTTACTTTACTTTTATTAAAACATAATACATTAAGAAGGTGATTATTTGACTACAAAAATTATGACGTCTTTGCGCTTTATTTTCGTACAGTTTCTATGGAAATTAATAAGATATGGTCGCCTTTCCAGGCTCTAACTATGTCAAACGCGAACGACGGCATCAATCTGGAGCGGCTGGAGACCATAGGCGATAGCTTCCTGAAGTTCGCCATAACGGCGTACCTCTACTGTGCGCATCCCACCGTCCATGAAGGAAAGCTCAGCCATATGCGGAGTAAGCAGGTGAAGTGACAGTAAAGATTGATATTAGCATTTTTTTTTTCATTTATTGTTCGTCTTGCAGTAGCTGTACGGCTGTTGCTGTGGAATAAAAAGGGTAGATCTCCCACCGAACAAAGAGTTCAGCCCGTGGAGCGGCCAACATTCCGTGTATTAATTCGGAGCTGGTCTATATATATAGCGAAGCTTGGGAACTTTCATAGCGCGATTTAGGCTTTGGTGCGTTTTACTTGTAGCCAAAAATAATAAACGTTGTAAAATGTATACATATATGACATATTTTTTCACAGTATGTTAAGGCGTCATATTGCAATGCATTACATAATATTTTGCAAGCGTTATCTCAAGGCGTCTAAGGACAAAATAATTTGAGGTTTATATTATTTTCGGAGCACTTTTTGAAAGTAAAGTAAAGAGGTATGCCCTCTTTGTCCTCAGGGGTAACAACGCATTTGAATTTGATAATCGAGGATAGATTTAGATATCTATGGGCATTCACTTACCATCAGGTGGACTGATGCTAAGTTATTACTCTTATCCATAAAAAAAGATCAACTTATTGCTACGACAAGCAGTTGATTATGACGTCACATTGCGCGATAATGTTCCCGATGATAAGTAATAAAATGTGTAGGCATAAAAATAGATAACGCTCCGATTACACTGGCCGGCAAAAAAAAAAAAAAAAAATCCGGGAGCAAAAAGTTTACTATGTGATTTCTATTGGCTTTGATTTGTTGAGTCCAAATCTGTTTAAAGATTTCAACTATCACCTCTAGCTTTTCAGATATTTACATTTAAATAAAATATCGTTATATATATATATATATATATATATATATATATATATATATATATATATATATATATATATATATATATATATATATATATTAAATATGTATATATAAAAAAAATTAAAAAAACATAAAAATTATAACTATTTGGTAGATCGCTTTCTTTTATACATTTTAACTGCTGTTTCTCGGTTTATTTCCCAGCAAAAATCAGCTAGCATTGCTGGGGTCCACTTGCCGCTGTATCTTTTTTCCATATGTGCAATGTCTTGGTGGAATCTTTCACCATGCTCATCAGACACGGCACCAAGATTTTCTGGAAAAAAATCTAAATGCAAATGCAAGAAGTGAATTTTTAAAGACATATTGCATCCAAGTTGATGATACCACGAAAGCAGTTCTTCTATCAGCTCACGTACGTCGCTCACTTGTTCAAAACAATCACTGCGTTCGCGCTTCGCGCATGTTAGTTAGTTAGAGCAGTAAACAATAACTTGTTGTTTCTTTCTAACATAGAGACAGACTCAGTACACAACTAAATACATGTACATACCAACGTTCACAAATACCGCTGCCTGCAACTATAAGCAAACAATTGTAGTGTCGAAACTAGACGTGCTAGGTGAATTCTAACTACATATTTGGATTTAACGTAACTAACGTAATAACTTCCATATATACATTTTTTTGCTCTTATTTTGATTTTGACCAGTGTTATTAATGTAATCAAGAAGCAACGTTATGGTCTACGTACATAAAGACTTTTCTCCTTTGGATATTGTTATCGTTATGCTATCGCGGGTGTTCTAGTACTATCCGGTTGTAAGAGTGGAACGATCTGGATTGGTGTAGAAAGTTCTATATTGATTATTATTATCAAGTATAAAAGCGTGTGCCGGGGATCGGAGAGTTAGTACATTTGTTGTACCTATTTAACATAACTCGTTGCAGGTGTCGAACCTGAACCTGTACCGGCTGGGGCGCAGCAAGCGGCTGGGCGCGCGCATGACGGCGTCCAAGTTCGAGCCGCACGACAACTGGCTGCCGCCCTGCCACCGCGCGCCGCAAACGCTGCACCGCAAGCCCGTGCGTACGCCACTGCCACACACACCTGCCACACTCACCACTACTATACAAAACAAGTTCGAGCCGCACGACAACTGGCTGCCGCCCTGCCACCGCGCGCCGCACACGCTGCACCGCAAGCCCGTGCGTACGCCACTGCCACACACACCTGCCACAGTCACCAATACTATACAATACAAGTTCGAGCCGCACGACAACTGGCTGCCGCCCTGCCACCGCGCGCCGCACACGCTGCACCGCAAGCCCGTTAGTACGCCACTGCCACACACACCTGCCACACTCACCACTACTATACAATACAAGTACGAGCCACACGACAACTGGCTGTCGCCCTGACACCGCGCGCCGCACACCATGCACCCCGAGCCCGTGCGTACGCCACTGCCACACACACCTGCCACAGTCACCACTACTATACAATACAAGTACGAGCCGCACGACAACTGGCTGCGCGCCTGCCACCGCGCGCCGCACACGCTGCACCGCAAGCCCGTGCGTACGCCACCCTGCCACACACACCTGCCACACTCACCACTACTATAAAATACAAGTTCGAGCCGCACGACAACTGGCTGCTGCCCTGCCACCTCGCGCCGCATACGTTGCACCGCAAGCCCGTGCGTACGCCACTGCCACACTCACCACTACTATACAATACAAATTCGAGCCGCACGACAACTGGCTGCCGCCCTGCCGTCGCGCGCCGCATACCCTGCACCGCAAGCCCGTACGTACGCGACTGCCACACACACCTGCCACACCACCACTACTATACAATACAAGTGCGAGCCGCACGACAACTGGCTGCCGCCCTGACACCGCGCGCCGCACACGCTGCACCGCAAGCCCGTGCATACGCCACTGCCACACTCACCACTACTATACAATACAAGTTCGAGCCGCACGGCAACTGGCTGCCGCCCTGCCACCGCGCGCCGCACACGCTCCGCACCGCAAGCCCGTGCGTACGCCACTGCCACACACACCTGCCACAGTCACCAATACTATACAATACAAGTTCGAGCCGCACGACAACTGGCTGCCGCCCTGCCACCGCGCGCCGCACACGCTGCACCGCAAGCCCGTGCGTACGCCACTGCCACACACACCTGCCACAGTCACCAATACTATACAATACAAGTTCGAGACGCACGACAACTGGCTGCCGCCCTGACACCGCGCGCCGCACACGCTGCACCGCAAGCCCGTGCATACGCCACTGCCACACTCACCACTACTATACAATACGAGTTCATTTAGTTAATCATCTATATTTTATTTATGATTTTATTTGTGTTCTTAGTTTTGATTGTGTTGTATTAGGTTAGATTATAAATTTGACTTGTATGCGTGTAAGTTACAGCCTATATACGTCCCACTATTGGACGCAGGCCTCCTACCAATTCTAAAAGGGTTTTAGGGCAAGGAAGTGTCCGTCGCGCTGGCCCAATGCGTTTTGGTGAACTTAGCTTGCCTTCGAAATATTTTTCTTATGTCTAAGACATGCAGGTTTTCTTATTATATTTTCCTTCACCATCGAGCACGTGATAAATCAACACTTAAAATTGATTGGTGCCGGCGGGGATCGAACTCGGGTTGCTCGCGTTCTGTGAAATTTGCAGCGAGCGTTAACCACCTGAGCTACCACAGATCCATATAGCCCCAGTGTAAGTAATATCAGGAAATTTGTATGCTATTTCCTTTTATAGAATAAGGATGACAAATTAGCACACAGACCCCCCGATAAGGACTAAGATGTAATGCCTCGTTTCCATATAAAAAGGGTCTCCGGTTCTCTACACTCATACGAAACACAGCAGCATTAAGCTGCTATTTTACGTTGGTATCCTGTGAGAACGTGGTCCTTCCCCTGTCGAGCGGACTCATCCGTGCTACAACCATAATATATTAGACAAGAATAAACCGATAACCGATCTACTGCGAAACCAGTGGTGAATTTGAAAGAAGTTGAGGAAATATTTTCTTACGGTTCTGAGGAATTGAGCTATTCAGATGGACAAATTACAATAGAGAGTATAGAGAGGAACAAACGTGGCTTTACCACGTACAGAAGTACGTATTTGAAATCACATGATAAATCATGTGGACTTTAAGAATTTTTCCGTACTTATCTATTTAGTTTTATACCATACAGTTATCTATTTAGTTTCCCTTTGGGACACCTACGGGACGATATGGGGTAGTGAATATTCTTATACCGCCACTAAAATGTTGTAAGCCACTTAACTATGTACTTGTCCCAAACGAGAATCGGGAGAACTGGAATTTTACAAGGGATCCATTATTTTCAGAGCGACACTCAAGAGCAGCCAGTTGGAGATGGTCCCGTTGATAGCGCGGGATGTTTTATCCCGTACAACTTGATCACGCAGCACAGTATACCGGGTATGTTATTTTTTAAGGAAGCTGGATGTGTCGCTTGACTGCATGGAAGTTAGAGAGAAGGAGAACGATCGCTACGTACTAAAGCGTAGCCCGCCTGTCCCTGAAAATTTGTCGGTGAGTAGTGACCGCGAAGTTAGCTGTTTATGAGTACAAGTAGATGAAGTGAAGTTAGTTGAATAATGTACAAATTTTCTTCGCGGCATTGGTGAGAAAATAATCGTGCTCCGTGATTTTTTATTATTAATTTTTAATTTATATTTATATATAGATATGTATATAGATTTTTTAATATTATAATTTTTGACAAAAATAAACATTAAAAAATGGTGAAATATTGTATTGTGCGTAGATGTGCAAGTGGTTTAGCATCTGATCGGAAAAACAGACTGAAAATTACATTTATTGAGACAACTTAGCGATCGCAGCGCCACACTTATTTTGTCCATATTTCTGGGACTCTATTTTCTACAGCGATCATTCTCCTTCTCTCTAACCTCCATGTTTGACTGGTTAAAACAGTGCCGATATCCTCGCCTTGGACTTTTGTCGTGAAGTAAACGTGATGAAAAGTGCGAACGGGGGCCTTACGGGAAATATATAACTTGAATTATAGAGTCCCTCAAAGAAGAGAAGAAGAATCAGAATTTCTAAGAAATATTGTTACGAGCTTAGAGTTGGTGACAATAAAAACTGCCGATTGAAATACCAAAATTGAAACTTTAATTACTGAACACCAATTAAAACTTAAATCACACTAATAATTAATCACACTTAACACTTCAGTTCACTTTATTTCACTCCGAAAGCTTCGCTCGTATCGCCAATTCAATACTGCTACTCGGTCGCGGCGCTCAACGGCTTTAAATAGGCCTTTTCCATCGAAACATCCATAATATTCCAGCAAATACCGGCCCCGACCGACCAGATGCAGAAAGTTCGAGTGTGGTTTTTTCTAGAAAGCTTATTTCTCCTATTCGACACTAGATGGCGCTGTTGGGAGAGTTCTAGAAAAATCTTGACACTCCCATCCCTGATACTTGATACCAGATGGCGCTATTGCCATCAACGCGCAACAATATAGTAACTTTAGCATCGCAATAATGTTAAGAAAATGTTATGTATGTAGAAAGACTTTCATACTTTAAATATTAGGGACTGCCTCGTTGATCCAGTGGTTTAAATGCAATCAGCGGTAGTCAGTAGTCGGATCAAAAAATCAGTTATTGAGTTTTTCGGAGTTTAGTTGTTCAGAGTCGAAAGCACGTAAAGCCGTTGGTCCTGCGCCTGATCTCTCTCCGGACGTGTCGGTTTACCGTCCCATCGGATAATGAGAGTGAGGGAATAGAGAGTGCACTTGTGCTTGCGTATACACTTGGGCGCTATAATCCTGTCCTGCTAGATGGTTCGTTTATATAGAGACTGGCTGGCTTGACCAAAATTCGTTCCGGAGGACATTATTATTATTATAAAGAAAACTCCACATAATTATACAAATGAATTAAAAGAAATTAAAAAATACAAATGAAAAAATCAACTGGGGCAACTGTACCAATACACTTTTACAACGAAATTCCATTAAATATTCAATGTATGTCGATCAAAAAAAAGTTAAACAAAATCTGTATAAGAATGTTATTATATTATTAAGAAATACATTAATAAAAATAAAACCTGGGAATGAGGTGATCGCCACTACGTTGGTTCTATTATAAATTCATATGAACTGTACAGAATAATTGTAACATTTTGTCTAAAAATAAAAAATAAGTATTTTCCGAACCAGACGTAAAAAGATCATCTCGTGAGTGTCATAAGGACGACTGAGCAAAACTGAAACTGGCAAACTCTGCTAATCATGGTATTATGCCGAATATTCCTCTAGGATTCCTTAGGCCGCATTTGCAATGAACTGAGACTTTTTTTAATAAGATAAGGGTGACATACGAGTACACCGTCCATCTGATGTTAACCCCTGAGCCGCCAGCTAGAATGATTAACATCGCTCGCTCGCTAACGCCGCGTCACGCGTTACTAAAAATAACCTAACCTTGAAATTGTCATACATTTATTTTTAATTATATTCATTATACATTTCAATATAATACTTGTTTCTGTTTATTTATTATGTTATATTACTTGTTTTAGTGCTTTTACTTCATTACAAATAGATTTTAATTGTATTTTCATAGTTAAAAATGTACGTACCGAACATAGAACGGCAGCTTGAATATCACAATTATTTCTATATATTACTTGAAATTATGTACGTAAAAAGACAAATTATATCCACGCAAAAACTTTTATAACAATTTTATAATTAAACACTAATAAAACATTAGAAAAATCAAAAAATCAACACAATAACATGCCACACGAAATAGGCGTACAAAATGAACGTAGATTATAAATAAAAACCATAAACCAACTACTTTTTATTGCATTAGAGGATAGGAAATTTCACATTGAGCATATAATGCCACACTTCTTCATAGACAAGTAGTCTCTAAATATAAGTTTTTATGGGTTAAAGTGCTGTGGGCGCATGCGACCGCTTGGGGTTTGAGAGGTTAAGTGAATGCTGTGGCTCGTAAAAATCTACATCTATTCTCGAATGAGAATCAAAATGCAGAATGTGTTGTCACCCCTGATTACTAACATGAAATGCCTCATTCTCAGTGAAAAGGGTCTCAGGTTCTTTACACTCACCATACGAAACGCAGCAGCATTGAGCTATTGTACGTTAGTATTCTATGATATCGTGGTCCTACTCCGATCGAGCCGACCCATTCGTGCTACAATCATAATATAGCTGCAGCGTGGCTCTACCAAAAATATAAATATAGACTGTACTAAATGAAAAAAAAAAATGAATAATTTTCTTTTCAGACAAATCGATAGCTGATTGCGTGGAGGCATTGATCGGGGCTTACCTCCTCGAATGCGGACCCCGTGGGGCGTTGCTGTTCATGTCCTGGCTGGGAATAAGGGTGTTGCCTCGTCACGATCTCCCGTTGCCGGAAAATCATCCTTATGTCGTTGCGCATAAGGACGATCGCGAAGATGCGCCAACTCCAGTTATAGAGGTATGTAACCTAGTAGGAATATGAACAGTTTTATAAACCTAATTATTGCGTCACTGAAATTGTACAAATTATTTTTTTTTTACTGTGTAATGCTACTTTGGAAAAATAATGTCTCGATTGGTCTTTGCCTAGGAGCCTACCTGACTAGGTATTAGGGATGTTACGGAAGTGGTTATATCGGAACCGCATTCGGAAGCGGATTTTTTAAATTTAGTTTGTCGGAACCGGAACCGGAATCGGAGGTGAAGGCAGAAGAGACAGATACGTGTTACGGGTACGTCTAATAAAATAAAATTACACACATTATTCATCATAAATATATTCGTTAAAGAACAGTCCTTGAATTAACTGATAATTTGGCATTATAAATTGCATAAGTCGTCTGAATCCAATACCTTTCACGAAATCAAAGTTAAGCAAAGTAATTATTTCAGGGTGGTTCCCCGCGCGACAAGTATAAACGTATTATACCTTATTATAATTATAGGTATGTATAGAATTTGTTCCAATATTATTGTCATGAATGGCTCACACTAGCGATCGACCACCCGCGAGTGAGCGGTGAAAGTTACTGAATGCCAAACGAGCGCTCAAGCGCTATCTCTCTCTCTTTTCGTTTTGCTTTTTTTTCTAACATTGCGCTGGATGAAACAACAATGTTATCAACCATGCTCGCGTTGACAATAGACGGGCCGGGAAGGGCCCTCTTAATTGAGGATAAATGTAGATGTCTATGGGCCACAGCATCCACTTACCATCAGGTGGGCTGTGTGCTCGTTTGTCACTTAATGCTATAAAAAAACTTAACCAGATGGACTCCTCAGTAGAAAATAAGTTCTACCACGTAATAAATCACTCAGTGTTAAATTAGCTAAAAAGCCGACAAAATGAGCGGTTACCTATCGCAGAGTATATTACAGTGTAGTGGCGGTGTTAGAATAACAATTACCCCATATCCACGTGTCGTAAGAAGCGGCAAAGGGAATCTCAACTAGGAGATGGAAAGCGGCATCTTCTTGATAACCGCTCAATGTAGTAAAAATATGCCGAAAATCCCACCCATGAGGCGGTCTATAGGGGCCCTATATTCTGCTGTACTTTTATATGCTTATATGGATAATGGTAATTAATATCGCAGAGTGTTTCTCCTGGTGATACGTGGTCTAGAGGTGAAACAAGTGAAAAAAAAGGTGCTGTTATGGTAATTACAGGAGGGAATAGTCGGTGACATACCCGATATCTCAGCTCTCTTCCGTGCGGCTGCTGGTCTTTTCTTTTATTTAAACCGCTCACTCGACAATAGTTTTCTAAATACAATTTATACGAACACTTCACATTAACGCGTGGCTGGCTAAATTTCACAGCGAGTTAATGACATGCGGTGTCCGATGTTACTCGTAAGCGATCCGAAAACTAATTGACAAAACCGTCGTTGTCTTTTACATCTAATCTTCTGGTTGCAGCGCTAGCTATCTCTTTTCACCAAGTCTTTACGAAAAGGAGTGGGAAAGAGATAATAAATAATGAACATAATTACATGATGATACTCTGATGTGATTACTGTATTCATTCAATATTTATATATGTGCAAAACGGCGTTAACACATGTGTTGCATTTTAAAGGGTATGTTCCAAAATAGAACCCAGTGTACTGTTCAATGCAAATGATGTCATGAATAGACGCTATACTGGTGTTTCGTTCCAAAACATAGGCCAGTATATGTCGTCATACATTTGCGCCATATTGGAAAAGTGTTGGCGATTATTTTGTCATTTTGTGCTCTAAAAAGCATTATATCCTTCTAATGGAGATACCAGCAATTATTCTATAATTTTTTGTATTTAAATAAAAAAACAAATTTTGCCATGCTTCATTTAGAGCACACACAATAAAAAATTGTTTTATTATGGCCGGATATTCGACACAATATGGCGGCGGCACGCCAGTACAATATGGTGTCAATTGATGACGTCATTTGTATTCGGCAGTATACTGGAAACGTTTCGGAACATACCCTAATGCTGCTATGTCTTTCCTAGATTACTAGAGTACTGCTGTGGGTAGTAAGTGTGGAGTTTAGTGGTATTCCTAAAAAAGTCAGTATGTTTGACTAATCCAGAAGTCCCCATCCCCCCGGCTTCCGAAACGGGAGCCCCGTGACTCTGACTCGGATTGGAGCGACGAAGAGGAGGAAGATGAAGAAGAGGACGTAGAGGAGCAGTGCGTGCCGCAGGAGTTGGGACCCGAAGAGGAGTGGGGCTGGCCCGGCAGGCCCGTGGGCTCCCTCAAACCGTACCTGCGAGCTGGGACCTGGTACCAGGTAAGTACAACGGATGTTTTCAACTGTCTATACATATCTATATGCAGACGAAAATAAAATTCACTTAAAAAGTTTGAAGAGCACCTCCCGCCCTCCCTCAATTGCGTGAACTAATCCCTCTCCCACCAATCGCTAAGAAGTTAGCGGTCAGCCGCCGTAGAGTCAATATCACCTGAAGATGCCTCGTGTAGAGGCGAAACACGTGTCGTATTATTGTCGATGGGGTGTCTCTTCTGGAATAGTGGTGATGGGATTAGTGCACACAGTTGAGGGAGGGCGGGAGGTGCTCTTCAAACTAGGTAAGACACATCATTGTATTTAATTTAGCGGATGGTTGCAAAGTAACTATTAATATCTTTATTATAATGGATTTCTGCAAAGTAACGCCTGATTCTATCAATTAAAATTTACTTGTTTGTTAGTAATTAAAATACCGTGTAGTAGCGGTGTTAGAATATCCACTACCCCATATCATCCCGTGAGTGTCGTTAGAGGTGAAATTATTTCACGAGTAACTATAAGATGCCTGTTATCCTGACCTATTAAAATGGTAGGTCTGGACCTTTTATAAAACAACTCGTCCTTTATGGGTGCTAAATGAGCACAGCTTTTCAACAACTCTCGGCTTACCGATTGCGGAGAGAGATTGAGTGCTTTTCGATTCGATTGCACGATTTCGAAATCCTATAGGAGGCTTTCTATCCTTTTCTAATATTTGTACTTATCCTTGTCAGACATATACATCATTTCACTCTAGCATTAAACATTCCTCATCTAGGGTATGTTCCAAAATAGAACCCAGTGTACTGTCCAATGCAAATGACTTTATGAATCGACGCTATACTGGTGATGCGTTCCAAAACATAGGACAGTATATGACGTCACACATTAGCGCCATATTAGAAAAGAGTTGGCGATTATTTTGTCATTTTGTGCTCCAAAAATCATTATATCCTCCTAATGGACGTACCAGCAATTATTCTATAATTTTTTGTATTTTAATAAATAGAAACAAATTCTGGCATGCTTCATTCAGCGAACACACAATTAAAAGTTGTTTTATTATGGCCGGATATCCGACGCAATAGGGCGGCGGCACGCCAGTACAATATAGTTTCAATTGATGACGTCATTTGTATTCGGCAGTATACTGGAAACGTTTCGGAACATACCCCTAATCTATTATTGATACATCTTATTAGTGATTAATACATTATGTAAACTTTAATAAAAATGAGCATAAAACGAATAACAATTTCGTTTGAAGCTCATTTTTATTCTTTAATGCATGACTCTAAGTTAATACAAATCTTTATTTTTCTCAGAAATTAACATCTTATAAAAATAACATAAATTTGACATTTATTTTAAGGAACAATTAATGATTTACCGAGATATTTATCTCGCCAACAACTACTATGTAACGGTGGAGCGATAGTTAAAATGTGATTGTGAAACAAAACTACATTTTTAGGGTCCCGCTATAATATACGCAACCTTTGTAATTTTTGTATGTCTGTCCTAATATGTAACAGACTTCAGAGGGAGGAAGAAAGATAGCTCTAAAATATAGAATTTGTGTGAAGTCAAATTAGATCCCTATTTCAGCCAACTGCTGCTTTATGACTGTGACACTCGCTGAAAAAGAGTACGCTCTTTTCTTCAATATTCTTCAAGGTGTAGTATGAATTTAAAGACTGTTTAACAGATAACAATTTCTTCTCTTTCAGCCAATTTTTGGTGCACTGAAGGCGCCGCCATCGCCGCTTTTAAGGTACATAGAGGATCCTGAAGGAGAGTTGGAGCAAATGCTGTCAGGTGAGTCTTATTAGGATTTTTTTTTCAAATTAGTTTTTTTTAATTTATTCTTACAAAGAGTGTACATTATTCACATTTAAAATTTTGCCAAACTGTAAGCCAGTTTGTCGGCAACGCAACAGATTATCGTTTCACTATCCTTAATAACAATATCTGGTACTTATAAATACTTAAATCAACACAAAAATAATTAAAAAAACATTCACCACTATGCACACAACGACAGATAATGTTGCCTCAAGATTGATTTGAGCTACGACTTAGTTACGCTTTCGTCATGTCTCATTACACAAAGTTGGAGTTATCCATTGCCTTGTACGCCGTCCAAAGTAATTTTCAGCCCTAGGTATGAGATATTTCCTCCTTTGAGTAATTTGGCACTTCGGCATTATATATGTCCTGGGTTTCTTAAATGTTACCATACCATGCTGTTCTAATATGATGATGAATTTTACTTTCATGTCTATGGGAATAATTTTGCTAGTTTTAAATAACATTTCATAATTTTTATCTAGAGCATTTTTCGTTTTAGGATCAACTAATATCTTTAAGAATCTTATCTGCATAGTCTTTATTTTGTTATCATATGTCGGTAATGTAAGTCCATATAAAAAAGTTGGGTTTAATTTGTTTTGAGATAATGAAATTGCTTTGCGGAAACTATTACTTTGACTAGACTTATATTCAAGATATATGTTATGAAGAAAAATATAATTGAAATTGGAGATTTTTTCCATAAATTTCTATTTTTTATAAGTTGAACGAATTGGACATATTCGTTTAAAACAAGTCCTTGTGGCACTAAAATCTATACTAATATCAGTCATCATCTCTTTGCCTCTTTCCCTACCTCTCTTTCTCTCGCTGTTTCTTGCTTGAACTTTATAGAAATTTAATTAAAAGTAATAGAAGCATTGAGTTATACAACACTATAGGAGCAAACCACATTACCGCGCGTCGAAAAAAGAGTAACCACTATCCAAACGCGACGACGTAGCTTTGAAACTAATTTAAATAAACAATTTTAAATAAACATATATCTATCTCACTTACACAAGTTGCGAAAACAATATCGTCACCATTTTCGTTCGCGAGATTAGATAAAGATAGACACACAAACATGCAATGGCGGGTTGGTGTGGCTTACTATATGAAATTTTACCTAAAATACGCAATAAAAATGAGTTTTTTAAAACTGCAGTTAATAGTTTTTATATTAAAAAGTATAGTTTATTTTAAAAATGTTTATTGGGTCCCCTTAGAAAAAAAAGGATATAAAGCTTATCAGATGAATAGAAGTAAACATAATGACGAAATAAAACATATTTTTATAAGAATTTTTATTGTACTAATAAATCAAATAATATAAAATAGGTAATAAAATATAATAATATAAAATTTATATGAAACTACAATTAATATAAAATTATTAATATAATATAGGTAATAAAATATATTTAATAGATAATTCATGAATAAACTAAAATAAGGATAATTTATTATTTTGTCTGAAAGTTAAAACGTAGTTTTTATTATAATTTCCAAAATATTTAAAATTAGAGGAAACAAATTAACTTACTCCAACTATTAATTATATATAGTCTCCCATTAATGTAGGATAATCAAAAATGCGGAAAAGTGGCAACATTGAACCTAAATGGCAATATTCGATAATTTTATTTAATTATTTGAGGTTTTTTACGTTTATATGAAAACAAGAACTAAAAATTATGTGTTGAAAGTGATTCCGCTTGATTTATTACGTTTTTGTGACCTTGAATAGCATTCTTTCACTACGCATTTACTCATTTTTTATTGCGGCTCAACTCTGTCGGCGTCACATTGAACACTGAACTGACGTCAGCCAGGCATATGGCCGTGGCCATATGTGCAGTGGCAACGCTTTGGCGCGGTTATTACTGATCTAGTGTAATATGTATATAAATCAACGAATAGAAGTTTTTAATTTAGTTTTTAACACTTCCGGACGTCTGCGAACTTTCATATGAATCAGTCTGCAATTTCGCAGATGTATTAAGAACCGATAACAGTACAATTATTTTACGTATGTGACTTAGTAATCTCTTTAGAATCAGCGCAACTCATGATTAATGCGTGTTTTTAAGTTTTATTAAGACTAATATTATCTGTCTCTTTCTGTTTCTTCATCTTTCCTGTTTCAGTCTGTCTCGCTCTTTTCTCCCTCCTTTCACTGTTCCACTAAAATAAATATAGTCTCTAATAAGTGTCGTTTTGAGACAGCTATTACTATTTAAATTAGAAGTTAGGAGGACGTTATTATAAACCGAAGTGTTTGTAAACGCAGGTTACGAGGCGCTAGAGCGCACGCTGCAGTACCGGTTCCGGGACCGGGCGCTGCTACTGCAGGCGCTCACGCACGCTTCGCACCAGCGCAACCGCCTCACTGACTGCTACCAGCGCCTCGAGTTCCTCGGGGACGCCATACTGGGTAATGTTGCACCTGTATACATTCTGTTGGTCGGGCTACGAGCAGTACCGGTCATGGGACCGGGCGCCGCTGCTGCAGGCGCTCACGCACGCCTCGCACCAGCGCAACCGCCTCACCGACTGCTACCAGCGCCTCGAGTTCCTCGGGGACGCCATACTGGGTAATGTTGCACCTGTATACGTTCCGTTGGTCGGGCTACGAGTAGTACCGGTCATGGGACCGGGCGCCGCTGCTGCAGGCGCTCACGCACGCCTCGCACCAGCGCAACCGCCTCACCGACTGCTACCAGCGCCTCGAGTTCCTCGGGGACGCCATACTGGGTAATGTTGCACCTGTATACGTTCTGTTGGTCAGGCTACGAGCAGCACCTGTTCCTATGCTATTAAATAAACCCCTTTTGGTACAAACTTTGCCTTAACTTCAGCTTTGTCCCAACTGGATCTGGATGAAATTATAAGCCCGCGTTATACTGGCTCTTCATACCCTTCAAACTGGTATACAACAAGCAGTATAAGCACAGCAGCTTCGCCACAGAAATGAGTATGAGATCAGTACCAATCTAGACGGAATCCTAGGCATAAAAGTAGCCACCTAGATATTTTTAGTAGTAGTAGTAATGCTATAGACATATTTTTATTTTATAGAATAACGGTGACAAATGAGCACACAGGCCACCTGATGGTAAGTGGATGCTGTGGCCCAAAGACATCTACATTTATCCTCGATTAAGAATCAAAACGCAGATACGTTATCACCTCTGAGGACTAGGATGGAATGCCTAGTCTCCAGTAAAATATATTAAGGTATTCTGTGTATTCTGTGTGTGGCCCTATCCCCGTCGAGCCTACATGGTTCTACCACGTAAACACTAATACATTGCTAATTTTCCCTTTAAACACTCCCGATGAGCTTTAAATGCTTATGTTAGGAGTTGTTCACGACACTAGTCGAATGGCGGATTCGAATCCGCAACCTTTTGAGTTCTACTGTCGCTTCATTTCATTCTTTGGATCTTCTTGTTTCAGATTACCTGATCACCCGTCACCTGTACGAGGACGCCCGGAGACATTCGCCCGGAGCCCTAACGGACTTGCGTTCTGCTCTCGTCAACAACACAATATTCGCTACCCTCGCCGCCCGGCACGGCTTCCATAAGTATGTATATTTTTCATGCTACCCTCGCAACCCGGCACGGCTTTCATATGTTTTTATAGCATTAGATGACAAACGAGCACACAGTCCACCTGATGGTTAGTGGATGCTTTGTCACCCTTGAGGACTATAATGGAATACCCCCATTCCAGTGAAGTGGGTCTCCGGATCTCTACACTCACCATACGAAACACAGCAGCGTTAAGCTGCTATTTTATGTTTGTATTCTGTGAGAGCGTGGTCCTTCCCCGGTCGAGCCGACCCATTCGTGCTACAACTATACTACTAATATAACTGCAGCATGGCTCTACCACGTAAAAATTTACCCGTATTATATTTTTCATATATTTTGGAAGTGAAAACTTCATTTACAATTGTGTTTTTGATATTCGATGAAACAAAAAAGTGACACTGAAATAATAGAATAAATGATTTTTATTCAATATAGGTCATTATATAATACTTTTTGAAAGTCATTTTCTTATTTAATACCGGTTCAGCAAGTACCTCTGTCCTGGGAAGAACCAGCAAAAAACCCAGCGGGGTTTTTTTTCACTTTACAATAATTTTGTACAATTTTTAAATTAAATTCCCAGGGGTTAATTTCATTTATGTATTCATTAACAAGCATACATACGAATGAAGAAAGCGCGTGTTATTTATAAATCATGGTTTTCCCAGGAGCGGAGTCTCCATAAAAAGCTGACATCTTTCGACAAATGATTTGAGGTGTCTTTCCTTGTTTGGTGAGAAACTTAATGACGGCGCGATATTCAATTTTCTCCATAGTGGCTAGTTTCTTCTCGATTGACTTGTTTACTCGTTGATAACTCAAATGCTGATGACCCGATTAGGCTGGAACTTGGTATATATACTACAATGAGTCACTCAACTAGTGCTTACTTCGATGAGTAAAATCACCCTTGCCAACCCCGACATTCCGCGAACTTTTTGACCTCCCCTCGTACATCTCTAGGTTTTAGCCTGCGGGGGAATGAGATAGAATACAGTATACAGTGTTTGTTATATACTTATTTATACTTTAATTACATAAACTCTATAATTATTCTTCTCCTGATGTTCTGCAATCGTCTCTTTCCCTTGAAGTTTAGTTTTTGAAGAATTCACTTCTGCCGCATCTGAACTGCACTAAGGTTTATTTTTTAAATCTTGAATTCCATTTATATCCCCCATCGTCATAGTCGTAAGTAAGTGAAGAAATGGCACGTAACCCCGTCCTTAAAGGTCTGAGGGGAGGACGGGAACTCTGAAAACTGTCTTTTTTTTTTAAAAACGTTACCCCCACACTAGGATTTCCTCATCAAACATCCAGACTTGGAACAATTATTTGTAGACCATACAAATACTTGCTCCGTGCAGGGTTCGAACCCGCGGCTCCCAGCGCAGCCGCTCATTGCTAAGCCACTGCGCTACGGAGCCGTCGTGTCTCCAATTAGTCTGGAGAAAAAATTGGTTGGTTTAACATGGTAGGATTATGAGTATCCATTACAGCCTATAAAAGTCCATTGCTAAAAAAAATTATAAATTTTTATTAAAAGGTATTAAGAAAAAAAAAAAAAAAAAAAAAAAAAACAACGGTGTTTGGTTGAACAAAACGAAAAGTGGGACATAGGTAAAAAAATTAAAAAAAAAAAATTGTTTTTGTTTTCTTCAAAGATTTCCGTGGAATTTTGCCATATTTACCATGTTTGGCGAGCGGGAGCTGGCAAATGCAGCTCTTTTATAAATTTGAGTCGTTAACACGAAGACGCTGCTGCTCATATCATGATTTGTTTACCTCTATCGTCTTTTACGAGATCCACGGGATGATATGGAGTAGTATATATTCTTACGGGATTATGAATAGATCAAATATCTAAGTGATGGTATTTGAAGATTTACACTTGTTGAGTGGTATGATTGCTTTTGTGCCTAGGGGTCCGTCTTTTTTTTATAGAATTAGGGTGACAAACGAGCACACAGTGCACCTGGTGGTATGTAGATCCAGTGGCCCATAGACATCCACATTTAACCTCGAAAGTATCAAAATGCAGATGCGTTGTCACTGGTGAGAACACAGATAACCTCCTAATAGATTCCGCATACAGGGCCACAAACGCGCGCAACACATGCTTGCTGTAGCTAGCATACGAAGTAACGCTAAGAATCACGATATCAGTGTCGACCAATGTTGTGACCCGTAGGCACGTCCGAGTTCTTGACAATTTAAAATAGTCCTGTATCCAAAATACATTACAAATAGCTTCCTGTGCAGTAAAATAGTGTTGCAAGTCAGCTTAGACATTCAGTTATCAAAAGATGGCATAACATTTCATCGGTAAGTAAATTCTATTCTTATCACTTTAACCTATTTCAAATGCACTGGAGTTCAACTTATACTGGTAATGTAATGGTGCAAAGTGATAACAATTAAGCACCCGTTGATGTCTTTTTAAAATGTCCCTTTCACTCATTACGTAAATTACAGTAGTTGTCTTTGTCTAACAACAGCACGTGTATCGATAGTGTTGTGATTTATAAGTAGATATTAGTTTGGTCATCATTTACATTTTTAAAGTGATTATTTTATAAACATTGTGGTGTATCATTGTAATACCTATATGTTATAGGTTTCCTAAATGCCCCGAAAGGAAAAAGATGTGGATCTACGCTACTTGTCGAAAGGACCAAGGTTTCCCACCAAAAATAGTGTGCTATGCTCAAGACACTACACAGAAGACAATCTTCATATATAAAAACTGTAGAAGGCAGTTGGATTCCGCTATACCATCTCTATACTTGTCAGTTTTAGTATGGACTTTTACATTTTTTAAAGTATAGTACCAATGTAAATTACACAATAAGTGATAGCATTAAGTGGTTGATTGAAACGTGATATTCTAATATTTAGGCGAATGTTACAAGTTGAAATTAAACTATTTTTAACGGATTTATAAATCATAAAACAAGTGAAAGTTATAATGTTATTACATAAACTTCAGTAATATCTTATTATTATTAACCCGTATGTGTTCAACTTTTCTCGTAAAAGCTGGTATTTTTTTTGTTTTATTCTAAGTCCAATTAGCGTAAAAATAAGGTTTTCTAAAAAATTAAATAATAAAAAAATAAACCGTTTTGGACATTTTCACCGCCCCAATTTTGGGGCGCTGAGCACGGTAGACCACGTGAACAACTCCTCAAATTTTTCAATTTTAATTAATTTAAAGAGTAATATTAATATAATTACTATTATAGAGGTTGTAAAGAAATTTTTATAATATTTAAAGAATATTTGTTATATAATAGTGCTTATTCTATCGGTATTTATCATATATTTAGGAATGGAAAATTTCAAAACAATTAGTATGGCAGCCGACATCACATTTTCGGTATATTTTCGTAGTATTTTTATGGCATTCGGCACAACGTATCTGAGTTGCACTAGAAATAATTAAATGGTCAGCCCCATCTAGACGTACATCATCTGGCACCCTCCTTTTCCTAGACGGCTTCATAGGACGGCCTAAAGAGCGAGCCGACGCATATCTTCGTAGATAAGTTGTAACCACAGACCTGATAAAGGCTAGGAAATCAAGATGCCCTTTCTCTTGCCCAGCTGGTGAGAGCCTGTACAACTGAAAAGCGTTATTCATTGAAGCGTTCAAGGGCCACATCAGAAGTTGCCAATACCATTTTTTTTATTTATGCTAATGCGGTAGCAGCCTATGTTTTGATGTAGACGATCTACTCCGCCCATATATTGATTATACATTTGAACACAAAAGGGCTGTTGAATCGAGATTTTTTTTCTTTCAGCACTTGACCATCGCTGTGCGGATCCAACTGGAGAAACACCTTCACAGGTAGAAGCTACGGTAACAACGTTATTGCCGTTGTATCGCACTAGAGCACGCCTGATGTTTCATCGATGATTTGATCATAGCTCCCACGCTGTTTTTTCTTTATGTCAGCGATTGATTCCAGAGGCGCATTTTCGACCCTATTGGCCCGTATTGTTCCTGTCCCCTGGTGACCAATATCTTTCAAAGCGATGAGCAATCAAAACGATGTAAAATAATTGTCTATGTAAACATGAACTGGGAAATCTGTACGCAATTTGGCCACCAAATTCATAACGACAGATCCTCCAACACCTAAATCATGATTAGTGTTGCCTGTGCTAGCCCCTTGATAAGGTATGGCTTGTATAAGATATCCCAGCCGCGTAGCCATGCACCAGCACTTGAATCCGCAAGGAATGGGTTTTCCATGAATGTGCTGTTTTGTACTATGATGGCCATAGTACGGAATCATTGATTCGTCGATGCTAACTTCGTTATACTGAGGCCAATACTTCATCCATTTTTCGTTTAGTTTCTCCCAAAAAGGTCGCACTTTTGTGAACTTGTCCTGGACATCTAAAGCTGCGTTATCGGAAACGTGCATAAATCGAAGTATTTGTTCAAATCGAGATCGAGATTTTGCATTAGCTCCGCCAGGGTGATAGGTATCGATTCTAGTATCCCAGTACATGCGGTTCCTTGCTTGAACGTTATATCCACTTAGCAAAAGTATTGCTAAGACGAGGCGAATTTCTTCTTTGGTAACATCAAAATGTTTACCTTCGAAAACCGCATACCTTCTTGAATTTTCTACAAACAAATTCACAACGTCGTCAACGTAAAATAATTCAAAAAATTCAGTAGGCGACCTATTAGTGTCTACAAACTCGGGACGATGGCATTCCCTTCTTTGATATTCAGGTAAATCTGATTTTTTCCACTTTCTTTTTTCTATGATCTTCTTTTTTCTTTTTGGCGCAGAAGTGGATGCGATCTCCGGTAGGGATACGTTGTCGTCATCACTCGACTCCAATCCTATAAATTCTGTTTGTAATAGTGGACCCGATTTGCGCACACATTCAAGCTGCGCCTCGGCTCGTAGTTGGTTGCCTGTCAGGTGATTGATATCACCTACAAGTGCATCTTCCTCGTCACTATCGCAGTCACTCAACATGTGGTTGCTAGGCGGGCATGTGTAGATAGTGCCCTCAACAATGTCATCTTCCGTCTCTAATATGTCAATAATTTCTGCCAAACTCAACCTAAAACAACAAAATAAATATAAAAATATAACATATAAAGTACCAATGTAACTGGCAGTAGCTATAAACAATGTAAATAAAATATAACGCATATACTATGAAATTTGAAATCAACATGCAAGTACGCGACCAGCGCCCCAATAATGGGGCGCTATAAATAATGCCTCTAAAAAACTAAATCTCAACAGAAAGAATCGATTTTTATCACAAAACTAACCAAGTGTAAACTAATACATATAACAAACTGCTTTACACAGTTTTACTTATGAAAAAATTATAATAAACTTACTTTTTACTTCTCGCCATCGTAAACACCACACTTGCACTTTTTATTTTTCCAAAAGTTAAAGAAAAAATGGCGCCAACACTTTGAAAAACGTCACTTTTATGATGGTAAAGTGTAAACAAAGCGAACAGTACCATTCAAAAATCAAACCACAGTTTTAGGTTGCCACAGATAATAAATAACGTGCCGTTTTAAAAATGGGGCGGTGAGCACATATGGGTTAAGTACATCTAAATTTGAAACACGTAACGTATGGTTTATTAATTAATAATGCTACTTTTGGGTACAGCGCTTTGCAAAAATACTGTCACCACCGAGAGGACATACCAGACCACACACAAAGGATTCACACCATTTTGTTAGTGAGATAAAAGACCCACAACTCGCTGACAATGAAACTATGGTCAGTTTTGGTGTTCAGTCACTATTTACATGCCTACCTATTGAAGACTGCATCTGCAATTGTAACTAGGAAACTAGAAGATAACAACATGCCTGAAGAATATGCGGTATTACTGAAACAATGCTTCACACAAAACAAGACTTCAAGATATTGTGAGCTCGTTCTATATAGATCATCCCGACCATGTAGATCCGAAAATCAATATTCAAAAACTGAAGGTAGCCAAGCTAAATACGACATTGAGACGTCAATCATCTCAGTCCCCCCCCCCCTCATGACCAGAAGTTAATTAAACGCGATAAAATCCGTATATATAGATTTATTCAATGTGTAGTGTTCGCGTAAATTTAAGAAATCATTAGATTACATGCACAAAATATATATATATATATATATATATATATATATATATATATATATATATATATATATTGTTTTATTTGTATACATTGTTTTATTTTTAATTAATTTCAAATAAAAATTGATCAATTTAATTATTTATCAATAATGATCCCAAATTTATCAATCAACGTCCCAACCCTGTATCATCACTATGGTTCGGAGCATTCTAAATTCAACCTTGAATTATCCAATCACAGCGCATTTGACACGTCCCCCGCAACTCACCGCGGAATTCGGTAATCGAAACAGAACAAATATTCCATGATGCGGTATCTATTAGGGGGTAATCTGTGCGTGAGAACTAAGATGGAATGCATCGTTTCCAGTAAAAAAGAGTCTTCGGATCTCTACATTCACCATAAGAAACACAGCAGTATTAAGCTGCTATTTTATGCGGGTATTCTGTGAGAGCGTGGTCCTTCCCCGGTCGAGCCGACCCATTCGTGCTACAACCAGAATATATCTGTAGCGTGGCTCTACCACGTATTGATAGGTATCAGTCTAATTCATATTTCTGGCGGTTAAGCAGCAGTGCGTGCACTGTTGCGTTCCGGTCTGAAGTTTGTAGAGAGCCAGTATTATTCTATAAAAAAGTAAAAAATATTTAAAAAAAAAACGGAAACAAAAAGAGCCGATGATCTTCAAACTGAACAATTTTTTTAATCATATCTAAGAACAGTCTCGATCAAGTCACCTTCCAACCAAAAACAACTTAATCCTTCTTTGTTTGAAGTTGGTTGCAACTGTCTATGTACTGTAGTGTTCACTTACTATCAAGTGCATTGTTAGTTCGTTTTTAAGTATATAACTTTATTTCGTATTTGTCTAAAACAGTTATCATATTTCATAAATGGAAACAACTGCATGAAATATTTATTTATTTATTATTTAAAAGCTTTGTGCTAACCGTAAACGTTACAAAGGGCGTACTTAATGCTAGTTAGCATTATTTGCTAGTCAACCCATGGCATGGTGAATAAATAGTGAACGAGGTGACTTAAATAACTAAATGTAATAAATATAAAAAGATAAGGCGCATATTGAAGTAAGGCTTACAAATTACACAAAAAAAACCACATGAATACAAACAAATACATAAAAATCCATATATAACAATTTTATTAAATATTAAATTTTATTAAATTTATATTTAAAATCTGCACATAAAATTGCAATTAACAATTTCATTGCTGCCGGCGGGGATCGAAACCGGGTTACTCGCGTTCTATTACATTTACAGCTAGCGTTAACCAGCTGAGCTACCACGGCCAATGAAATTGTGTATTGCAATTTTAAGTGCTGATTTTACCACGTGCTCGGCGGTGAAGGAAAACATCTTGAGGAAACCTGCATGTCTGAGGAATAAGAAAAAATATTTCGAAGACATGTGAAGTTCGCCAACACGCATTGGGGCAGCGCGGCGGACACTTCCTTCCCTAAAACCCTCTCAGAAATGAGGGGAGGCCTGTGGCCAGCAGTGGGACGTACTCGTATATAGGCTGTAACTTTTTTTTGACATAATATGTATTTACATTGTACATAAATGCCTACAGGGTTATTTTGTTATGACCGAATAGAAACCAGAATAAGTAATATAGGCAAATGGTGCAGAAAAATTAATGAAAAATATATCGAACATTCTGTCCTTTTTATCTTTTAAATTCAAAATGTACGGTAATGCATTATTATTCCAACTGATTTTGCTGCGCATAACGTTGTTGCTTTCAACTTGGGACAATTTCAAATAAAAGTAGAAGCCTTATTTACTCGTATTTCAAAAACAGCAATAACTATATATCATTATTTATATATTTGAACATTAAGTATAAAATTTGGCTACTCTTTGAAAAATAACCCTGTATGTACATACATAATATATCTGCATAAAGATTGCAGTATTAATTAACGTTATAAAGACGACGTTGTGTTTGAAAGATGTTCCCGAACCAATCTTTTGAGAGCTATCTTGTTTGGTGCTTTCGTAATGTTTTCGGATAAGGAGTTATTTTAAAATTTATCGTGCGAGCTACCCGCCCACGCACGCGTTATCTCAGCTGTGACACGGTTTAAAGACCATACAGTTGTGAAACGAATGTACTTGTGCAGAGCAACGGTGACAGTACTGCGGGGAAGGAGGCGGGCCGACCTTGTCCCAGCGCACTCCACTGAGTCTGATAGACAATACATGCGGTTGGCGCGAGTGTGTTTTATAGTACTTATTTAACCAATATTAAGTGCCCTTTTCAGAAAATATTCTTTTTATAGGATAAAGGTGACAAACGAGCACACAGTCCACCTGATGGTAAGTGGTTGCTGTGGCCCATAGACATCTATCCTCGATTACGAATCAAAATGCAGATGCGTTGTCACCCGTGAGGACTAAGATGGAATGCCTCGTTTCCAGTAAAAATGGTCTCCGGTTCTCTACACTCACCATACGAAACACAGTAGCGTTAAGCTGCTATTTTACGCTGGTATTCTGTGGGAGCGTGATAATCTCTATAACGGTGAATTATTGTTATATGAGTTATTTAGTAAAGTTGAATTCAAATGACGGTCATGCTTATGTTCTCCTCATTATTTTTTGAAAATTTTTTTTATCCGAATGTGAATACACTACATAATTAACTTTAACATTAGAAAACTGAAAACGTCTATAAAAATAAAGTGCCACGAAAATATTGGGCAGTGCAACACTTGTAAATGTATTTTTTCTTGTAGTAATAAAAATGATCTTGTTCAATAAATGTTTTTAACTTATAAGTATGTACATAATGTTAGGATAGTATAATACGAGTATCCACAATTATTTTATTTTCATTTTCGTGACAATCCCTAGTATACACGCTGGCCGCGTAAATATCTACGCGACCGGCTGCATTGCCTGACATCAAAGGCGTATCACAACTGTAAGGTCTTTAAACTTTGATAGTTTACATAAAAGTCTTTGGTTGTAAGACACTAAATCTTTGTCCCCGGATGTGACAGAGAGAAATATACATATACGTGGTAGAGCCACGCTGCAGTTATATTATGGTTGTAGCACGAGTGGTTCGGCTCGACCGGGGAAGGACCAAGCTCTCACAGACTACCAGCGTAAAATAGCAACTTAATACTGCTGTGTTTTGTATGGTGAGTGTAGAGAACCGGAGACCACCTTTTAGTGGAAATGATTCAATTTTGTTCCATAGGGGTGACAACTCATCTGCGTTTTGATTCTTAATCTAGGAATAAATATAGATGTCTATGGGCCACAACATCCACTTACCATGAGGTGGACTGTGTGCTGTATGTTGCTCTTATTCTATAAAAAATAACGCGTACGTTACGTAACATTCTTTGTACATTAGCTGGGGTAACCACCTGGTTTTTTCCAGATATTTCCGTCACATGTCGCCCGGCCTGAACGAGGTGTTGACGAAATATGTTAAAATACAAGAAGAAAATGGACACTCCATCAGCGAAGAGGTGATTGTTTTTATTATATTATTTGTTACTATTTTATTTCTGGCCGTGTAGTGGCGGTTCAGAATATCCACTACCCCATATCTTCCCGTGGGTGTCGTAAGAGGCGACAGAGGGAGACAGGCAGGAGATGGGCAGGAGCATCTTCCTGATAACAACTGTGAGATAATAAAACACTGCGGTTGCCAACCCGCTCGCCAAGCGTGGCAACTATGGCAAATATCCCCCCATGATTAACGACGCAAAAAAACGGCCCCCAGTCCCCGGCGGCCCCGCTATTCCTGGCTACGGTGGCGACCATGGTAACGGCGGGGCAGGGGGTGCTAAGAATCTCCGGTGGAGTTTCGGTTGCCACCTACGACGACTCGACCTGGCAACATATAACGCACGCACCCTGAGGACTGACGAGAAGATACTGGAGCTGGAAGAAGAGGTAGACAAGTTGCGCTGGCATATTATTGGATTATCCGAGGTCCGAAAGAGGAGGGGAGGACACGGCAATCCTCGAGTCCGGCAACTTGTTCTACCACCGGGAGGGCGACCATCTGTCCCAAGGAGGTGTCGGATTTATCGTCCACAAGTCTCTCGTCAACAACGTTGTAAATATTGGGAGTGTGTCGTCGAGGGTTGCGTACCTGATACTCAGAATCACCAAACGGTATTCGCTGAAGGTCATACACGTTTACGCACCAACCTCGGCACATCCCGATGAGGAGGTGGAGGAAATGTATGAGGATATTTCCAGAGCCATGCATTCCTCTAAAACCCACTACACAGTGTTAATGGGAGACTTCAACGCAAAACTAGGTAGGTACAAAGAGAAAGCGGTTAGCTGAAGGTAGGGAAATTTGGAGTAGGGCAACGGAACCGAAGGGGCCAGTAGCTGGCCGACTTTATGGAGAAAGAGGGACTCTTTATGATGAACTCTTTCTTCCAGAAGCGGCCCCACAGGAAGTGGACCTGGTCGAGCCCCGACGGTTCGACAAAAAATGAGATTGACTTCATTATGACGACCAGACGCCAACTGTTCAGTGCGATCACCGAATGGTTAGAGGCACACTGAACCTAAACGTTAAGTTGGAGAGGTCTCGTCTAATGAAGTCAACGCTCCGTCCCCCTCGTGCTCTAATCCAGAATCCCGAAACCTTTCAGCTCGAGTTACAAAACCGCTTTCAGTGCCTAGAGGATTGCAATGCAGTGAACGATATGAATGACAAACTCGTGGAAACTGTCCATGCGGTCGGAGCTAAGTTCTGCAAGACCCGCCGCAGAAGAACACAAAAACTCTCCGATCACACTCTTAATCTCATGTCTGTTAGACGGAAGATGAGGCTGCAATCGTCAACAGATTTGACAGCATACAGGCAACTGAACAGACAGATCTCCAAATGCATGCGGCGAGACTTACGCAACTTTAATACTGCTCGTATTAAAGAAGCGATCGAGCGGAACCAGGGCGCCAAAGTCTTTGCCAGAAATCTGTCTGCCGGAAAGAGCCAACTGTCAAAGCTGAAGACTGAGTGTGGCAGCATCGTTTCCGGGACACCTGAGATTCTGAGTGAGATTGAGAGGTTCTATGGGCAGCTGTACACATCATCGTTGGAGCCACACGCAAGTGTGAGTAACGATCCAAGAGCAACTCTTATCCGACACTATTCCGATGATATCCCGGACGTCAGTCTGAGCGAGATTAGAATGGCTCTCCGCCACCTTAAAAACGGCAGGGCCCCGGGCGAGGATGGAATTACAGCGGAGCTTCTGAAAGCGGGTGGAACACCGGTACTTGAAGTCCTTCAGAAGCTCTTCAATTCCGTCCTCCATGGTGGCACTACTCCGGAGGCGTGGAGCAGAAGCGCGGTGGTCATTTTCTTTAAGAAAGGCAACAACGCTCTCTTGAAGAACTAAAGACCGATTTCCCTTCTGAGCCGCGTCTACGTGCTAGTTTCGAAAGTCATTACGAATCGTCTCGCACGCAGACTCGACGACTTCCAGCCTCCCGAACAAGCCGGTTTCCGAAAAGGCGTACCAGACAAAGAACAAACCACTTTGTCTGGCATATGTGGACTATGAGAAAGCCTTTCATTCCGTCGAAATTTGGGCGGTGCTACAGTCCCTTCAGCGGTGCCAAGTTGACTGTCGGTATATCGAAGTGCTGAAGTGTTTGTACAGTAGGGCTACGATGGCTATCCGAGTACAGAACCGGAGTTCGAAACCTATCCAACTGCAGAGAGGTGTAAGACAGGGTGATGTTATATCCCCGAAACTCTTCACCGCTGCGTTGGAAGACGTTTTCAAGCTACTGGACTGGAAAGGATACGGTATTAACATCAATGGCGAGTACATCACTCACCTTCGATTTGCCGACGATATAGTCCTTATGGCAGAATAGCTGGAGGACCTTAGCACTATGCTCAATGACCTCAATAGGATATGTCTTAAGATGAACATGGACAAAACAAAGATCATGCTTAATGTCCATGTCAAACCTATGCCGGTAGTTGTTGGGAGCACTATGCTCGAATTGTTGACGAGTACGTTTACCTGGGACAAATAGTCCGACTAGGTAATTCCAACTTCGACCGAGAGGTCAATCGACGGATTCAACTCGGCTGGGCAGCGTTCGGGAAATTACGACACATCTTCTCGTCAGGAATACCTCAATCTCTGAAAACTAAAGTGTATAACCAGTGCGTGTTGCCAGTGATGACTTACGTATCTGAGACGTGGTCCTTCACTGCTGGCAGACATTTGCCATAGTTGTAATGTTACTGTTGATTTAATAATTTCACCTCTCAGCGGGTCATGTGCTCCTGGTAGATTATTTTCTATACATCCATCCATTATAGCCTATTAAAGTCCACTGCTGAACACAGGCCTCCCCCATGGATTATCTCGTAGGGGGGACATTTGCCATAGTTGTAATGTTACTGTTGATTTAATAATTTCACCTCTCAGCGGGTCATGTGCTCCTGGTAGATTATTTTCTATACATCCATCCATTATAGCCTATTAAAGTCCACGGCTGAACACAGGCCTCCCCCATGGACTATCTCGTAGGGGGGGACATTTGCCATAGTTGTAATGTTACTGTTGATTTAATAATTTCACCTCTCAGCGGGTTATGTGCTCCTGGTAGATTATTTTCTATACATCCATCCATTATAGCCTATAAAGTCCACTGCTGAACACAGGCCTCCCCCATGGATGATCTCGTAGGGGGAGACATTTGCCATAGTTGTAATGTTACTGTTGATTTAATAATTTCACCTCTCAGCGGGTCATGTGCTCCTGGTAGATTATCTTCTATACATCCATCCATTATAGCCTATTAAAGTCCACTGCTGAACACAGGCCTCCCCCATGGATTATCTCGTAGGGGGAATATTTGCCATAGTTGTAATGTTACTGTTGATTTAATAATTTCACCTCTCAGCGGGTCATGTGCTCCTGGTAGATTATTTTCTATACATCCATCCATTATAGCCTATTAAAGTCCACTGCTGAACATAGGCCTCCCCCATAGATTGCCTCGTAGTGGGGACATTTGCCATAGTTGTAATGTTACTGTTGATTTAATAATTTCACCTCTCAGCGGGTCATGTGCTCCTGGTAGATTATTTTCTATACATCCATCCATTATAGCCTATTAAAGTCCACTGCTGAATACAGGCCTCCCCCATGGATTATCTCGTAGGGGGGGACATTTGCCATAATTGTAATGTTACTGTTGATTTAATAATTTCACCTCTCAGCGGGTCATGTGCTCCTGGTAGATTATTTTCTATACATCCATCCATTATAGCCTATTAAAGTCCACTGCTGAACACAGGCCTCCCCCATGGATGATCTCGTAGGGGAGACATTTGCCATAGTTGTAATGTTACTGTTGATTTAATAATTTTACCTCTCAGCGGTTATGTGCTCCTGGTAGATTATTTTCTATACATCCATCCATTATAGCCTATTAAAGTCCACTGCTGAACACAGGCCTCCCCCATGGATTATTTCGTAGGGGGGGATATTTGCCACAGTTGTAATGTTACTGTTGATTTAATAATTTCACCTCTCAGCGGGTTATGTGCTCCTGGTAGATTATTTTCTATACATCCATCCATTACAGCCTATTAAAGTCCACTGCTGAACACAGGCCTCCTCCATGGATTATCTCGTAGGGGGGACATTTGCCATAGTTGTAATGTTACTGTTGATTTAATAATTTCACCTCTCAGCGGGTCATGTGCTCCTGGTAGATTATTTTCTATACATCCATCCATTATAGCCTATTAAAGTCCACTGCTGAATACAGGCCTCCCCCATGGATTGTCTCGTAAGGGGGACATTTGCCATAGTTGTAATGTTACTGTTGATTTAATAATTTCACCTCTCAGCGGGTCATGTGCTCCTGGTAGATTATTTTCTATACATCCATCCATTATAGCCTATTAAAGTCCACTGCTGAATACAGGCCTCCCCCATGGATTGTCTCGTAGGGGGGACATTTGCCATAGTTGTAATGTTACTGTTGATTTAATAATTTCACCTCTCAGCGGGTCATGTGCTCCTGGTAGATTATCTTCTATACATCCATCCATTATAGCCTATTAAAGTCCACTGCTGAACACAGGCCTCCCCCATAGATTATCTCGTAGGGGGGGACATTTGCCATAGTTGCCACGCTTGCTATGGTGGTTGGGAACCGCAGTTTTTTCATTTTAAGTCGTTCCTAATAAGGAAGACGCTACTGCCCATCTGATTTGGTTTCCTATGTCGCCTCTTACGGATGATATGGGGTATTGGATATTCTTACACTACACGTGGTATCGATGAGATTAATTATTATATAATTTAAGATTTTCCGATTTAATTATTATAATTAATAAAATGGAAACCACCCACATGGGTGTAAGAATAGACAATGCTCAAACTTATTAATGCAAGCGAGACGCAACCTTATAGACATAAGTGTAGAAAGTCTTTCCCACACCCCCCACCCCCCCCCCCCACAAAAAAAAATCTCCCTTAAACATATTGTTAATCGCGAATATTCTCGTATTTTCCCATTAAAAACCAGATTGACCTAGAATGTTCTTTATTTAGAAAGAAAAAGAAATGTGTTTACTACAGTTTAAGTATGTAACTCAAATTTTAAAAGTTAGTAGTAATGGGCTAAAAAATAAATAAAACAAAGTATTTACCAACATCATAAATGGTAAAAATTACTCTTAAATAACCCTTTGAAGCATGAAGCTCAGTATCAGTGTTTCTTTTCTTGCGTCTTCACAATGTCTCTTATTGAATTCGGGAACGCGAAGGTGAATTGTGTCTCTGGAAGTGACTGCGAGCAATCGGATCTACGACAACTGCGATTTTTTAGGACCTCTCCGAAGAAGCTTAGGGATTTTGAACCACGTGATTGTACTCTTGCTGTTTAAATGTGTGTTCCTTAACACTTAACAAATTTTTTTCCAGCACTATTTGATACACGAAGATGAAATGGAGCAAGCGGAGGATGTGGAGGTGCCAAAGGCATTGGGAGACCTCTTTGAGTCGGTGGCCGGTGCTATCTTCTTAGACTCAGGTGTGTTTTATTACTATACAGTTCAACATCAACCATCAACTACTGCGTCAAGGTCTTTTCTGTCTTTGTCTTATTTATCAACCTATAAAAGTCTACAATGGACAAGTTTACTGCTAGACAATCTTGAGCACCTTTGATGCTGCCCGTCGTTTGTCCGGGTTTTACGTCTGATCTAAACGAGATGGTAATATCATCATCTATCAAAGCCATAAGATACACATAAACTTGCCCTCTTAATTCCCATATATTCCATTCCCATTCCCTCTTTCGACAGCCACGGGTTGAAATGGAGTGGTGGACATTTTAAGCATCACCTCACGGTGCATAGTACTCGTAGAAACATTTTTATTCAATATAAATTAATAATAATATTTATTGAAATCCGTTGGGCTATGTCGGTACGGATTAGTAAGCTGAAGTGGCAATGGGTCGGCCATATAGCTCGAAGAACCGACAACTGAGGGGGAAAAAGGTTCTCTAGTGGCAGCCTCGTGCCGGTAAAGGCGTAGTGTTGGGCGACTCCCCACTAGATGGAGTGACGACCTGGTAGAGGAAGTCGATGGATGCAGGTGGCTCAGGACCGTGCTGTATGGCGTTCCTTGGAGGAGGCCTATGTTCGGCAGTGGACTTGTGAAGGACTGTAATGATGATGATGATGATTTATTGAAACTCTTATTTTTAATTTACCACTGGTTCGGAAAATACCTCTGTCCTGGGAAGAACCAGCAAGAGATGCAACGGGACTTTTTTTGTTGAAAAAAAAAAGAAACAGTTTTCTGTTATATACACAATAAAAAAATTAAAAATAGCTTGGTAACGGTCACCTCATTTCAATCATAATAATTTATCCTCTTTTTAAGTGTAGTTACTTGTAATTTTTTCTCAGGCATGTCGTTGGACGCTGTGTGGAGATCATACGTGCGTCTGATGGGTGCTGAATTAGAGGCATTCAGTGCCGCCGCTCCCAAGTCGCCCGTGAGGGAACTGCTTGAGGCGGAGCCCGACACCGCGAAATTCGGGTAAGTTTATCCCGGCTCGAAGGACCAATATGACATTAATGTTTTTGTAGTCGCACATTATGTAGGATGTTTCCTGTTAATTTTTGACGTAGACTGTAAATAAAATACAAAACGCTGATTTGTATTTGGCTTATATGACAAAGAATAGATTTTTATAACTTCTATCAAATCTTTTGTGAAAGACCTGTTTGAGGTTTTTTTTATAGGATAGGGTGACAAACGAGCACACAGTTAACCTGTTGGTCTAGTGGTTGCAGTGACCCTGACCTGCTATGCCGGAGGTCGTGGGTTCGATTCCCACCCGGGACAAATGTTTGTGTGATGAGCGCGATCATTTGTTCTGTGTCTGGGTGTAATTTATCTATAATATTTATGTATTTAGAAATATATAAGTATGTTTATCAGTTGTCTAGTACCCATAACAGCCAAGCTCTGCTTAGCTTGGGGCACTAGATGGCGTTGTGTAGTAGTTGTGGAACTATTATATTATATATTACTAATATAACTGCAGCATGGCTCTACCACGTATAAGTGAAGTCAGAAATATCAAATGTAATTACACACATGTCGTAATTACCTGATACTTTGTGTAATATGTACTATATAAATAAATTAGTAATTGTCTTAAATTCGGCTCGAAGGATCGATGCAAGATTTCTAATTTTATGATTAGACAAAGTGTAGTGTTAACGGTTTGTAATGAAATCTTTTGGACACAATAAGATCTTCCTAGTCTGCATCATCTATCCGGTTCTGTATACGAAAATGAAACTTTAGTTGTACATTTATTCATAAGTTGGTTAAAATCCGGCTCAAAGGACCTATACGAATTTTTGTGCTATGGTAAATATGACGTTGTATTTTCATGTCTGGTTGTGTAATTATTACCCTCGCGACTCTTACACTGCAATTTTACGAGTCTACCTCAAATTTATACGTTTATTTTTTTCCGTTGCTTTTGGGTAGAACATTTTAATCATGAATGATATAATACCCACTAGATGGTGTAACCAGGTCAGTAAGACATTTAGGAAGTCGATGGAAGTAGGTTGCTTAGGACTGCGCTTTGTGGCGTTGTTTAGGTCTTGGGAGAGGTCTACGTTCATCAGTAGACTTGTGAAGGGCTGTAATGATGATGATTTTTTTATAGGATAGGAGTGACAAACGAGCACACAGTCCACCTGATGGTTAAGTGGATGCTGTGACCCATAGACATCTACATTCGATAAAGAATCAAAATGCAGATGCGTTGTGACCCCTGAGGACTAAGATGGAATGCCTCGATCCCAGTGAAACGGGTCTCGAGATCTCTACATTCACCTTACGAAACACAGCAGCATTAAGCTGCTATTTTACGCTGGTTTTCTGTGAGAGCGTGGTCCTTCCCCGGTCGAGTCGACCCATTTATGCTACAACCATAATATAGCTACAGCGTGGCTCTACCACATAAAAGATGATGTTGATATAATACCCATATTTTATTAAAAAATCTTAAGTAATATACAGATAGAATGGTTTTTTATTAATTTGTAATTGTTTTTAAATCAACTACAGGAAACCGGAGCGTCTAGCTGATGGCCGAAGGGTCCGTGTTTGTGTGGAAGTGTTCGGCCGAGGAACGTTCAAGGGCGTGGGCAGAAACTACCGTATCGCGAAAGGAACTGCCGCTAGATGTGCTCTACGCCACTTAAAGATACATCGAGCGCGATAGAACGCCATTTTCAAGAAACAGACTGTTCTAGAAGAGAAAGAAAATCAGTGCCTCAAGAAAGTGTAGTGCCTAGTGTTCTTAAATCAAGATAATTTGTAGTGAATAGTGACGAGGAAAGAGGGAAGTGGAAATAAGAACGTTTGGATTGTATGTCGCTTAAAATTTTGTCAGCGTTAAAATTAATGTATTCTCTCTAAGTTTAGTTAGTTTAGTTTGCAATGAGCTATTTTTGGCAACTTTATATCTAAAGCACGTATTTGCTGCGTAGGCCAGAATAACGTAGTTATTCGAGCCATGATATCTCCTCGGAAGTTCATGAAACCCTTATCGCCTTATTACAATGAAGTAGAGTACAATTATTTTAGAGGTTTAAACCACAGTCTAATTCAATTAAGAAGAACAAAAACATACACAAGTCACAAAAATTAACGGATATAAAAGAGATTCAAAATTTTTGGTGATTTTCAACAAGCTGTAACTCCGAGGAAAATTATTGTACAATAAAAAAAAGCTAATTGTAGATCGAAGTGTCTAGTTTTCAGATCTGGCCATAATATTTTTTTATCACGTTTGGTTCTAGAGTCATCCTAAGGATACTACAAAAAAAATCTTATATACCTTAATTTTTGAGTGTATTACAGCCTATAGAAGTCCACTGATAAACATAAGCTATTTTAGTGTAACTTATAGCTATTATTTTTTATATAGAATAAGGGTGACAAACGAGTACACAGTCCACTTGATGGTAAGTGGATGCTGTGGTAGACATCTACAATCACTTCATATATTTAATTGAAAATCTTTTACGTGTTAGAGCCATGCTGCAGCTTATGGTTGTAGCATAAATGGGTCAACTCGACCGGGGAAGCACCACGCTCTCACAGAATACCAGCGTAAAATAGCAGCTTAATACTGCTGTATTTCGTATGGTGAGTGTAGAGATCCGGAGACCCTTTTTTACTGGAAACGAGGCATTCTATCTTAGTCCTCACGGTGACAACACATCTGCATTTTGATGCGTAATCGAGGATAGATGTAGATGTCTATGGGCCACAGCAACCACTTACCATCAGGTGGACTATGTGCTTGCTTGTCACCCTATGCTTTAAAAAAAAGATGTATAAAACTTATAATATTTATAATTTTTAAAAAATTTAAACATTTATTGAAACATAATTATAAATACAAAACAATAGAACTTTAATTTACATACATGTAACATTTATTAGAAAACTTTAAATTACAAACAACACATTAAATCATTTTTGATCAAGATATATAAATAAATACTTGACTTATTAAAGAGACAATTACTTCTGTGAATTCAGATTTGATAAATCATTTACATATAAGAAAACATCTGGATCATACAAAACTTCTATAAATCAAGTCTTGTTACACCTTTGGTCCCGTTTAATTAGATCTTTAGATTGATGTTGTAGTTCTTGTACTGAAACTTTTTGATTCTTTATATTTAATAACAAAACTTCTTCATTCGGACATGATGTTGATATTTTAGATCGAGAATCATAAAGAATTTGATTTTAATTTCAAATAATGTTTTTCTCGAATTTGAGCAAATCAACATTGACTGGTAGATGATGTAGATGAATGCTGCCTTACCTGCTATAAAACGATTTTTGTCTTTCTAATCGTTTAGTATTCTACAATTAAAAAAGTGGATTTAAGTCATTTGTACCATAAAATAATGTACACTACAAGAGACTTATGTAGCCGATTATTGAACCGCGTGAAGTTAGAGCACAAGCGAAACGAGTAATGTACTATTATAATAATTAAACTATTGATTATGAACAAAGCAACATATTGTGACTTCCGTTTATGATTAAATATGATTGGAAGATTAAGTTGACGTCGTAAGTTTTACTGTAGATTTTATATAAGAACAAATTATCTTTTAACATATGACAACCAAGTTACATGAGGGTAATATGATTACACTGATTGGAAGATTAAGAGGTTACCTTGAGCTTTGCCATCCTATATAACCAAAACTAGGGGGCGGATAGATACAAAAACACAAAGACGTATACTATAACTAATATATCAATAAAAAAGCAAACAAGCTTTGGAAATTACTAGGAATACTTCGAAAAATCAACTTAATAAAAACTAACTACCTTACTCCATACTAAAATCGACTTAAAATATTTGGCTTCGATAAAGCAGCATCCTTTTAACTCTTTATTATTTGATTGACTAATAAAGAGCTATTGTATCACAGAGCCTTCTAAGCAAACAAGGCTGTGGTTTTTGAGTTATAATAAAGTGACCATATTAATTGGATGACCACATTACCTTCACGTACTATATAATCTTTATATTTAAAATTCTAGTATGCGTTGTTTTATAATTGTTTATCTCCTAAACGGCTTTTTATAAATAATTTGGGGTACGTATGTAGTCACCTGGTTGCTTCTTAGCTATGGTTGGACTCGGTAGGTGGCGCTGTTGTCGAGATCTAGAAATACCCGTGCGAAGTCGGGGCAGAGTTAAGATATCTTCATGAACACGGGCAACAAATATAGAAATCACTATTTGAATACGGGTTATGAAGATAAAATACAATTTTAGTTTTGACATTTGTTTGTCAGTCTTAAGTGAAGTTGCATTATGATAACCGAGCGTGTAGACTGGCGGTGTAAGAATATCCACTACCCCCATGTTGTCCCGTGGCTGTCGTAAGAGGCGACAGAGGGAAACTAAGCCTGTGTTCCGAAATGTTCCCAGTACACTGGCGAATGCAAATGACGTCATTAATTGACGCCATATTGTACTGGCGTGTCGCCGCCATATTGTGTCGAATATCCCGCCATATTAAAACAATATTTAATTGCGTCCACACTGAATGAAGCGTGCCAGAATTTGTTTTTATTTATTCAAATACTAAAAAAATAAGAACTATTGCTGGAATCTCCATTCTTCACAAATTAATAGAAACGGGTATAATAACTTTTGCAGCACAAAAATGACTTAAAATAATCGCGAACACTTTTCCAATATGTATGTTGTCATATACTGGCCAATGTTTTGAAACGAATCACCAGTATGGCGTCAATTTATGACGTCATTTGCATTGGCCAGTATACTGGGTTCTATTTCGGAACACACCCTAAAACAGGAGATGGCAGCAGCGTCTTCCTGATAATAGATGAATTAAAAAAAACTGCGCTTGCCAACCCGTTTGCCAAGCGTAGCAACTATGTCAAAATCCCCCCTATGAGGCCAATCTATTGGGGAAGCCCATGTTCGACAATAGACTTTTATAGGCTGTAATAGTTATAGAACCAGTCACCCCCATTTTATGCGATGCGGAACTTTTTATAAAAAAAAATATTTTATTTATAAATATCTTATACAACAAGTAACATAATTAATACACTTTGAGAAAGTAGTTTGTTCAGAATCGGTTACTGAATCGATTCCTATCATTTTTAATATAGGTAAGTTTTTATCCCAAAAATAATTAAAACTACGTAAATTACAGTCACACTAAATCTGTACAGTCAAAACAAACTGAAATGGACCGTAACTTAAGGCAATAAGACTGTTAAGAGTGCAGTTTTATTTGTATTATTACTAATTCTGTCGTTGAATAAAAATAAAGAAAAATTTACTTTATTTCAAGCACGTTAAAGTCTGCGTTCGCGGATTTGTACTGTGACCACAACATTCTTCCCGAATTAGTATAATTTGATAAATAATCAGTGGATAAAAATGTTTAACTAAAAATTCAGTGTATGTATTATGATTATAACATAATATACTAAATGGGGTGTCTGAGGGTTTGTGTTAATTACGTTAAATATAGTATAATAATGGAATTATAATTGACAATTAAGATCATTGAAGTAATAATAACTATACTAATAGACACCGCGAACAAAATCTGTGTGTTGTACAAAAACTTAGTATGTGTCATGGAGTATAGAGGTAAGGAAAACCGTCTCACATGGAGAATAGTTGAAAAAGTTACCATTTGTAAGAGTAAACAGTTCAAAAACTCTCCACAACAGCGCTGGAGTAGCTGGAGGGTATGAAATGAACTTAGCAGTTGTCGACGGAGTGAAGTGTGCTGAGTTGAGAAATTTAATATTTGTGGTAACTAGAGTAGTTGATGAAACTGCAGTATTTAAAACCTCAACTACTCACGTTGTCTAAAATAATTTAGTAAATATAATCTAGGTAAGGTCGACGTGAAACACGTTGATAGTGATTTTTTAAAAATTAAAAATTTTGAAAACAATAAAATAATTATTATAAAAAAGCATTATGGTGAAAGTTTGTGCAATAAAAAGTTATAAAAATTTCTTTAAAATTTACCCTCTAGCTACAGTGACGCCACCCCTAATTAAGGCTTTTCTACTGAAACTAATATACAGAAATCGTCTCCTTACCTCTACACTCCATGGTCTGTACCATAAAAATGTACTCTGTGGTCGGAAGCATAGAGTACCTTTTTATGGCACAGACTAAGTTAGCTAGAGCATGCGTCCTCTAAAGCGTGTTGCTAACAAAGTCTCGGCGTCAGTTCTTGTTCGTAGTACAAATACAAATAACTTCAATGATTAAGACTTAGTAAAGTTCGCGCGTTTTATCTTGACTGGGCTGAAGTTGGGTCTCAGAGACATTCGCGCATGTACCGATGACTTGTAACGATGGCTTCGCGGGGCGGGGCCTCGATACAGATGTGCCACTTTATTATATTCGGTCCTAAGCTTGCTTAGGGAAACAGTTTGTTTTGTCTACATCGATTGTAGATTATTGATATTATAAATTGTTTATTAAAAATATATCTTTTAAATTTCAATGAAATAATGGTATCTTTAGCAGAATTACGATAGAAAGTTTGAATATTTAGTAAATACACGATATTGGCGAAGACACAATTTCTTTCAGAAACACCAAAAATATATAACATTAATTTTTTTATCATAGCCACTGTATTAAAACGAATTTTTGCATTTGCATACCAGTGA